ATATGACCCTGTGAGATTTTTTTTTCTAAATTTAGTAACAAATCTAAGAAATGGAGATTGTTTGGTTGCCCTGTCAACTCAAGGACACCAGTTAGGTTCAGCATGTCCCAAAGCGTTCCACTCGTCTTTGGAAGTGCATTTAGAGCCAGCTTCGTTTCTTTTTCGCTATGTACGGCTGCAAAGTCTCCCTTGGGCAACATATTAAGCCGCTTGTCATAAGTGATTTATGCTTTGTGGCCCCAGAAGCATGTACGTTGTCAAACGACGAGAAACACGGAACTGAGCAAATAAATAACAACGAAGAATAATCTGTGCTTGTCGTCATCAATCGTCAGTTTCAACCTTTGCTGTGTGTATAAATCACAGTTAAAGTAGAGTACGCAGACGTAACAGCTAAAAATAAAACTGGCAGCTTACGCATATGTATTTATGGGAACTTGAATGTAAGCTGTAAAATTGTTGTTGAGTTATCTATAAGTCGTGCGCTGAAAAATCGTGAAAAAGCACTTTTTCTGTGGTTGATCTTGAACCATATCATACCTATTAGAAACTTTTTGTGAGGAAACCAAAGTCGATAAAATATTGGAAAACTCAGCACAAAATTCTCATGGTGGGAAAGAGCAGCTTACGAATCGAGCCAAATGTAATTTTTAAATTCTTTTCGTTCAGCGTTTTTAGCGGTCAAAAATCAAAAAAATATAATCTGAATGTTTCTTTTATAGAATAATTTTTGCTCTCAGTCCCGTTGGAAAGATGAAGATTTACTCTTTTTAGGAATCTTAAGTCTAAAATTCCATCAAAAATGGAAGAACTTATAATCTAAAAAAGCCTTCAAGATATATAGGTCAAACTACTCTAAGTCTTCAGCAGTACATATGATTAGTTTAAGACATCTCGAATATTTTACTACAATGAAACGTTGGAAAATTCTCTGGTCTTCAAGCATGGATTTACACGCATCGCAAGTGATGTTGGAAATAAAATATGAGTATGCATACAATAATTTTCATTGTCGATTTATTCTCAGTCTGAAATGCGTGATAATATCTTTTTAAAAATTGTATGCTCTAATTTTCTTATCTGCTCCAGCTCCAATAATATATTTTTTGCACGCGTTTATCTGTACATGTGAAAGACAAAATTAGCAGCTAAATGTCCGAAATAAATCCATATTTGGACACGTTGCCTTTTTTTGTATATCTGTAAAACTGTATGAGATCTCAAGATTTTTTTCCATTGGTCTATTTCGAGGCCAGAATTTACAGTGTTGAGGACCTCTGGTGCAAATACGTTAGTGGCCCTTTTTGCTAGAGTTTGTTTCCCCAGGTCCACTCGGGTAAGGTGAGAAGGATGTTACCCGGATCTTCAGCTCGGTATCCGGCTCTCGTCCAGCAGCACAGCACTCGAGCGCTTTTTCCGGTAGCAGCATAATAGACAAACCAAAAATAGATTGTTTGCTGAGTGATGTTCCTAAATCCTGATGTTGTGTAAATAAATAGCATAAGAAGTCTGGTTGGAGTTTCAGCAGTTTAGCAGCTTGTAAAGAAAATATATTCAAAAATCAGAGATTTATTATCGGTATTGTATTTTTTAGTTTTGATCTTAATGAGAAGTGCATAGTGAAAAGCATGTGAATTGTACTTAATTTTTTTCTATCTTCCTTTTTCGGCGCTAAGAAGAATTTATTTCATACTCGATGTAAATATGATTAAAAAAGGCAGGCTGATCGAATAACATTGGAGATTTATAAGCTGTAAACAACTTATAAATCCAGACTTTTTCTCTCATCTGTCTTATTCCACACACATGTCGTTATATAAATCGACCACATATTTCGACAGTGGCATTTTCTGCAATAATATGAACATCTTAATCAAGCTTGAACTAGGATAAACTGGTAAAAGTAAAGCTTATGTCATTTTGGCTCTACCGCCATTTTCGGAGCTAGAAAATTTTCCACTTTCACCATTATACTGCGTGGTTAAAACTTCAACAGTTTGACAATACTAAATATACTTATTACTTAAAAAATTTTGATACATAGAGAAGTATTCTTGTATTCCTGATACTGATTTACCAGAGTACCTTGATAAAGAAAATTTGCTTTGCATCGAGACTGATAATTTTCTGCTTTGCACTCGAAATTACACTATCCCTTTCCTTTTTCTACGGTTCTCAACAACCATCTTTATCCCGACAATTTTCGAGACACATATGTACATCCCTAGTGCATTCAAGGCAAAAGTCATCAAGTCGAATAAGCAAAGAGAAAACACTCTATGACCTTATTTACGTGTCCAGTCTAGCCTCCATTTCGTTCATTCTCAGAAAGCATGTACCTTTCCATCGAGATTACCAATTAAACGTTTTTTTTTCGGTTGTTTCATTTCTTAATGGTATCATTCAAGTTTTTACCAAATCAACGTTTTTTTTTCAGTTGTTTCATTCTCTTAATGGTACCATTTAAGCTCCTCCCAAGGGATATCATTTAGATGTGTTGTTTTGATATTTGTTTCCTGGTTCTTCGACCTTTCCCTAGAGCTTTCAAGCCCTAACTAAAAAAAGTTTGTGATAAGTGTGCTGTGGATATCTGCAGTTGAAATTTTTATATATAACACAATGATACTGAAGTTAATGTCTTGAAATTAGCGCTGCTTCATTGATTTCTCATTAGCAGCACAGCAAGCAGAATTGTTCGCAATCTTAATTTGGTTAATTTGATTGCTAATGCATTTCCTGTACAGCATCGGAAACAGGCTAACTTCAGCAGCAAATCACCAGAATAAACTTTTTACTAATCATTGGTCGAGTTTGAAAAATCGTGAAGCAGCACATTTCTTGCCTTTGGGATTATTCAGTCATTCGACATTTTGCCTTGCTCCTCGCTTTGACTCCCAAATTCAAAGACCATATCAATAGCCTTCTTATACTCTGATATTGCAGCTCCATAAAAGTGAAATAATGTCCAAGATAATGTGGGAGGACTCTGTGAAAAACAAGTGGAAAATGACGTTTTTGAATCGCTTTTAAAAGCGAAAACACCCCGAACATATCACTCGTCTCTCGACAAGTGCTTTAGTCCCGAAAATTTTTCAGGTTTCAACTGTTTTTTAAAAAATTTTGCCAATGTGACGATCAGACACATCATTGAATCCAACCCATCTTGGTCCCACATGCCCACAAATTTTACAAAAAAAAATGTTCTGTGAAATTGTGCTCGATTCACGTGAAAACTTGACTTGAACTTTTTAGATTGCACACCTAAGTGCATAGAAGAGTTTATATAAACATTTTCTGACTCCAATACAACTACTGGCGCCACCTTATCATTGTTTTTCCAAAGTTTTATGCGCGCTTTCGAGTGCCTTCCTTGAAAAAGCCCTAACGAAAAGGATGGAATGTATAGAAAATGCACATACATTACTACATATTCAAACAACTTGTCCATGCATGATTGATCGCATTTCATATTTTAATACAACATTCAAACTTTAAGCAAGTAGAAAAGTTCACTGCACATGAACAGGTGCTTGTAGCCATTCAAAATCGTCAAAAGACATTTCGCTCTAGTACAAAAGGAGTGCTTCAGACTCTCGACTTGTGAATTTAGTCGGCCGCCGTCTCTTAACTTTAGTAAAATTACATACAAAATCTTCCATTCCTATAATGCTATAAAGAAGTGATTATAGAGGTACGAAGCATATTGTTCAATGTCGTCGAAGGTTTTGTCAAAATTACAATAATAGCATTATGCAATTTCGATTAAAAAAAAACACAAACGTTTATCATTGCAGATTATTGCACCTTCAACCCCTACAGCTTCGAAAAGTTTTTTCCACGCAGTATGCATACCTTTAGAAAAGAAATATCTTATATAAATTTCTAAAAACTCGCATCGATCTCTGCGTTTCTTCGAAAAGCAAGTTATAATGTCCTCATTAGGTTCTAAAGTTATAATTTCCGTTCAAAATATCATAACTGCAATTATTGCTTCAATCTAGAACGTGGCTTTTTGTGCGAGAGCATTAGCATATTTGCTCTTTGCAGTGATTATCATACTATTTACAATGAAGACTTTTTGAGATCAAAACTCCCGAAATGATACAAGTTGATGTGAATATGCAGCTCCCTATGCAGTTTCATTTTTCCATCTAAAGTACAGTAAATTTCTCTATGAAAAGATATAGAGCTGGCTTAGTCTCAGATAGAATAAATGTGTCCCTATAAGTAAAATTTTTATCGCTTCCTTCTCCTTTTCAAACGGGGAAAATTCCGTTCAATGCCCGTGAGTGCAACATTTACTTGCTTTTCTAAGAGAATTGTATTTCCTCTGCAAAACTCGGCGGAAATATTACATCCTCTAGAAGTTATTTTTCTACTGAAAAAGGCAAAGACGTCAAAAGGCATACAAAACATGAAACAAATGCCACTTGCAAAAGTCTGTAGGGATCAGTTTAACATCTCGGATTTCTCAGCTGCTTATGCAATCCAGAAAATCTCTTGAAAGTGCTTTTCGAATTTTGTATTTTATTGCGAAACAAATCCTAACTCAAGGGATATTTTGTTCAGTATCAATAATAATTGCTCTGTTTATGCAAGCACGAATCTTCAAAATACAGCAAAAGAAAAACGTAATGCCTAGAATAAACACAATAATTTCAAACCACTTTTCGCATTTGCCTGAAGCTATAAAAACTTTTTTTTGTGCTAAATTTGCCTAATGCATTTTTCAAAGCCATGGACTATGTTATATTTATGTAAATGCATATGAATATCGAAAACATCCTGATCTTGGAAAATACCATCAATCTAAAAGGGAGAGTTCTAGTAAATAGAAAACATCCACATGCCCGACATTAAAAGATGTCATTCTATATTTACTCTAAATTCACATGCGTCACCACTTTCTTTTTTTTCTAAAAAAAACTATTATTTATGAATCGTTAATATGTTGACATGGCTGAGATTCGCTTTTACATATCTAATGCACTGACATGCCATGTTTTTCCGTGTCCATGACTTCCGTGTTTCTCATTTTTTCATAGCTGAAACTTGAAGAAGGCGAATATATACCGGCTAAGTTTTCTCCTATCGTATTTTTTTTCAGAAATTAGATGATGATACTGCCATTGTAGGCAAATCAGACAAGCTTTTACATATTATTAAAAATATTAAAAAGTGCAACATGTTCAAATGTGGTTCATTCCAATAGAGATAATGGAGAATCACGGAGATTTCAAAATTTTCAATGATCTCCGAACAGTCCAAAGCGATTTGTTTTCAGGACAAGTCATGACTACTTTTACGAATGAAAACGTGCGTTTGTTTTTTAGACATAAATGAATTGGACTGAAGAAATCTGTGATTAATGTTCTCTTAATTTTGCTAATGTTTTTTGGATCACATGGCTGTCAAAGTACTCCCAATATTGTGAATATTGATATAGTTAAAAGGTTGTAAAACATTTTCCCGGATTGTTTTGAATTTTTGACTTTTTTCGCACTGGGTAAGCTTTGAGGATAACTTTTTCGTAGTTGTATATGAAAGGGAATTCAAGCTTTCTAACGACTCATTCGATTTTTGTTGATGTCAGAGCATGTCTGATTAAAGACATCAATAAGGAAGTCTTTTTAACATTGGAAACTTAACAATTTTTCTCAAACTTTTTTGCAAACTAATAATTAATATAATAAAAAAACATTCAATATTGTAGCAAAGTAGAATCCATGCATTTTCCTGGCAAAGACTAATACTCTAAGATCTATTATAAGCAGATTTTTAGATAGAAAATCAATCCCAAAATTTTCAACAAACAGTTGCAGACAATGTTTTCGTAGACCTACCACTTAGTCCGTTTTGCTCTTTCCACACCCCCACCATCCACCTCCAGCAGCTGCTCGAGTTATAACTCAAACGTGACGTAATTTTGCGGATCATTGCTGTCCGTTGAGTGACCACCAGAGGACAATTCGTTTCTCCTGTTGCTGGCGAAAATCTCTTTTCCACGGGTTTTTTCCCAGAGCGACACTTGGACGGCTCCACCCATGCGCACCAATGTTGTCTGGGGATTTGGCTGCATGTTATGCGTGCAGTCGGCGTCTCATCGCATTTTTGCTTTTTCGATTCTACGATTCGAGCATCTCATGTGGGGGGGGGGGGATTTTCGTGCTCAGATTTATCACCAAATTTTATTTGGTTTTTCCACATCTCGATGTGTAAAATCATTGCATGCGTCTTCATCCTTGGCTCCTACTCTCAGCTTATAAACCCATCTCGCTCCATCTCATCAGACCCGGATAATGTCGCGCTATTTCTCCCCCCTCTCCCCCCTTCCCCCAGTTCAGTGCTGATTTGTACCACCAGGCACAACGCCATTAAAAAGAAGCGCCGTCATCGTTCCGAACACACTCATCCTTCTATGTTTTTATGAAAGGCTTACTAGAATCGACGAACTGAGAGCGCGCATCCAGGTGTTTGCCGATGGTTGCGTGCCAAAGCGTCCAATCATTGCCATCTGGTAGTCTTTTTGCTTCCGTTTGATACGCTTCACGTCTTTCTTTCACGAGCTTCTTAAAATTCGTCTTTGAAAATGAATTTAAGGAAAGGCTGGCTTACGCGTTTTCATTTTGTTGATTGTTGACACTTTTCTTATTTTCTCTTTGCTGCTGTAGTAGCTGGACATGAAAGAGGCAGCAGTCACAAATAAACAAGCTATTGCTCATCCAAGTCCTCTTCCAAGCCTTTTTACATGTTTGTTATGGGGCTACTAGTCCACATCTACAAAGTATCGCAATTAGCTAGATCAAATTTCTGTTGCATCTAAAACCTGTTCTAGTCATAATCAGGGCTCGGCACGAGGTGGCTAGATGAAAATGGAAAATACGAATTCTCCCTTGACTTTTGGGAATTTTTACGAAGTCCCCTTTGACCCTCAACCAAATTTCCTCTAGAAACCTGAAAAATCCCCCAAAAAACGAAAGAATTATGACTCATAATTCTGGAGGAAAAGAGAAGACACTGGATCTATCGATGTTGTAGTAAAGAAAATCGGATTCTACCCGTCTGCACATTTTTTTCTCAAATTTAATTTCCTATTTTTTTCGAAAAGACCACGCTGAGTAGAATTTTTCTTATCGCATACAGAAAACAGAACCAAAACTGTAAAGATTGAATAACTATGTAGAATTTATTTTGTGAACCTATTGGAATCACTCCTCGTAAATATGACTGAATATCATTTGCATTTCTTTTCTATTGTCAAATACAGCTTTGAGGTGTACAGCGTATTTATACAATCTTCGCCTCATTCGGAACATACTAAATATTCTAATTAATTTTCTAGAAAACTTCTGGTTTATAACCTTTGAAGAAATTACATAATTCTACTAATGTCGCTGCTCGCACCGAACCCAAACGTTTTTTAAGCTTTCTGAAGACGCCGAAATTAGTGCAATGATTGCTGATTATGCTGCAACTATTATTTGAGAAATAACTGTGCGTTCTATTTTCGAGGGAAAATATCAATTTTTCACCTAGCAAACAGTTCTTGTTTGCACAGTATCTATGACTTGAGACATGGTTTTCTCTATTTACGCTGTCACTTACGCCACTCTCCGGCTTTAGTCTTCGCTGGCCTTTTCAACCCTCTCAAGTAGCCATTAGTTCGGGACTATTCTTCACTGCGTCTGGTCTAAAATTTTTGCCTATATTGTCTAGTCAAAACAAAACGAGAGGTTTGAAATATTTATTAGAGGCTGAAGCACAAAGTTCCATTCAAGTAGACTTAATTGCTTTTCAGTCACTGCAAGAGAAAAATTCACGAGTCTCTCTGCAAGTCTTTTGCCATCTATCTAATCCAAGCCATCTCAAGCAGAAGCGGCAACTCGTCCGGTGATGGCAAGCCCAAGCCCACTCTCAAATCGAGTGTTGAGTGCAATGTTGCTCACTCAAAAAGCGTCAACACCTACCAGAAGCCGATATCTGAGGCGTTTATGCGCCAGATACTTCGAAATGTGGTTTGTCTTCATGCTTTAGCAATTGTATGTGTTTTAGATAAAGTAGTGCGAACAACTCAACGAGTCCGGAGGTGTAAACTTGAATCCTGCCCTTTTTTCTTTTGCCGAAGCACCGCCCAGTTTCGTAAACTCCGCCTCCTCGTCAAGTCATCCGATGTTCATTATGCAAATTTTGAACTTCTAATACACTTCGGCAAATTTTACCTCAAATTTTGCTATCTCGCAGATTTTTGCCACATGGGTAACAAAAGTCTCTCTCGTGGTTTCTTTGCTCTTTCATTATAAGCTTATTTTTCTCAAATTCCTTTACACTCGACTGCTCTACTTTGAATTTTCCTTCTTACTTTCGCAAAAATCTAATGGAATTTTCACCTCCCTTGAACTTTCATGCTCCTTTAATCTTGCAAGCTGACAATTTCGATTTTGTTTATCTCAACTTTTTTCCTTATTCTTCATTACCTCCAAATAAATTAAGGCTTTCTGCATTTCAAAGCAGACGTCGGCTGCGGTCCACCCAAATGTCTTCCTCGTGTGAAGACGAATGCAACTACGATTGCTCTGTATCCTATACTTACGATCCAAACAACAATAAGAGTATCGTGGAAGAGGTGAGTACCTGATGACGTCTAGTGACTAAAACAAGCACTCGAGGAGCGAAAGTGCTGAGCTTTGCGAAGTTAAGTGTGCCCATAAGTACTATTTACGAAAAAAAATCGCACCCGGGACGATGTATTTGTGTATTTGCACTTTTTTGCAATTTGCAAAAAGAAAAGTGCCGACAGGATGTCAAGGCACTTCCGCTTTGTTTTGCATCATATCACGTTTAGATTATTTACATAACATTGACAGAAAAATATCGACAGTTTCAGAAAAATGTCGAAAGCGAAAACGCCCGCTACTCCTTAAGAAATCTACGTATTTCGGGATCGCCGAACGCGACGACGAGAAATAAAGTGGTTCTAAAGGATCTCAAGAGTATCACAACGATTGGTAGGTACTTATGGCTTCTGAAAAATATATAAAAGCATTCTGCTCCTGCTACGTTCCGTTATGTTTGCATAAACGATGGAAAAGAGTCTCTGACGTAGCCGCGCAATGCTCTTTTACCTCATCAGTTGCGCGATTTCTTTGCTGGCCGTTGAACCGAAACCCTTCAATGATCCCCGATTTGAAGCTTATAAAAAATCAAGCAGTGACAAGTAGCTGAGTGTGTACTTTTAGTAGTAGATTGTGCAGCGAGGTGCGAAAGCTGCTCGTCCGTAATCACACCACTTTTACACCACTTCCGAAACGGGCTAAAAGTAGATCTTGCACTTTTTACTCTTGCAATAGCGCTATTTTAGCAAACACCGTACTTACGCACTTGATAGATTTGGAAGGTAGATTCGACTAGAGGGCGGAGGGAAGGGGGGGGGGGCAAACAATTTTTAATGTTTGAGCGCTATCCTCAGTCCGTACTAATTTTCATGGTGGTTCGTAGGCTCAGCTGATCTTCGTCATTCGGTGTACATTTTCACATCCGGTGGTCCTCGGCGTGGGTTCTATCGCCTGTTCCGCACTGCTCGTATGAAGCCGAATATTACACAAGGGTGTGGTCGAGCAAGTGTAGCTTTCTCTGGAACAGATAGCATCGTCCATGCAAAACATACTGCTAACATATTACGTCAAAGTGAAGACTAAAAAGCAATAATTAAAAATTTTTTGCATATTTTTGCTATTTAAGAGAGTTAAGAGCCGATAAAGTTACAGACAGAAGCAGCTCAAAGAATTTTCCATATTTTTATGGGCTTACTTATCCGAATATTATTCGAAACTCATATCGACGTGAAATTCCAAATTTTGGAGCGATAAATCAATTCTTTCTTACTATTTTGGTTTCCTTTGCATTACTGAAACTTATTTATTTATTTATACGCCAAAGCGTGTCACATGCATCATATAGGTAACCAGTAGATTCGGTTGAGTTAGAAGAAAGCAGTGTTAGAGCAAAGAAGCTTGAAAGAACTGATACAACAGATAAACTGCAACTTTCTGGGATCATCTGCATTCTCAAAATTTACGTTCTTATGCGATTTATAATGTGCTCCTATGCATAAACTAAGTTTTTGCTAACCGAAAGCTATTTGAAGATATTTTTAATTGATTAGAACATTCTCACACGGTGAGATTAGCTGCACAATTTTAGCATTGGGCTCTTCACTTGAAGCAAGTGCACGCAGCGTTTATTTTTGGAGGATGATTACTTTCACTGCTATGGAAATTATTCTCATAAATGTTTTTCACTTAACCATAACATTATGTCGCATTATTGTAATGAACCGATTAGTCGACGTAATTGTCGCAATTGCAATTGGTACACGAAAAACACTTAATGTAATTTTTTTGCACAAAATGGTACTTTAGTGATTACGGCAAGTGCAGAGTAGAAAAAGCGCTGAACAATTTTTAGCTAAGCATATGCTGGATAAAAAACGTACACAATTTCAACCAATTTGAACGGAATTAGCGTTCTTCTTTTATTGGGGTTTTTTATTCATAATCATTGTATCTCATTATCAAACAACTGTTCAACGAAATCCACATTCCCGAAAGATTACAAATTGTGCAAGGCAAAAGATGGAACTGAAGAAGCTATTGAATTGTCCGTTTAGAATAGGGTTTCTGACATACGACTGAAGCGGATTGTCGCATGAATGTCAAAGCTTTGGGACGGACGAAAATTTCCGAAATTTTCTGGGGAAAATGCGAGAGCGAGGAGGAAAGGGGGATGGGCATACCAGAATATATAATTATGAATATAAGACTTACATACGAGCACGCATCTGACTTATTTTTCTAAGCGAAAAAGGAGAAGGAGAGGCTTAGAGTAATACTAAGGCTTTTACACTCAAAAAGTTTATTCTTTAGGTTTGGTTAAATTATCTATGCTTCATGAGCCATTTTGTTCAGCCTACGTGGAGCCTCAGCATAGCGCTCAAAAGAAAGTCGTAAAATGTTATTGGCACTAGCACGAGATTAGAAAACCCTTATTAAATTGGGGTTAAACGTTGTGTTTTTGAAACACAGACACCATCAAGATATACTGTATTCAGGCACGGGTACGTTTGGACGAGTTGAGCTGACAAAGCACCGACGCACTGGGCAACATTTTGCATTGAAAATTCTAAATATACATAAGGTTTGTACCCTAACCTTAGGTTTTTTCTACAAACTACTTTTCTTTAGGTAATCAAGACACGACAGATTGAACATGTACATAATGAAAAGAAAGTCTTGAATCAACTCGAACACCCATTCATTGTCAAATTGTAAGTATAAAAATACAAAAACTTATCTTTTCAGTATAAAATATTACGGATAGAAATTTACAGGATCTCAACCGATAAAGATGATACAAATCTTTACATGATTATGGAGTTTATACCTGGTGGTGAACTGTTCTCTTACCTTCGAGCTTCAAGGTATGCAAATTTTGGATTTTTTAGGATCTCTCAAATAAGATGGCTTTTAAAAACTTATCATAAATATTTTAGCAATGCCAAATCCTTCGATAGATTCATTAATGAAACCGAGGATTGAAATCTTTAGTCAAAATCTTGTTTTGCTTTGGGTTTGATGATGAATTTTTATGTATTAATCCAATTTTCCGTGAATTTTTTCGCACAAAGGGTTGACGTATAATCGAGCTTTGTTTGAGATTTTTTTTCAAAAATTACTGTAATTATTTTTTGTAAATATCCTTGAGGCATTTACGCACAGATTATAGAAAAGGCTTCAAGGATCTTAAAATGTCCATATCTTATCATTTATTTTGCAGAGTATTCTCAAACGCCATGAGCCGTTTTTATGCAGCTGAAATCGTATGTGCTTTGGAATATATTCACGGCAAAAATATAGTAAGTTGACGTATAATAATCTATAAATTTGATAAATCTATTATTTGCAGGTTTACCGTGACCTCAAACCAGAAAATTTAATGCTTTGCCGTGATGGACACATCAAAATGGCAGACTTTGGATTTGCCAAAGAACTGAGGGATAGGTAAATTTCCAGCAATTAATCACATGCCAATGTTGAACGACTTTTTTCTCTTGTTTGCTACAAAGCGCCTGGCACCACCATGCAAATCTTTGGCCAGCAGTTTGATATAGAGATGAAGAATGACTGTGCTTCACACAAAATTAATTCTGCAAATGTTTCTGCAGAGATTGATGATGTATGATGCAAGAAAATTAGAGATGTAGAAATTTGAGGGATTATTCGGGTTTCTAACTGCTGCAATTTATTTCTTTTCTGAACTAATGCGTAAAGGAGAAACTCATTCATAATCATTGAAAATTCGGAAATATTCCGCATTTATCAAAATTGCTCTTGTAAGTGCAATAAAGTCTTCCGAATTTCGTTTTTGTACCTTGCGCAGTAATAGTGAAATAAAAATTGAAATAAATATTTCAGAACATATACATTGTGCGGAACTCCAGAATATTTGGCACCTGAATCGTTAGCGAACAAGGGGCATAACAAGGCTGTAGACTGGTAAGTTTTTAGAATTTTAGCATCTAAACCAGTCTCTTATGAGCTATGGAGGACTTATAGAGTTTTTTTTGGATTTAATTAACAATTTCAGCTATTTTATTTTCTCAAGGAACTGGTTGGAAATAATTTTTTGTAAGAAAAAAAAACTGGGTTGACATTAAAACATCCGATGGAATCAATAACTTCAAAATTCCAGGTGGGCACTTGGTATCCTCATTTACGAGATGATGGCCGGACGACCGCCATTTCGTGGCAGCACCACTACCGAGATTTATAACTCCATCATGGAACACAAATTGAAGTTTCCTCGAAGTTTTAACCTAGTTGCTAAGTGCGCAATTTTTTCCAAATAGTCTTTGTTGTCTCGAGAATTACTTGTACAGCATTGAGTGTTCAGGGATATTGTCAAGAAATTGCTGGAAATTGACCGAACGATGAGACTGGGTTGCATGAAAAACGGGGTTCGAGATGTTCTCGATCACAAGTGGTTCCAGAAGGTCGACTGGAAGGCGGTTCGCCAACTCAAAGTCGAGGTAAAAATAGAGGAATTTTTTCTACAATGAAAATATTTGCTGTGATGATATCCATCATCCATGTACTTTTTGGTGAAAAGAGAAAATAGATAGCGATAGCTCGAGATTATGACAAGTTAGTGTTTTGCGACGATTATCAATTACGCCAAGCTTTTGGCATACTTTAAAAAACAGTTTTTCGCTCAGAAATGTGGTAAATTTTTTAGAAATACTTTTTTCCAGCCACCTATCATTCCAACCCTGTATCATCCTGGAGATACTGGAAATTTCGATGTTTATGAAGAAGAGAAGGATCATGGCGTGGTAGCAGCAGACGAAGAGAAACAGCTATTCAGTGATTGGTGAAACTCGTCCAAGCCAAAACTGCTCGTCCTAAAGTAGTCTGCACATATTGTACAGTTCACAAATGATTATTCTCATGTCTTGTACTTTGCCCAGGCTCTCAGCATTTTTAGAAGTAGTTATTACCACTCAGGGTTCCTCATAGTTTCCGAGATTTTACTGGAAGTATTGAAACGTATGCGCAACATCGAACCATATAAGCCCATTGAAAAAAAATGTTATTGACAATTTTTCTAAAGTACAAATTGTAAGCTACATTTGTAATATCAGAAAATATGTTTGATTCACAGAGCAACAGCTCCGAGTGTGGATCCGGCGTTACCTGCGAACTTTTTTGTGCGAATTAGTATTTCTCTTGGTACTTTTCTATCATTTCACTTCTCTCATTCCTTTTTTTCTTAGCATTTTATGCTTTTAGGCTCAAGCCTCTTTCCTCAGTTATTGGCACACATCGAGATTGAAATCATTGTATTTTTGGGTCGATTGAAGTTATTGGTGAACGTGTCGTGCTTCTTGATGATGATGCTGTTAATAAAGTGTTGTTTTCAGTTTTTTGGGCGAAAAACAAGAGATGTCCTTTGAATTAGCAATTTCGTTTCCCTGAAATATACTTAGTAGTCTTATTTTTTGACCTTACCTAATCACTAACGTCGTTCGTTTGAATCTAGGAGGCTATCCATTACTTTGAGTGAAATGCAGAAGAATCAGAAACATAAAAAATTGAAAGCAAAAGGTGCAAAATTAATTCATGTCCTGCAATCACGTCTGAATAGCTAGAAGAAACTGTACTTCTAGATTTCGTAAAAGCCTGTGGTAAGATTTGAACAGTAGATTGCTTGATTGTACTGCTAAGCTCTGGATTTCACATGACTGAATGATGAAGCTCAACGTAAAGAGTGAGGGTAATTGATTATTATCGAATGATTGTGAAGTCGAGCAGCTAAATTGGAAATACACACAGGTCCTAGAGTCATCTTGTGCAAACGCACACTTTTTAAATGTCCGGACCTTCTGCGCTCTTCATATAGGCGAAATAGATGCAATAAGCTGGATCCAAAAAATGTTTTCTCGACGGGGATACTCTTGTATCTCATCAAGTCAAACGATCTCATCAAGTCTCATCAAATAACTAGTATCTTCAAGTGTACTGAAGTGCTTCTGAGCAGGCAGCTTTTTTGATACTTATCCCGGAAGTAAAATTCCAAAAAATTCTAAACTGGCTTCTTTACTACGTGCGATTTCGTTACCTACAAAATGACGACTTTTTCTTAATACAGTATGGCTTCACATCAAAGTGCGACGACTACCACATTTGATACACTAATTTTCACAAGGTCTTCACATAGGTCAATGTTTTTTTTAGTTCGCTTCTGGACTCTAGGTGATATTCACTGATAAGTTTCAAAAAACTAATAAGAAGCGCTATTTGGATTGATTTTGCCAATTAAAAATGACTCGCAATGAAAAAACTGGCTATAAATGTAGAAATTGCCTTAGTAATTCAACTCTGTTACAAAAGGAAGAAAGACTAAGGCAGAACACCAAAAACTGTCCATATGAAGAACTGCCCACAATTGACAAGAGTTGTTTGGACTGCAAAATCTCCATTACGGTTGTTCTACTATGCAAAAACACAGCAGGACTGGTACTGTTACTGAAGGCCATATGAGGTGCACCTTCCACCGGATTACTTCTAACTTATAGCTATGATATATCTTCGTAGAATGGCGAAAGAAGCGTCCATTTCCGTAAGTAAATCTAGCGAGAACAGTATGTGCACATAATGGCAATTATCCTTAGTACAGGATGCATATATCCTTGCAGGTATATCTAAGTGCGACAAGAAAATGGAATGAGTGCGCTACTGGAGCCCATGGAGACGCCAAACAAGGCTAGAGGAAAAACTAGAGACTGTGCGGCGGGTCTGGTGGTGCCCCCCCCCCCCCCCCCCGCTTCTCCTTCCAGTCACTATGAGCACTGCAGTCTTACGATTCTTGCAGGGCTGTTTGGTACTCACTATCTATTATTCTGAAAATTCCTAATAGACTTAATACAATTTTCTTCCTCAATTTTTTGTTTTTTTGTGGCTTCCCCGCAACATGTGTGGTGCTATCCGCAGTCTCATTCGTTGTCAAACTTTATATGACGTGTGATGTGACTGATGCTTGAAGGAAAAGCGCACATAGTTACCTCAAAACGTTTGCATTCGGTTTTGTGCTAAGTTTATTTCATAAAAAGAAATGTTAGTTCTTGTAACTAATTCACTGTTCGTATATCAATCTTGTGGTGAATGGCAAGTGGAGAAGAAGTTAGTTTTTGAATGCGGCAATCCAAATAATCACTACCCTTCATGCATTGGTAAACTTTACAGCATAGCGACTGGGATTGTTTTTTTAGACTTTCTTGTAATATCGGGATTTCTTGAACTCAGATTCATTAACGTGTAATCGTTGAAGTACTCGCTGTCATACAATATATTTGCCCAATATCAGCGTAGCATAAGTAAAAAGCTGGGTCTCGTCCGTTGAGGAAGTGCCGCCGCCGTTTATATAATTGGAACTTTTGAAGCAAAAACTACTCAAAAAAAATTTTTTGAAGATTTTGTGATAATTTCGAATTAGGAAGCATTTTTACTGAAGAAAATGCATTTCTTTCAAAAAGAAGACTCTGTAAGTAAACGATGGTCACGCTGTTGGTATAACCGAAACTTGCTGAAGCTAAGGCCCGTATGCACGTACATCCCCGCTGGGGAGGGAAGGGGATCTGAGAGGGGATGCGTCAAATTTCACTCCTCTACTTATCGTAGAAATAAGTGAAATCTCAGGATATCGAAATCTTCGGTAATCCCTAGCTCGCGAGCCAGGGATCATCGAAAAATTCACAATCTTCAAATTTTCTTTTGTCGAAAATATGCTTAGCAGTGTCGTAGTATATCCTAAGCATTAGGTTGTTACATAAGTCTTGTTACACTTTAATTTCTTACGGCGATAAGTCATGCACCTCATAATCTTTACAGTGCTTCAGGGTACCATTCGATAGAGCAAAACAAGCTCTACGAGATGGTATGCGAAGGTTCGTTTCCGCTTTCTTCGGTCCCGCTTCGATCCACCATGAGTTGCATCCTAAATCTGAGTAACTGAACGCTCAAAAAATTGCGAAAAATTCATATCTTTGTTCAAAAAAAACCTGCGAATCTCCAACTTGCTCATAAAAATTGCACACTATATCAGACACTCGTATGTACCGTTGGGTCGAGAAAACGAAAATTTCTTGTCTTTGCAAAAAAGCTATGCTGTTTCTATTCATGTAGCTGTATACTACAAGCCCTTAGAAGTATAATCGTAGATTTTCAGCTTTCTAGAAGCCCTAGTTTTCGATACCTAATTTCGCATCGAACACCCAAGTGAAAAAAGCTAAATTCAGTATTTTTCAAAAAAATAGGGCTTCTGAAAAGCTGAAAATTTACGGTTATACTTCTAAGGGCTTGTAGTATACAGCTGCATGAATAAACAGCACAGCTTCATTTTTGTAAAAACAAGAAAATTTTCGTATTCTCGATTTCTAGATGAGGAAAGAGTACAGCAACGGTACATATGAGTGTTTGATATAGTGTGCAATTTTCGTGAGCAAGTTAGAGATTTGTAGGATTTTTTTGAACAAAGATATAAATTGTTCGCGATTTTTTGAGCCTTCAGTGCGACTCAGATTTTAGATGCAAACTCATAGTGGTTCGAAGCCGGTGCGAACTTTTGCGAAAGTTCTTGTAGAGCTTGCTTTGCTCTTTCGAGTGGCACCCTGGAGTCCTATTGAAATTATAAATTCACGAATTATCGTCGTAAGAAATCAAAGTTTAACAAGATTTATGTAACAACCTGATACAATTTTTACAGCTTTTTCATTGACTTCTCATAAATATAAATCACTTTGAAAATGAGAGGTGATCTCCAGGGGATCCCTTGAGGATTTCCTGGGGATCACATAAAATGGCAAAAAATCAATTTTGGATGGAAGTATCCTGGCATCCATTATGCGCAGGTATAAGTGTATGAGAACCTTCATAAGCAAAATAGAAAAGGAAGAAGAAAGATACGTAGAGTAGCGAGATATGACGCATCCCCTCTCAGATCCCCTCCCCTCCCCAGCGGGGATGTACGTGCATGCGGGCCTAAGAATTCAAAGAACTCTTTTCCAGCCTGAAAATTTCAAATTGAGAAGCATTTTTTACTGCAGGCACTTTTTTCTAAAGAGGAAACTCTGCAAGCAAAATGTTGCTTCGCTGGTAGTATAGTCGGAAGGCTGAGCGAGCACTGAAAAAAATTCTTTTCTGCGAAGATTTTGTGATAAGCTCGAACTAGAGGTGCAGAACTTGTCTTTTTCGAAATAAGAGACTCTGTAAGCAAACTGTGGTCTCGCTGATATGAGGGTCAAAGCTTTTGAGGCCAAGTATTTTGAAAGCAACTCTTATCTTACATGGGAATTTTGTGAACAGCATAAAATGCACTTGTGGCGGCTCGGTGGGGCCAGCACCTACCGCAAGTGCTCGCCGCATCTACACCTAACTCCCGTTTGTCCCCTACGATGTCGCGCGTCCATCAAGGTTCATGACGCCTTGACGGGCGCTGCCGAGGGCTACCTCTTACAAGCGTAAACGGCACGGTAAAATAGCGCGTAACGCTGAGAGAGAAAAGGACCACCTAGTTCAGACTACATTTATCTACAAAATACAACAATGAACTACTGATACTACAAAAACTACTAAGACTATTAAAATACTAAATCTACTACTTCAAAACCCAGGAAAATTAGGCACGGGACGACCGATGCTGATGATGATCAACTCACAAATAGTTCCGGGCTCTCCGCTGGGTCAACCGCAAGCTCCTAGCCCTTTCGGGACGGTGTGACCCCTCTCCACTCCCGCTAGTGTGCTTCCTGCGCAAGACGAACCGTGATGTTTAGCTGCGCGTCTCCAAAACCAAGAAGATAACAAAGGCTCAACCGCTCGAAACCGATGATCATCTGCGGGAGCTGTTGGAGGCGCTGCCAGCACGAACGAAATCATAAAACGATCAATACGAACGGAAATCGAAGAGGCGTAGACCGCGGCCTGCGCGCCTTTATATACCCTGTGACTTGGCAACGCGCCCAGCAGGAGAGGTCTTGGCGCGATCTTGAAAGCGCGCCAAGTAACGCGATAGCCAGCGCTCCCGGCCTCCTGTTTCGAGGAGTGGCTTGCATCGCGAGCCGCGACAGCACTTTTTTCAACAAAAAAAGTCTCTGTAAGCAAGCTGTGGTTTCACTGGTAGTATTAGGTTGATGCAAAAGGAATGGCCGATTTGCAAATTCTCAATTTGACGTGCTATAACTTTCTAAAAGATCCACATTCTGAATGCGGTAAAGATCCCCAAAAGCAGCAAATCTTTCGCAATACAGCGCATACTTATTTATACTCAAACCATGAAAGGGAAGAGAAATACGGACTAAAAGACAAAAAAGGTTCTTCTGCTAGAACCTTGTCTTTGACAATTTATAACTTCCTTCAAAGTTTCTTAGTATGAATGATAAGTGGCCTATCTTGTAGCCGCAAGCCAGTAGTACAAAATACAATGTAAAATACAATAAAATACAATAAAATACAATATAAATACAGATGACAGAAGTGACAATAGATAATAGATGGGTTGTACCATACACGCCGTTGCTCTCAAAGATGTTCCAGGCCCACATCAATGTTGAGTATTGCAATTCCGTAAAATCCATCAAATATATCTGCAAGTACATTAACAAAGGCACAATAGAAAGAATTCGGACAAAAAAGTTTTTGAGAAAGAAAAAATTAAAATTTAAAATTTTCCAGTTTTTTCAACGCTTTTTCAGTGTGCCTCAAAGCACGGAATAAAGGATTTTATGATTTTCTACGTACTGAACAGCTGGATGTTTTTTCAAAAACTGCTAATAAATGTCCTAGCCCTACGCTTACAAAATTGGGCAAAGCTTCGGCGATTGACTTCTTCAGAAGAAAATTATGGGTCATAAAATGACCGCAACATGGTTAGGTTAGGTGGTACCCATGGTTAGGCGCCGATATCTCAGTCTGGATAACTTCAAAAAATGCAGTTAAGTATGCATAATGTAGACAGTTTCTATTACATACAACAGCTAAATCTTCGAAGAAATCCCATTGATACGCGCTTGAATTCTGGCCGGGAAAGTGAATGCAATGAAATTCTGAATTTGGATGCGGTTATTTGAAGCTCAGCAACTTTACAAGAGATGAGGATGAGAGCCCGTTTCAAGCACCGTTAGATAGAGCATGAAAACGGCTTCGCGACGGTATACTACAACTATTGTAAAGAAGAAGTATTGATGGAAAAAAGTTGCCCTGAAAAAAGGCTTGGAAAATCGGCCATTACTTTTGCATCAACCTAATGTAATCGGAATTCTTTGAGACTGAGTATTGAAAAAAGAATTTTTCCGTGAAGATTTTATGATAATCTCAAATTTAAATATTTATACTGCAGAAAAGGAATTTTTTCGAAAATAACACCTTGCAAAGAAACAGCCATCTCGCTGGTAGTACAAATTTGGAACTTTTTAGGCTCCCTTTGGGTTGCTGGTCGTCTAACTAAACAAGAACCAGGTATGGCAATTTGTCATACTTTCCTATTTTTTCACAGAAAAAAAAAACTTCGTTAATCTTGTGTATACCTTCAAAACTGAATCTTCAGGTATCAAACTTTTCTACAAAATGAATGAAAACGTAGAGTAGGTTCACAATCTCAGGTAAGCACCTGCTAATTCTTACCCCAACCCACTTATAGCGACCCTAAGGGTCGCTAGTAAGGGATATTCAAAGGGAACCAAAATATGCCAGAAAATATGAATAGTAGATATATCGCAGTTTTTATGCAGGCCCCAAAAGAAACGAACAAATTTATATAGCCTGCTGCTTGATGAAGGCACAATATCTTCGGGGCGAACGCGGCTTTATTACCCGCAGAGCGCATTAGGCGCAGGATTTACAACGGTGAGGAAACGCGCGCGCCGCGTTCGCGCCCGCTCAGCTAATACTGCTTCTGCGCCTTCGTCATGCAGTAGCCTTTACTTGTTCTCTGATTGGATGTGGATTGTAGAACTCAGAACAACTGTAGAACAAAATCACGTAAAATAATCTTATCAATGCAATCTAAAGTCACTGAGGCAGTTTACAAAAAACTCGCAATTTTCAATTTTTACGTAGTTTACATTACGGTAAGATTTTTTTGGCAATAATCAAAAGGGGAGTTGAAATAGACAAAATTTCTTGTACAAAAAAATCACAGGGCATATGTGAGCAAAAAACGAGAAAACAAGCATGTAGTTGATTTGCAACCTTTCTACCAGAATGATTAAGATTTTCCTGTTTCATCTCCGCTATTACTACAGCAAATGATGAACACATTTGTTGAGGTGTTGTTAATAAGCGAACGGTGTTCTTAGCTCGAGCATATTGGTAGTCATATTTTCCAACTTATTTTTGAACTCGATTATAACTTCAAAGAGGCAGATATAAGGGTCTTACCTTTCTCAGAGTCAAAGTCATGATCGACAAAGAATACCAGACGACGTGGACGCAGAATGAGCTAAAATTCAAAAATTCGTTAACAATCTTCCAAACTAAGCAAATCCTGACAAACCTCTAGACTCCATTTCCTCATCTTCGTCGAAAAAAGCTGTCGCAAGATGAGGAGATGGAGTCTAGAGGTTTGTTAGGATTTGCTTAGTTTGGAAGATTGTTAACGAATTTTTGAATTTTAGCTCATTCTGCGTCCACGTCGTCTGGTATTCTTTGTCGATCATGACTTTGACTCTGAGAAAGGTAAGACCCTAATATCTGCCTCTTTGAAGTTATAATCGAGTTCAAAAATAAGTTGGAAAATATGACTACCAATATACTCGAGCTAAGAACACCGTATTGGAAACACTTGTCACTGTAACCGTTGGCAAACTGCCATTAGCGATGCGTTGTGGTGGATTCCCTATCAATGCTCCAATGTGATCATCATCTTCATCCATAGAGTAGTTGCCGTCTTCTAGCTAAAGCAATTCATATTCAAGAACCCAAACTTTAGGATAACTGGTAGATTAGGCTACGTTCGAAGTCGCTCGTGCCAGCTGTTCCATCGCCGTTCCAGTGCGGTTCCAGCGCAAATTCAATGCCGTGTTAGCGCCGTGCCGTAAAATCGATAAAATACGGACGTTTCTTGTGGGACAGGCACGGCGCTAGCACGGCTCTAGCACGGTGCCGGCACATGCGGGGCAACTCTAAACACTTCCTCGGGGAGACACCATACCTGGTTAGTCTCCTCATCACCCATAATCTCATACTGTAGGATCTCGCTGCGTAGTTGGTTCCTGAAATTTTCTTCTACCAGCGAGACCACCGCAAACAGTGTCTCGCTGGTAGTATAATCGAAACTTTTTGAGGACAAGTTTTTTAATGATTTTGTGATGATCCCGAATTAGGAAGCATTTTTACTGCAGAAAATGCGCTTTTTAAAAAGAAGACTCTGCAAGCAAACAGTGGTCTCGCTGGTATGAGAGTCAAAGCTTTTGAGGGCCAAGTATGTATTTTGAAAGCAACTCTTATTTTACATGGGAATTTTGTGAACTGCATAAAATGCACTTTTTTGGAAAAAAAAGACTCTGTAAGCAAACTTTCTCACCGGTAGTATAATAGGAATCCTTTGAGGTTGAGTATAGCAAAAAAATTTTCCTGAAGATTTTATGATAATCTCAAATTTAAGTATTTATACTGCAGAAAATGCACTTTTGTCTCGAAAATAACACCTTGCAAAGAAACAGCGATCTCGTTGGTAGTAATTTGGAACTTTTTAGGCTCCTTATGAGAAGTGGTTGCTGGTCGTTTAACTAGACAAGAAGCGAGCTATGGCAATTTGTCATACTTTCCTATTTTTTCACAGAAAAACTTCTTTAATCTTGTATGCTTCAAAGCTGAATCTTCAGGTATCAAACTATTCTGAACAAAATGAATGAAAACGTAGTGTAGATTCACAATCGCAGGTAAGCACCTGCTAATTCTTACCTCAACCCACTTATTCGCTAGTAGATATATACAAACGACTTCAGAAGAACAGAAGGGACGGGGATTTGTTTCAATGTTATAGCTATTCTACTTCTAGACAGAGGAAGGAAGATAAACATACATCCATGCAGCACCAGTTTATCAATCGAGGACCGGATCAGGACTCAAAAAATTCATTCTTATCCACTGAGTTCATTTGTGATTTTCTGGTAGTATGTTTCTAAAGTTATCAAATAAAGTGGTGAAGGCAAGCAGACACGCGTAAGATATGCACAAAAATATTTTGAAGAAATTCAACTCATAAGTTGTGTTCCTACTTCGAAACTTAGCTCCTTCAGACTACTACAGCCTTATGAATCAAGCATGCTTTATCGCTTCATAAGGGACTTAGTCACATGTGAGCAAATAGAAGTGATGTCTCCATTAGATTATCGCCAATGAGCACTAAGCATTCGCAATGATGCTGGTGATAAGGGCATTACCATAAAATGGAAGCTTACACATTCTCACTGATACTTCGCTTAACTTATTCTTGAAAATCCCATAATTTTGTAGTTTTTACAGTGAAACTTTATCTTGTTTCTTTGACAGACAATGCAAGCATTTGTGGTGATACTAGCAGCTCTGGTAGCGGTAGTATTCTGTAAGAAGCCAGCACCAATTCCACCACTGTTGCGAACAGAGTAAGTAATTTTCAAAAGAGAATATTCAACTTAGTGGTAACGGATCTATGACGAATTGCCTCTTAAAGATGTTCTCATCCTGACACTCATCAAATTTCGCGGAAAATTTTGCTTCACGTGTTTGTTAAGAACCTTTTCAACTTCCCTGCATTGCCTTGTTTTTTATAAAAGCTCGTATTATATGTGTATGGCTGGGAAAGACAATTTACACAATTTAACACTACGAATTGTTCAGCATTGATTCAAATGTAAATATTGTTTTCCGAGAATGGGATGGATGACATCTCAGGCCTGTTACACATTGCTCTTTACTCTAGGAACTCCTACAAAATGACCTTCGCTATCATTTGAATATTTTCTGCTAAGCATTTTGCCATTACAGGGTGTCTGTGATGTGTCTATCAAGAGCTTTCTGAGGACCAATAACAATTTTTGATTACGCATGTAAAGGTGGTTGGGTTTTTTAAAGGAGACACAACTGCTGAAGAGGCTGTGACAAAATTCAAGAGCCAAATATTATCCTCAAATTTGATTGTCATCGAAATTCTTATGACAATTTTTGGCTACTTATCCTGTCGCCTTATACGATACAGAAAGGAAAAGGGGGCATTCTTATTACAATATTTCGCCTTCTGCACTCCCCTTACTCGAACGAAGTAATTGCGATATTGATTTTTATATTGCTTGAACTAACTCTGAAATCCATAAGCGTTCAAAAATTTAGACATTCACTGAGGCAGAGGCTCTTAAGTCAAGCAGACGCCGACGATGTTACTGATCAGTACCCATGGGTGGTTCGTAGCAATTTCAAGCAAAAGGTGGATCATTTCAACCCAACCAATACAGCCACTTGGGATCAGGTACAGGGCCCGGCACGAGGTGGGAAACGGGGTTTTCCAGAACGAATTCCCCTTTGATCCCAATAAATTTTACGAATACCCCCTTGAGCCCAAAAATGACGTTTTGTGCTTGTGCGACGAGATTACCGGCCACACTTCGCCTAAAAGCGCTCAAAAGCGCCCAAATTGCTCAAATTCCTCAAATTACTCCTCAGCTGTATCAAGATAGGAAACAGGAAGAAAAATAGGCAAGAAAAATGATTAAGGAATGAGAAAATATCAAAGAAACGCAGTCATAGGAATGAGAGACGCCGTTCCCGCGCGTATCGATTGACTGGGGCGCGCTTTCCTAGAAAGCTAGGCTGCTGATGCTGTTTTGGGCTCTAACAAGGACAAGAGGAGGAGCTTCGGAACCAAAATTTCACCATGTAGTAAACTTTAGGTGTACAACAGATTTATGTAAAAATTTTGAAAAAATTATGTGAACTGAGAGTTTTGCCGACCTCAGGTGGGAATTAGGTCGGCAAATGCCGACCTAATTTGGAAATTAGTTAAGGAAACTCTTCATTCACATAAGTTTTTCATAATATTTCATACTTTATTACTTAGTCCTATTGCGCATATACACACCGAATCCCGCGCGATTTCGTTACCTCTGCGTTGCAAACGAGCCATTTTTCCATTTCTTTGGTAGCGCAAAATTTTCAGATAAAAGTTTGCCGCAACCTTCAGTCACATAATTTTTCAATGAAACTCCTCAGTTAAGCCCTGCAAGCCCGTGTGCATTTACTTACCAAGTTTCATACCATATCGTTCATCTGCGCGTTCAAACGAGCCGTTTGAATTCACATCTTCATTTACCAGTTTTGCGAAATTCTCGGGAAAAAATGCTAATTACTCATTCCGTTCACATAAGTTTTTCATAATTTTTCATACTATGTTTCCACTAGCCTCTCTCCGTTCGCATACAAAATTTGGTGTCATATCGTTACACATACATTGAGAACTAGTCATGTATGCTGTTACAAATAGCATCGCTTGGGCGACGTCGCGCGTGCGGCAATTAGCGACGGCGCGGTTTGACGCGCGCGAACTCCAGTGTTCGCCTGTTGAGGCACATAACATGTCAAGATAAGTGGCGAGCATGAACTACCAATTTTTTTCCGGGGCTCGGCCCCGGACCCGGCAAAAACGATTTCCCCTTTGCTTTTTGGCCCCAAAACGATTTCCAGCTTGTCATTTGCCGACCTCGTGCCGGGCCCTGATCAGGTACAGTAACCATTTTAGCTTACGTTTTAGTAGATTTTCCTCTTGATATAGGGTGCCGAGGAATTGCGGTAAAATCTGCGCGCAAACAAATAGCCACGCCAGTAATGCCGGTCACTTGCGCGCAAAATGCGGCATTACTGGCAAGGCTATTTTTAAGCGCAAATTTTAGCTGCTTTTTCTCGGCACCGCAAGAACAATTATCGGGAAATACTCGACTGTACATACCAGCCAAATGAAAGCTACCCTTGTATCATATGATAGGAAAATATATAAAACAAGTGCCATTATAGCGCTATTACTACAATCCAAAATACGCTCGCAACACCTCCATCATTTTTCTTATGATAGGCGGTGAAGGACCCGAAAACGGCAAATGGGCTGGAAATGAAAAGGTTAGTTTTAAGGTGAAGATCAGAAAATAGCTATAAATGTTCAGGTGCAGTACCTGCAATGGGCTAGCGAATTTGGCGCTCATGTGTTCGATTTGGAACACAGATTCTTTGGAGACAGTTGGCCAATAAAGTAATAATTATGAAAAAATCAAAAATCTTACTCTAGTCATGAAAATGATGTTGGCAGTAGGTTTACAGAAGAAAATCTGTTCTAACTCTCTTCCATCAATATACTGAAAGTACTTTATCACTACTGTAGCTTGAAAGTGTACCATCACAACAAAAACTTCAAGGATTGTTGGTATTCAACATTTCGAGATCTAATGAAAGTACTAATTACTCAATAAGAATAATCCAGTACTTTATTATAAATCAAGGTTAGTATAACTCGCAGTTAATCAAATCATTGTGTAAATTTAGAGAATAAATATGTGTTTCCCTTCGTTCCATGTTTAGTACAACTAACATTTTTTTTTCAGAAACATGAACTTTGACAGCTTGAGTTTACTCACAACTGAGCAGGCTCTAGCTGATCTAGCATATTTTATCACATCAATGAATCAAAAGTATGGCTTTAACAACCCAAGATGGGTCACATTCGGTGGAAGCTATCCAGGTAGGTAGATTCAGATCCATGAAGAAATCATAAATATTTGGGTTCAAAACATCTTCGTTTTATGTTCATTGTCGGCTTGGTTCCGTTCGAAGTATCCAGAATGGACAGTTGGAGCTGTGGCTAGTAGCGCACCTTTAAATCTGACACTTGATTTTTATGGTTGGTTAAAATTCGCTAATTTGACTGAAATATCTCGTAACGTATCATCTCCAGAATACGCGCAGGTGGTACAAGATGACCTTACCATAACAAACAAAGATTGTCCTGTCTATGTTGAGCAGGCATTCCAAGAAATGAAGAACCTTAGCACAACTACCGCTGGACGGCAAAAGCTAAACAAAATTTTCAAGTGGGTACCGTAATTTCGAAAAAAATAACGCAAAACAAAATTTTGCAGTCTACAGCCACCTTTTACCGATAATTCTACTGCGTTGGATATCACAAACTTCTTTGCCAATGTCTACAATGTTTTTCAAAGCATGACCCAGTACACATATGATGGACGGGTGGGAAATATAGACCGTAAGCAAGTACACTGCAGAGAGAAGGGCTATTCCTGTAAAAAAAATTTATCTGAGCTACTCCTCCCCCATTTCAGCCTGCATATGCACAAAACAAATTAGTATTCCGTGTGTAGGACGAGTTTTCCTGTACACGAAAAGGATCGCGGGTAATTAATTTTGCCAACTTTTTAACAGTTTCTTCCAAAGCAAATCTGATCATAAAATAATTACTGGCAAAATCAGCAAAGCTATCCGGATATACGCTATTCCAAGAAATGTCCTCGACATTCAAGGAAAAAGTACGAGAGCACTAGTTGAAGTTTTTTGAGAGAATGGACCTCTATGGATTGATTCCTTCTTCTTTCTTTTCAGAAGAAATATTCCCTGCTGGGTTCTTTCCTTTGAGGAACAGCTTCCTTTTTCTGCAAGATGTACTTGCCTGCGATCCTTAATTAAAATGATTGTTAATGAAATTGTGGAGACTTTAGAATGCTGAATCCGAACAAAACCTAACCGACGCTAAACTCTGTCAGTTGATGATGAACCCGAACGTCGCCGACGTAGTTACAAGAGTTTACGATGTTTATATATGGTGGGTAAAAAACCAGGAACGTTGTTATTTTTGCTGTTATCATTGATATCTTATAATCCAGGTACAATGAAGTGACTGGTGACCCTAACTCCGATCTCACAGTATTCCCTAACAGCTACACAGACATGATCAAGTCTGTTAGCACTGGAAATCTAAGTGTCTTGGGAGAAGATAATGGTGAGAAGATGTTTTAAACAACCTGGAAATGTAGTTTTTAGCTGATGCTCAGCTCATAAAAAGAAAATCCCTTATCGAAGTGATATTTCCAGCTGCTGCTCGTGGCTGGATGTGGCTCTGTTGTAACGAAGTCGGGTTCATGCAGACTACCAGAAATGACAGCATATTTGGCGGAAATGTTCCTTTAGAGTAAGCTTTTCTACATTGTGCTTACTAAAATCATACGAACACCTTCTAAGAGAAACATATGTTTAGCTACTACATAAACATGTGCAGTGACATGTTTGATCCATCAGTGAATATGAGCTATCTTGAGCCTAGGAACAAAGCTGCACAAACTTACTATGGTGGAAGCGATAAATATCAAGTAAGCGTAATCAGTTTTAGGTGTGTTTCATTAGTGAGGCTGAAAAAACATTTGAAGATTGTCCGTAATATCATTCATTGAATTTTTCATTGCCGCTGTAAGCCTGAAAACAAGAAACTGCTTTTTAAAAATTATTGGCCCATGAAAAAATACCGTGTCTCGTACTACTTTCTCCAGAAGAATACATTCTATGAGGTTGGCTAAAAAATAAATTAGTGGCATGCAAATCTCAATAAAAAATTTCCTGTTGTTCTATCCACGATTTTTTGTGGGGAGGTACTAGTTAATAGCTTCCTTTATTACATACCAATATATATATATTCAGGATTTTCTATCATCAGTAAAGACAGTTACCTCAACAAGGCTATATTTCTAAAATTTTTGACTTCCTAAGCTTCTTTTCATGCTGTAATGGATGTAGAGAACAGCAAATTGGTAATTGGATGCAGAGAAGTTCTATTTTGTGGATAACAATCAAGACTGTAATCTACTACTTTGGAAACTTTTCATTGAAGAAAGCAAATTTCCTCATATTTGAGCACTATGAGAAAATGAGGTTTCTCAATTCTTTGCGGATTTTTTTCCTTGGAAGGTAAGTTCTACTCGAACAGAATCTATATTCCATTTCCCATTGAAGTGCCCTTTCCAGAGATGCAAAACCCTGGACAACAATTTGTCTGCACTTGTAAGAGCCGCAAAAGTGACCGAAGTTATTTATTAGCCAACCTAATAGTTTAGGCGCATATAGGTGCTTTGCATGGGAAGTAAAACAGAAACAGTTTATAATACACTTTATACTGTATAATATCTATAAATATTTTTTCAGAAAAAAAATTGGGAAGCCTTTAGCTGGCCTATGATTGGAGTGGCAGAGCCACTACCCGAAAAGCATTTTTGCAAAGCTATATGAAGTTTTATGAAAACAAAACAACATTTTGAAACAAACGAAGAAACACCTTCCGCTCTGTCCTTCACTGATTTTAGTATTTGGACCATCGATAGATACCATCGATCAAGCGCATGCTGTATGCTTTGTATATTCCCATGGACTTCCGCGGTTCCCAAACAGATTCTTTTTAAAACAGGTTATAGCTTGGGACTAATTTGCCCCCCATTAGCACATCCCAGCAATCTAAAAACTTTGCGGGAATACCAGAAAGTATCTATTACACTGCAAATTATTATTGTGCCGCACACACTATAAATATAGCCTGTAGCACACATGTGCTCATTAGTGTCCTCTTCTTTAACAGCATTTGAAATGATGTACATATTAGATGGCAGTTTGTAGCAAATACATGATTATCATGCAAGGACTAGAGCGTTTTAGACTTTAGCGAAACTTTCATGGACGTGACTTTAGGTAAGAGAAACAAAGTTTTGTCACTTATAACTAACATATTCTATTCTACAAGGCTTTTATCTATTCTACAATACTTTTGAGTCAACAATTCAATTTACAACAATGGTAATATTTTTACAGTAATAAAAACTCATCAATTTGTGCAGTTTATTCGCAATCTGGCCAGAACAGTTTTATGCATACAAAATCTTCGTTCTAGAGATTTCAAAGTGACTTGTTCAACTTGTGAATGACTATAATAATTTTTTTAATTTCTGAAATCTAGATTGGTCTTTTGAGAAAAAATTTTTTTCAGGGCGTGACACCCCCTTTTTCAAAAATTCGAAGTTAGACTCGCAAAAATTTTGGGAAGTGTTTCAAGAAATTTTTTGGAGTGCCTAACGTCAAGCACCTACTTTGTAAAAAAAATTCGGTACTCCGTTATCCGGACCCATTTTTTCAAAAAAAGATACTGCTTCTTTGCTTTGCACCATATTTGTTCCCAACTTCATAGGAAAGAGTGTCAACCTTCTGCGACGTGTCAAAAAAAATTTGACATGCCCTCTACATGTTTAACAAGTTATAGCAAGAGTTCATGTTGCCCTACCTAGCAACATAAGTTTAACTTTTTTGGTCAACAATGACCCTATTTTTGACTAAACAATTTAAAAAATGCCACTGTTATAATAATAACGTCGCTCTCTAATCAATGAGCATACTAGACATGCCCAGAATTGAGAAATGCGCTAGGGTTCCATCATCTAAGCGGCGACAAGCAGCAGCGAGGTACTACTTCAAGCCATCATTTGTAGACTTTTCTGGTTAAACTCGCATGGCGGAAAGTTTGAAAAGAAATACATTCTTTAATCATTGCTAGAAGCAATCAAGATATTCTAATAATGGTTCTAGATTGTTTTGTTCTTATATAAATCAGCTGGACAGCTTTTAAGTGGTTACAAATGCTCTTTTACCTCGCTGGAAATGATTTCGAAAAAACATGTCAAAGTGGATTAGAACGTGTCAATTTTTTCCTGACACGTGGCGAGGAGGCAGTCCTCGTAGAATCAAATTTGTACTTAGACTACAGAACGTATTTTATAAGAGCCTCTTGAAAAAATGGGTCCGGATAAGGGAAAAGTACCAAAAATTCTTGTCCCCTCCCCCGGAGCGGAAATGTTGGAGCTGCTAGTGGTCAGTAAGTAGTCACAATCAGACATTTAGCCGGTATAGCTTGTTAGTCTTGTGAAAATTCCTTTTCTCTCTTCCTCCTTTTTCGATTTTTAGATCTGTATCCTACCTGGGGACAAATCTCATGTTTGGTAGTTCTGATGCTTCGAAAATGAGAGTCTTAAAGGTACAAGTAATTGAAGATAGTGCTGGAACATTGAAGCGAGATATAATTTCCTCTAAATTATTCTTCTCCATAAAAAACATCTAGAGATGAGCCTTCTCACATTAATCAAATGGTATTACTTTTCAAAGAATTATAAGAATTTCCAGACATTGTTTATTCATTTCGATCATGGGAATATTCTGTGAAAAAGTTCCCAGTTTTAGCTCTTACGTCCCTATCTGTTAAAATCGCATTACGGCGCATATTCACGGAAAATTTGTTATGCAAAGCGCTTTAAATATGCACATGTTTACGAAAACTTGTCACGAAAACAGGAGATCGAATGATGTGTGCCCTCTCATATCGTCTCATAGAGTTGTATATAGTGTTCAATAATAAGAAGATTGTCTGAGCGCGTGAGTTCTAGGAAAGCTTTCGCTTCATCTTCAAAATTTGAGGTCCAATACTAAATTGTAGCAATTTAAATGAAGCAGTTTTTTGACTCCGATTTTCAGGCACACAATGTCGTACTTCCAAATGGTTCCCTGGATCCGTGGCATGCTCTGGGATGTTACCTTAATAACACTGCTGGAGTTTATCCCATTCTGATCAATGGTTGGTGGTCCCAGCCTCCTCAAGCTCTGGAATTAGTGTTACTATTCTAGCCACAGCGCATTGCTCGGACATGTATCCGGCTTATGACGGAGAACCGCAAGCTCTCGTTGGCGTGCGAGAACAGATCAAAGGGCATGTAAGAGACTTTATAAGTAAGTCTATCCGCTTTTATCCGAGAGGAAAAACTTTAGTTTTCTTGCCAAGCTCAGAATATAGGAAGTGATGATGACAATAATGGCCTCTGTCAAAAGTATGCAAGAGTGCGACGGTAGCAAAAAAGTTTTTTAGATGCCTTTGAAGTTCCAGTAAAATCCGGGTCCTACAGATTTCGCTCTTCTATAGAAATTCATACCATTAGGTTGATAATAAATAAGTTCGTTTGGACATGCAAATTCAAAGCTTCCAATTCATGTAACAGTTATTCAGCTAAGATTTCTTTCTGAGAAGATAGCTTCAAACCTCTACTATTAATGTATTGATAGGCGATGAAAGAAAGAAATAGGAAATGCAAAAATAATTTTGTTACTTGCAAGTAGGAACAAGATGTCTCGTTTTTAATTCATGTAGTTTTTTCTCTCCTGCGCTTCCCTCTTTTGAAGAGTTCATATTCGACAAACTCGAATTGGAATCTGTACTGTCGAGTGTGCCCTCTTGCAAAAAAAGTAAATTACTATCTAAAAAACTCTTTTTTGTTCATTCACGTGGGCCTTCCAGTTCCAACCATACGGTATGCTGGTGCTATAATGCTCTGAAACGTTGATTTTGTTAAATGTATGAGGTCTCCGAATTAGATTCACATCTCTTTTGCAGTCTCCAGAAATGGTTAAATCGAGACAACTGAGCTAAAGTTGAGATTTATCACTACTAAAGTGCCAAGCAGCGCTCTCCGATAATTACCGCGGAACTAGAAACGCAGCATTTCCTCATTTTATTATTGTTCGATCCACTTTCGAGTCGGAGGGTTCTGTCCTTCTTTTATACAAATGTCCCAAGGCATGTTGCCAGAACTCATCTCGAAATTCACTTGAGAAAAAAAGGGTTTCATTGACGACAAAAAGAAAGTTGATTAATAAATGACTGAAGATTTTTTATTACTTGATAGCATAAGAGTTGACTGACGTTCATGATTTTTCAAATTATCAGCTGTAGCAGATGAGAATTATATAGTCCATAGTAGAATATACAAATAGTTGTTCCTGCCATGCATTGTACTTAACATGGTATGAATTCAAACAAAACTTGTTAAAAATGGTTTGCCTGAAGATGACACGAAATTTAAATGCATATATATACAATGAACTTTTTATTGAGCGTCACTAGAAGCGGTAGCTCCCTTCGAAAAGAAACTAACGAAGAGTCTCCAAGTTGTTTTGAACTTTCAAATTAGAAAGTCGAGTAAGCGAAACAAGTGTACGTAAAGTACAAGGTACAATTCAATTTCTTAATTTGAAACGCTTAATTTCGTAAAGAACACGTGTTTAAGTGTAGGAGTACTTGAAAGGTAACTAGTTTTACTTTGCCGCTGATGCAAAAGCACTTGATCAGTATGTCTAGTTTGCAGATTGGAAGTATAGATTGCAAAGGAATAGTATAATATCAATGTAAAAAGGCTAGTACTCCGCTTTTTTTTTGAAAATTATACAGATTTTCCCTTATTTTTACTCCTTAAGCGTTGTTACGCATTTTCTTTTTTTGAATTACTAATTAGCTAGAAATAGGCAAGGCAAAGACTCGTCCCATTTATTGAGTTCTTCATGCGATTTTTGAGACTCAGAAAGATAATCAAATATTCTGCGCCGTAGTTCAACTTTTTCCCGACAATTTCGTTGCGTCACAATGATCAAAGAACATGAGAGTAACACCATCTGTCAACATTAGACAAGCTACTTGATTGCTTTACAAGAAACTACGTAGCTTCTCAACAAAAGGATTTGTTGCTGAAAAATCCATATCCTTTTTGAATTACCGCTCTTGATCTGCGACAGTATGTTATGCTTCCCGCAGATACTGTAAGTGCTGAACTTTACGCGATAATGCGGAAATGTCCACCCCCCCCCCTGCCTATGTAAACAATTTTTCTAGCATTGAACAAAAGTGCTTTTCATACAATTTTATGCTCCAGTAGCTTTATTCGCATCTCTGAACTACTATTTTCAGAGTACAATCCAGCTATTGATGGACCCACAGGCAGCACAACATCGGTTTCTGTTTCTGGTTTCGCCTCGTTAGCAATTCTTCTGATGACTTGCATGTGACTTCCACATCAGAAATGGAAATTAGTAATAAATTGATGATTCACTATTCATGCCTCAACGGTGGGAAAGAATCGAGAAAATTGGCCAAGAAAAGAAAAGAAAAAGTTTTGGTTATTACATGTGTCTGCCATATTTGATATCGCTGTTGAGTTCTGCTCAGGTTAATTTTAAAAAAATGTTTTTGGAATTTAGGGACCAATTCTGAAGATTCCCAGCACCTCGTTACCCTTGATTTATTGAGTCATCCTCACATAAATCCGCGCATTAGATTACGGTAAAACAAGTCTCAACCTTCTAGCAACATGTAAGTGCGTAGTCCTTTCACCTGGATACAATAGAGTGTTAAGGCCACCGTATTCCTGTTTAGGTTACCGTAATCCACCGTAAACGTAGTCACTGACACTGGCAATGACACCGGCCAGTATGTCAACCTGAATGGCAATAGCTAGTAGCCGATTTTACGTATGAACTCTTCCGACTGCTCCACTATTGTTCATTGTGTAAAGACACAATGAGCATTGTGCTGCTGAGTACTAGAATGCCCAAAGCACTGGTTAGGCAGAACAAAATCTGGGTTTAAGGACGTGGATTTGGTACGAGTAAAGTAATGGTGAATGCACTTAGGTGTGACTAAAAACGCAAAGAACTGAAAATGACAGCTGTTAAACTCTGCCTAACCAAGAACAGCAAGGTCATGTAACATTATGGTAAATGAGAAAATTTTTCTGAAAATTTATCTTCCTAAGCCCGATTATGTTTTTTAGTAGTACAGTACCTCTTTTCTGATGCGTACTCACCTACTCAGCAAATTTGTTGCCATATTTTATTTTAATCAGAAAATTCTCCAAAGCTCCCATTTCACGCAAAACTCTTACTACATCGGAACAACTGTGTCGATTTGCAAACACAAAAAGTTGCGGAATTTTTGGAACAACTGCTTGAGGTCCAGACATAAAGTTCAGTTCTTTGTGCACTTCGCACATAATTTGAATGATGTCACAGAATAGCAGATGTCCATCATTGACTGAGCTATGTTTCATTGCTTGGAATGCCCTTTTGTTGGGTAGACATTGAGATTTATGCAAGAATAATCTGATTGTGTTAGATCATATAAATAATGGAGCGTACTTGGATTTATACGGAGCAGACAGGGTTAGTATGATAGAAATGAAATCAGAAGCTATTATTTCCCTTCCACGGCATATTTTTTTCAAATCAACGCTCTATTCTGCTCTCCGAGACCCCTTTTGCCACACCTACTGCAGACGCGGGAGTTGTTTTTCGTTATCCACACATATTTTCAATCGGAGCTCACAGCATGAGCCAGTCAAAACACAAAAAGAGCTGAGGAGCAATCTAAAACAGCGCGGCGCTACTCTCGCCAAGCTGCAGCGCCACGTCCTGTAAATAAGTTAGAGATCCATACTTTACGCATAAGTGGATTTCCTCGCTTGAAGCAAAACTCGTAGTTGAGAGCGAGATCGTTTTAGCTGAAGCAGTGCTTACGTAGCCACAGCCTCCAAATGATAGACGTGCGTGTGGCTCGGCGGCGGCGATGGGCAGATTTTACGTAGGGGCCAGATGTACAACATAGGCGTCACATGTTCGTAAGGATCGCGGCGATCCACCTGTTCGATCGGAGCGATCGAGTTTCCGGTGACGTCACGCGAGCGGAAGGCGTCGCAGTCGCATCTTGTGCCACGACGCGTCTGCGACGCGACGTCACAACGTTCTCGTCAAAAAGCACGTTAAGCCGATACAGTGCAAGTGAAGGCGGAAGAGACTCTCGTCCGCGTGACGTCACACGCGGCGAGTGTTTCAAAAGTGTACGCTCGCTCTTCCTGTTCGAACGTGAAGGTTTCGAGTGTCGCGACGTGTGCGCGGACAAGCTCGCGTACGCATAAACACACAACACGCATGCAGGTTCAATTTGTTGACGTCTCAGCTGCTGATCGCGTTTTGTGTGTTCATTAGAGCCGATACTTGAATCGTTTATTGTTCATCATTCAAGCACACATCAGTGAAAACAAACAAAAGGGGCAAGAAGTACATGAGAATTGTTGTAGCTGTACTCGGAACAGATCATGACTGTGCAAAAAAAGGAAAAAAACACATGGAATATAGACATGGAACGAATTCAAAGAAAAAACTTATGACAACTTTTTTACCAACACATCAACGTCAGCTGATCATTCTTTAGAAATTCACAAAAGTAGCGAAATTTGAGAGTGAGTGACGGACACTTTAAGTATCGTCAAAAAATTTATGCCAAGATCGTGTTCGACCCGTAGCTGTTCCAATCATGATGTCAAGAGGAAAATATATATAAAATACGAATAAAGTTAGGGGAGGACGTAATTAAGAGAGCACACATCCATAAGAATAAGAAGTTCATCGTAATGTGTATAGCCGTGCTGGAATTAGTTCCAATGAACCTAAATTGGTCGAGAGTGAATCACGTGTGTAGTTCCAGGCAACAGAATTCTGTACAATGTACACTAAGATGATGCCGTTTGTGGTTGTTGTGATCCTGAAAATTTTTTATATTAATCCTTGAAATAGATCGGGATATATGTGGATTTTGGAGTTCAGCCAGCTATAGAGTAATAACTTTAAACTAATTGTATGAGCTCACTTTCACGCTTTGCACTTATTTTAGCTTGACCTTGCCTAATCTACTTTTGTACTTTTTATAGAAGATAATCATATAACTGCTTTGTTCGTTTTTTTATAGTTCTTTGAGCTTGGTACTTCCTTTTCAGATTAGCAACATTCACAACTTATTCTTGCACAGATAGTTTGGAAAAAAAAAGAATTCTCTCAAAAACTTTCAGATCAAAAGTTCTTAAAACAACATTCGTTCATTTCAATTTTATGCAAAGAGAAAACTACTGAATCGATAAAAGGATAGGCTTTCCTGGTTCCCAAAGGAATAGCCGGTGTTGGAGAGGCCTGGCCTTGTCAGATTGAAGGGAGAGATGGAATATGAGATGGAAAACAGCATGTTTTGCGGAATACGTATAGCCTGTAGGGGTAGTCTTTGTAAAATTCAATCAAAAAACTCGAACCGGTAATTCAAGATTAGGTTGAAGTACTGCGCGAAGGGTTTTTTTTGAATTTTCCCAGAAAGCTGTGTTTGAATTCGTTCTTTTTATACTTGGCGAAAATGCGTCAAGGCTATTTCGACAACAGCGATTCTCAAGTGGTCGGCCCATCACAATACCGCCATCCTTAAAGTTTTTCACACGTGGTTCGAGAAATGGCAGCTGATTTTCATGCCGAGCAAATCCGAAGCTAGATTAAAAATGAGATTCAGGAGACATTGAGCTCTTTTTGCAGACGAAGTAATTGACGAAAGCCGCACGCGATATGCCCTCTATTAACGCTCTAATGAAAGGAGGCTACCAAACGCTAGCAAAAAACCACAATTTGTGACTGGACTTTCTGTGAGCTCTCACGCAAGCTCTTGGAGAATTAATCTTCGAGTTTCAGTAAAATTTTATGATAGAAATCGGCAAATTCACTTGCGATAAAGTTTTCATTTGTTCGCCTACGAAGATAAGAAGAGATATCGCGCAGACGTCATCGACTATGAAAACAATGAATGAGACGGGACAAGGGAAGCTGGCGCAAAATGACGTGGGAATCGTGACGCTCATGAGAAATTCAGAAGATTTCTGCACAAAAGCTTTTGCTTCAAGGCGAGCCTAGTCATAATAAAAAGGGGGAGATGATACACGAGCTGACGTTAGCATTTTTTTTGTTCGTCATGCTCAGAGAAGCAGATTTATTTCTTTAGAAAAAGTCTTGAAGATGTAAGCATGACACTCACCATGTTGATCGTTGTGCTGGCGGGAATCGACATTGTCATCACATTGTGCTGACAGGTCGGACAGTCGTTCGGCTAGTTTTGCCGCTCCAGGATCATTCGTCTCCACCTGGAACTAAAACAACTGCGATATATCATGATCGCGTCATCGAAACATTGCTGAACAAAGCCTTTCGCTAAGTTCAAAAAGATATCGTGATCGCACCGGCCGAACTGCTGACCCTTGAGATAGGCTGCGATTAGCAAGCGCGACCGCAGCAGCGTGTCTGCTGTTTGTTGACTTTTAGGCATGACGTCACGTCAGCTCACGTTAAAATCAACGCTCGCGCCGACGAAAAACGCGACAGCGATTGAAGACAGGAACAGGTACAATCGCGATACATTTTTAATGGACCCTGTTATGGTATCGCGCACGCATCGAACGCGGTCTTGTTATTGATGGAGATTCTAATCTGTTATGATAGCATGTGGCTTCAACCGGAAGCAAAATAGGGCACTTGTCGCTCTTTCCTGGAGCGAGTCGAAACCAGAAAAGTGCAAGCCAGTGGCAGGAAAACTTTTGACGAAACATTCATTTTTGATTGACAAGCTAGAGCGCGATACGCCAATTCATATATAATTACGAGGCTCGCCATATGCATTTTTCCAGCGAATAATGCTCTGGCTCGCTCTCTCCCCTTCTTATCAAAAATGGCTAGACATCTGGTGTGGGCAAGCCGCGAGCCATTTCAGCCAAGATTTTTGATGTCTAAGAATCATACCATACTGCACAAAAAATTAGTGGGCACTCCTCTACTAGAAAAAAACACTAAACTGGTTATTTTCGCTCAAAGTCGAAAGCAAGTGTCGTGACACACGCAAGAGTCATGCGCGGCGCCAGAAAAAGATGTTCTTGACGACAATTGTGACAAAATATACGGCAGAAGAGGGGTCTCGGAATGAATGTCGTGGGCAAAAAACGTGGTTTGGATAGGTCCAAAATGGCAATGGCAATTAAGACGAGAAGAGTGTGAGCGCTCAATGGTGACGAGCGGGGCCTGCCGGTGATTTCGACATCGTCATCGACAGAAGACGCGGTGGGAGAAAAATGCTTTCACAAATTCATGATGAAAAATACTGAAATCCAGGGTTATAGGTAAAAAACTTATTGCATTTCATGAGGATACTCGCTATTGGCGATGGATTCAAAAACATTTGTGACGAGATAACACGAGGTCTGCGCAAAAAAACGGAAGAAAAAGTGGTGGTGGCACCTCTGCAGAACGCCGTAAGTGACCACAGCCGGATTTAGACGATAGAAATCTTGCTAAGAGATGGAGTACAGTGTAAAGAGAGAGTAGAACACATGGAAAAGATGTACAGTCATGGCTCACCTCGATTTCTGGGAGGGCATTACGTCTGCCGGCTCTTCCTGAAGCGACGAAGTGCTCCAGTGCGTCTCTCTCAGTCTCCAGTTCACCCATTGAGTGAATACGTGAAGCCCCGCCCCTCGTGTGTGTCGCGCCCCCGGCCGCGCCCCCACCCTCTCTCCGCATCGATCCGCACCGCAGAAGCCGACGCGGATTAGGAGCCATTAATCCCTACCCCCCCCCCTCTCCCTATTCCTCACTCTTTCACAATGTAATTGATGTTGGCGAGAGCGAGGAGGAATGAGTTTACCTTGGTGGAATAGCAGGCGAGGTTTGGATGCCTTGGCGGATCGCTAGGTCCTGCGATATCGCACCCGCTACTGCGACGCCTAGGAAATTTAGCAAAAAATGATCGCCCTTTTACTCGTTTTTCGACGCAAATCAACGCGGCACCCGTTCAAGCTGACCAGCTGCCGTCAACATTGTTTACTAGCTGTTGCCTGCTGGAGCTTCGCGCTTGGTCTTTGCACCTCTTTTTCAACGAAAAACCATTTTTCAAACTTGCTGAATTTTCGAAAAATCGCTCGAGCAATCTCCGAAATCGGATTTTTTCCACGCAAATATCGTGTTATTCAGCTAGAACACAGATTTGACGCCACTCGACCCCAGCTAATCCGGTCCGAACAGGCAACAGAAGAGATTATCGGAATGTGTGTGTGCCCAGTCGTCTATGACGCAATGCGGAATACCTGTCCGATCCGATTTGCATGCGACACGCGAAAGAAGTCATGCATTAAAATTCATTCGGAATTACTGAACAGGTGTTCAAATTTGAAAATTCAATGATTCATGCGATCATCTACAGGACATACTGAAGAGAAAACCGGACGTTCTCAAGTCGTAAGTTCATGTGCAAAAAAGAAAGTTCTCGTGACTTGACGAGGCATCATCTGATGTTATGAAGAGAATTCAGGTTTAGTTACATTTTAGTATGCCATCTACTAATATTTGTTCATATTGTTAACAAAGTCCACAGACTGATTTAGAATTGCGAACGTTCTCATGGTATTCCCAGCAATTTTCGCCGTTGCTGCATCAATAATGACCAAAAATGAGCTTTCTAAATATAGATGTTTCAAGGTGCTTTAAAAAACGGTTCTCTTATTTCAGACAAATGAATCTATATATAATGGGGCCTGCGTTCAACACGGAGCTACCACTTAAGATTTCCGAGCCTCTGGCCACTACTTTTTCCCAGATCTGGATTTTTTGGGGGTTTAAAGGCTCCACAAAAGGCTTAGCTATTCATAGATGTTCGTCACTCATCCCAAAGGTCCATATCCGCCTCCTCGTTCCCTCCTCAAGACAAGTGACGTCAGAATAAAAATTCTCCCGACACATCCAGTTCTTGTGTTCGTTGCAAAGACACGCGTTGCCTTTACGACTCAAAGTACAACGACCGGTTTCAGCTTCCCAGCAGCATATCCTATTCATGTAAATCGTTTTAAGTATCACTGTGTTTGGATGAGTCTCCGGTGAAGTGGGAAAGAAGTTTCTTCGGATACATCTGGACAGACGTGAGTAAAACTGCGGCGGACAGTTTTGCAGGTTCTACCAGAAATAGAAAAATGTCATTCATCTTTTTTTCGAAACTTCACTTCCGACAGAGCTGGTCGTTTATTGCGACCTTCCGGGGAATATGTAGAACAAAAGTGACAATGATGCATCGTCACCGTTTCCTTGAAAAATTTGCAACTGTTCTTGGAGCGCAGAAATGAAAAATTGGCGAAGTGTATTCACATCGAAAAAACTGTTTCCAAAAATTAATGGTTTTTTTCGATAATCTGACTACAAACTCCGTTCTCTTCTTGCTGTTTATGCATTGCTTATCTATGCAAGTGCTGCAGATGTTTGCATGTCATCAAATAGAAGAATACCAACAACAAGTCGACCATTTGTTGTTCGCTATTGTTTCGTCTCTCGTCACACTGGTTACAGATGCATGACTTCTATACTATTGTTAAAGAATTTCGAACTGAATGCAGTCACCGACACGGCACTTCAATCAGGCGCAGTCATAACTCATGACTGACTTATGGAAGGTTACATAAATTCAGACTAGTACAAAGTGCTTTTCTATAATACGTTAGGATTTGGTTTTGAGGCACCTCCCATTATCAGGAGATGATTTATCTCGCTCAATCACAAGGAACATGGCCTTAGCAGACGGTTGTTACGCAAAGGGCAGCACTACGCCAGCATTTTAGCGTTTTCCGTAGTTGATGTATATGAGGCAATGTCCTGAAAGGACAATTGGTGGCTATAGTTTAAGCTATGCCTACGATGTTAAGTATTCATGAATATAGTAATGATAGGATCTCCATCTTCTTAGCATCTTCTTACCATTTCACCAGGCCAGAAGTGAAAATTTGAAAAAAAAATAATCTTTGAATAAGCCAGTATTAATTCTTTTTCTTTCGCATGCGATGGGTATCTGTTCTAGCACTTTTTTAGAAATTCATATACATTGGCTCTTCACCTGTCAGGAATTTAGATATGCAACATATTCCTTTATTGTGTCATTTGAAAAAAAGCTATGTGGGATTGTAATGACAGTAACCCTGTCAAATGCGTATTTTCCTTGCGAAAAATGCCTGACGTTTTGTTGCATCAGTCTGATCTTTATTTTGAGAAAGATAAGAAACCAAAAAAAATCAATCTATATTCTATAGTGCTTATTCACAATTCAAATTAGCTCAGCACCGAAAACGGATACTCAAAAAAACGTTGCACAAGCTATCTATTTTGTTCGCTCAAAAAACGAACTACTCTACCAAACGTGAATCTTCGGAACTAGGATTAGTTAGAAAGTTTGGTCAGTAAACTAAAACGAGGAGGTTTGCTTGCTTGTGAAGAATACATTACTTAAGCTCTTCTAAAAAGTGAAATAAGTCTTAATCAAAATTTCTAATCGCAGAAAATCTGACTAATCGTCCCAGAGCGCTAAAATTATTCTTATTTGTCAGAGTCTGTATAATTTTTTTAAAACAAAAAGCTTAGCTTGAAAATTTCCAATTTTCTTTTCATATAGACACCTAGTAGATAGAGTTATTATTACTTTTTGAGTTGAATGCAATGAAAATGTGCACAAGATCTTAATAACTGAGATTGGTGGGAGTGGTTCGTTTCTCTCTTTATTCCTTTCATAGAAAATTTGTATAACCTTTTCCAAGGGTTCAGTCCAGCGAAAAACCATTTGCATTGGGATATGTGGAACATCCATCACCATATAACACGAAATTTGCAGAAATACTGATTTTCTATGTCGTTTTTTCCCATAAGCTCATGAATCTTGATAGGCTAAGATAACAAGTAGAAGTACAAACTTCCATCCACATTCAAATCAAAAACCTATTCAACACTTGGTCGCAGGTGGTTTTTGTTGCCTTATTGAGCTTCAAAACACATGATTTTAATTGTTACTGCTTGTTTTTCGTTGACATTCTCTTGACATTCTAGAAATAGCATTAGTGAGATAAATTGCTGTGTTGTTGAAACAATCGTACTACAAAGTACTGGGGCTTAGAAAGGAGTTCGTTTCAGCGGTCTTCGCCAAAGTACAGAAAATGAATGATCTGATAAATGATGTGTATTTTGTGCGAGTTCAGCTCTACTTTAGTGCGTAGAGATTTTATAGATGTTATAAGTCATCTCACATACAAGATAGGTTGAAAATGTAAAGAAAAATGAGATATGTAAATTTTTCGTAGAAATGAAGAATTGTGATGTGAAAAACTTTACAGCACAATAAAAAAATTATTAGGGCATACGAAAATCCGGCTTATTCAATGGATAAAGTTTATGGCATTTTGTAACTAATCCTTCCTCAAAAACCTTTGCTTTAACTCCGGCTGTAGATCAAGCTTTTCAAGAACAATTATGACAGCTCTTGAATATTGCAGGTGGTTTTGTACCAAAGCAAAATATGGCTTGGATAGAGTTGAGCTTTTTATTGGATATTGGGATTGAAGACTGACAATTTTCCTGACGTAAGACTTGAAGTTTCTGCTGTTTTCGAAGGGTCTTTGTAGCCTAAACAGGCTTCATCACTGAGTCACTAGCAGAGTAGGTATTCCCATTTCCTCAAGGAAATTAACTTCTCAAACCTTGTTTATGATCTCTCGAGTACCAAAGGCCTTGGAAAACTTATATAGAGAGAACCAGGGATTGAATGAACCACTTTTTTTTAGAATGAATAGAAGTTCACTGCCCTTTGTGATCAACCATAGTGTAGAAAAAGATAACAAAGAAGCAATTATTTTTTTTGCTGATAATGCGGACGCTTGGTGCAGGTAAAGTACAAGGTGTCCTAAAAAAATGTATCTCTTTTCGTTGGAAAGATCCCCCCGCAAAATCTTTCGCTTATCTAAGGATACCGTATGAAGGGTAGACTTCAATTTAGACTTGCAGCGTACAGTGACTCTTTCTTATTTCTGTAATACGGTAGAAACTTCCAGACGTTAATAAGATGAAAGTAGCTGCCATCGAAGGAATTCTCCAGAAACCTGAAAAGTCTTCTGATGGGATACACATCAAGTTCATCCTACATTTTGGACGAAGTAGTTTGTAAAGCCGTATGATTGCGGAGGAAAAATTGTAAATGATTGTACGATTTTTTGCTTGCATCAAAATCGAAGACAAACATACATTATACTACGATTTGCGAAGACAATCGTGGAGAAAAATTTCAGTTGATGGCCGGACAGCAACAAGAGTTGCACAATTGTGGTGATAAAGTTTCACTATGAACGATAATCCTTGTGCAAATCAAACAAAACCTCATAGTTTTCAAGAAAAGACTAAAAGTAAAGGCAACTGTTCTCCTCACTATATCATAGCGAAACGAAGCAAATTTATTACATGCCAACTCTATTACAGAAATGTACCATGAAAATTGCTTTCATCTAATCTATAACATTACTGAAGATTTGAAGATTTGGAGATTTACTGACTGAGCCTTTCTCCTATAGGTTACCGTTCAGGTGAAGGTAGGTCTCACTCCTGAGTCAAAAGATCCGTTTTTTTTTTGTCTGAGCACAAACAAATTTCACGACTCACAAGGGAAGCTTGTTTAATCGAAATGGCCTTTCGAAATGAGATGTATACAATATTAAAGAGCACAAAACGCTGATTCTAGACTTTCCTTCTTTATCTGCACAACATTTATGGACGAGGAGTTATGAGCGTTTTTTGGAGCCAAAATTTGAATGTGCATTGTTGATAAATTGAGTTGCTAAAATCTTACTAGCCCTCAAGCCATGCAGCCAAATGTGATACATTTTTTAATTTCAAAGTATTTTTGAAAATGCTCTGATCATTATCATTACTCCATTGAAGAGCTAGAAAAAGTATTACGGCCTGTCGTACACTAGCTATGATTCTTTAATTAAGCATCATGCAGCTGAGATCCTCTTCAGTTACCATTCGTCAGACCAGGTCCTTGACGCACCTCAAAAGACTGAGCTGGCAATCAGTTCATACTACTTTTGTAGAGTGTGTTTAAGGGAAAATGCTATGAGCATTTTACTGCAGCGAGGATCAGCATGGATCGCGTTTGTTATTGGCTGGAAGGGACCGATCAAGCACGCCGGTGACTGGCTGACAGAGGACCATCAAGCTCGCCGCTGATTGGCTGAAAAAGAATCGGCCAAGCATGCCAGTAATGGCTGGAATACTAGCAAAAATTGGTTCATTTGTAAGAAGATATTCATATTCTCCTCTCTCTAACTCGTCCCCAAAATAAACTGATAACGGTTACCTTCTTGATCTAAACAGCAATTTTTTTACTTTCCAAACGACCTTCTTAAGCAGATTCTCATTACAGTGCTGACCTGCGCCACGGTGGAATCGATCAACGATTTTTCTAAGAAAAGTCAAAACGTGTCTCAAAATCAAGAACTAGCTCAATCTCTCACAACGTTCCAAGTTTCATTTTTTTAATTTCAGTTTATCCGTACGCAATTGTTGTCCAAAAGAAAAAGAGAAAAGAAGCGAACATCAAACGAGCAAGGACTATAACAATTTGAAACACACCGAAATGTTAGACACTGTTTATTTACTCCTTTCTCGCCAAAGTACAGATAACAAATACAGGCAAATTCAAACTTATTTTCGAGCATCTCTCGAGAAATTTCACCAAACCTAATACCTCCACAGATGAACAAAATCATAGTGCAGGAGAATTTTCCTCAAGAAAAAACTGAAAGTTCAACTGCTTTACGAAAAGTTTTTACTTAGTTCGAGTCTATAAAGTGGGAATTGCACTTGCTTGTCTATAGATAAGTGCAACGTTTATTGAATGTTTTCAAAAAAAAATCTTGCAGCCTAGAACTAGGGAAAAACCATGGCTCATTTCAGCTCAAACGAGTCTCAAAACAGTCTTGTAAAAATCTTCTTCCTATCTCAAGGCACTCTATGCGAGGCAACCTGCACACCCTTACTAGCAACTTCTCAATAAGACCTTTTCTAGCGTAACAAACTGTACAAATGTGTACTGATAACCAATACATATCCAGTCAAATGAAAAAAAAAGACAAAAATAAGGAGAACTCCCTGAAAATGAGAACGTTAAATCTTTCAAGTCGTCGAGTTGCGCATATGGAGTGCAGTACGCACACCAAACAGCTAATGATGGCAATACGTAATGTGCGTGATGTTGATTCATTAGCATAGCAACATATGCCCCGATTTGCTTTATGCCATTTGAAAATCATCCCTCATCATCTAAGATATACGACTGACAGATGGATTAGCAAATCCCAAGTGGCAGTAATTCCGCATAAACAGACAAGCATATAGTAATCTCTCTCTTGTCAGTCAATCGTATGATTGCTGCTAAAGGTGCAACGGATGTCATAAGAAACATGCGGTGAATTAGGTGAATATTTGTAATTTTAGGATATTAGGGTGTGCTCAAAACTTCATGTACGCACTGTACAGCTCAAAAATTATAGAGGTGGGGAAGTACTCCTGAAAATACTTGCATGTTTATCTATATAATAAAGCAAACATGTGAATTTTATGAAATTGAGATTATGAACACAATACGTGTAGAAAAATCAAGATATTGATCAGCAACTACGCACTCGGGCTACGGTAGCTCAATTCGAATCCAAGATAGGCAAAGGTAAAGTCGTACATTTTGGAAATTTTCAAAGATTGAAGGGATTTTGTGCAACAAACAAATAGCATCGCATGTTTGGTTTCGAGACTTTTTTTATTTTTCAAGATAAGAATGGAGCAAAGCCCATCGGACAAATAGCAACAAAATTTTGTCAAAAATGAGTTTTAGTCCGTGGTGAACTATGAACGCATATGAGAAGACGATTGTATTTCCTTACATAGTATGCGCAGAAAAAGCTGGTTGAAATTTTAAAGTATGCTGAATCAATGCTGTATATTACTCCTAAGATATGCACGAGTTAATCCCACCACAAAAAAAACTTTTTTTTTCATTTAAGAAAAGATGGTGTTCAACATGCGCTTCTCTAGAACTAGGACATACTCTTTTTGCGATTATATAGCGAAAAAATCAGTACGCAAAGAGAACACTTAGCGACTCACTTACGTCTATAGTCTTTCGGAATTTAATGGAAACAATGAGTGAAACAACACTTGAACAAGCTTTGCATCTAACCATAGAAGGCTGTGATTCTCAACAAGTTCGACAAATACAGACTTGCGCCATCGGATTATATCGAGATTTACTGCATAATGGCAATAAGATAGTTTAAATTATAGCTTCGATATGTATCAATCTGGTTTGCGTTAAGAATTCAAACGCTTTGAAATTACGACTTTCAGTGGGCATAAGCTAAGAATCATCTCAGTCTTGGTTTGGTTTTGTTAGCTGGGTGCCAAATAACAGCGACTTTGAATCGGCTTTAAAAGTTTACGAAATTTTTTTTGTGATGGTCCTGTAGTGCCTAGCTCAGCAGTGACTTTGGGGTTTCTGCCGGAATTAAAATTTATAATGTATGTCGATTAGAATGGTTAGAAGACTGGATATTGGTAATGTGATGATGGTCTAATGAAAAAGATGGTTCCAAATGCTAATGTTCACTGCTAGAAAGGAAAGTACAAAATAACTTAATCGGAAAATGGGGCTGCAAAGATTCTCGTAAATAATTTTCGCATATATATTTCGCTCTCGTCTGAGCTGCAGTTGAATCGACTTTATTTGATCGTCAATGCAAGAGATGCCAGAATACCTGCTCTAATAACTGTAGCTTTTTTCTCAGATGAGTCTCCAAACGAAAGTTCGATGTAGAGACCATGATGAACATTGCCGTATCATGAAGTTCGTTTGAGGGAGATGTTCTCGAATTTTTAAATTTTAGCTGGACAGCCAAACAATGAAAGAATCATGTCACAGACCAACATTTTGATATTTTATTTGTCCTTTGGCCAGCACTTGCAAAGACCCCAAAAATTGTGATCTGCTATCAATCGGTTGACCCGATCGGGTTGTTCACCACACAGTCGTGGTTCAGTCCCTGTGGCTGATTATTTTATTTTTTACTTTATTTTTCAGATACTCATGTCATCCCTCAGCATGTTTCTCATTACTGAAAGTGCGTTCGCGTCTCACTTTCAAGAATTATTATTCCTTCTCTCTGGCACTCTTCCTAGATCTTCTCTTCCTGAGAATGTTGATGGATATTTTATTTTTACTGGATGTTTTATTTTATCACTGGAAAGATGCGACATCTCTTTTTTTACCCTGCATGATAACCTAGTTTCTAGCGAACTGAATGAAATTGATTACAAAAAATTTTCTGTCAGGTCACTGCACAGTTCTCGAGGCCAGATAGCGTCAGCAACGGCGCACGCATAGCGGAGCGTCTGTGCTCAGAGTTGCGCAAATTTCCGTTGCAAAAACGCTTCGGACCAAAAAGCGAACAGATGTTGTGGTCCGTGATGACCGTCTTCAGTTTGGGACATGTCTTTATATGCAAATGTGGCCGGCCGGGGAGGAGTGGCGTGGAATCGATAATAGCCAGTGGCCGATGTTGCCTCGTCCATGGACCATGCCTCCCTACACAGTAAGATCCGTGGTAAGTTCGAATTGATTTCTCTATCTTAACTTGGAAAGAGAAAAAATTCTCTACAACGTTTAAAAACGAAGTGCCGTTTCATAGTTGCCTTGGTTACATCACACTGTTGCGCACTGCGAAGCACTCAACAAACGACCCATTTGCTCTTTATTAGCAGTAGGGGATCTGTAGGAACACTGCGTTTCCAGCAAGTTCTTTTGAAGTCTTCGTTTTTGCCCATCAAGAAATTCCTGCTCAACCGCGAATAAGCGCACGCTTACGCTTATCTTCTTAACATGGCTGGCCTGATTCGCACCTCCTCAGCCACATCGATCCGTTGCATATCACTCCTTCAGTTGACTCTATGCACGCTAATAATCTCCAGATCTTCCCCAAGTAACGAACCATTGACCTTAGCCAAACTCGAATTCCTTCTTCCCCATCTTCAGAAAAATCTGACGTGTGACAGCTCCAAAAGCGCGGATTCATCCGCAACTGCACAAAAAACCGCTGCGTTGCCATCTGCAAACGAACCTCACGTAAGTGACAAGAAAATAAAGCATAAAATATTATCTAAAACTTACCCCTAGAAAAGATTTTTTTCCACAGTTGTTTCCTTCCCTTTCAAGCTTTGATGATGTCATCATTATCGTTGCGAGACCGTCCAGCAACTCTGAAGTCTCTCAAAAAAGGCTTGCCTTTTCTCCGACTTCTTTGCGTAAATAACGATTTTTGCTTTTGTAGAGTCAATGATTATTTGAGGATGGATATCGCACAAGAGGCGTTGTTGGTTTTCTAGGAGGTAGCCATCATATTCATAACAGTTTTGGGTTCTACTTTCCTTTGTTGGTTGAAGGCTAGACCACTGAATTCGTCTCAAACTTCGTTCTTTTATCTTTTGCGTCAGTCTGTTTTGGGCCCAGAGTGTCGCATGGTTTTTCGTTCTCAGAGTTTTCTTTCCGTTGTGTTGTGTTATTTGATTTTATTTGTTCCAGAGTTTGAAAACCGGATTCGGAAATGGAGACAGCTCAGATTTGGCTTCGTTGATTCGGCTCATTTGATACCTCCTCGAAGGTCCGCATCGTCCGATCCAAAACGCTTTACTGGTGAACTCTCGATTCTTATTACCTTTTTCTAACCTTTCTATACGGGATTTTTGTTCTTTCAACATCTTGTGTTGCAATGTTGCACCAAATTTTTCCTCAATTACTTCTTCTTTTCCAGCAACAGCACCATCAACGAGTGCTACACCAACTCATCGCTCTTCAAACGTGCTTCCAGTTGGTTGTAGATCGAGTCCAATGGCTCGGAAGGCTTGTAAGTTATCGCTAAGGCTGTTATTTTTTCACCTCTTGTTTCTGTTGCATTTGATGTGGACAACGCTTAGAGCTTGTGTCTTCAAAATGAGGCTCGGGCAACCACTGGGCAGCATCGTTTCTTATTTTCTCTAATTGAAATCGTGTTATTCTTTGTTTTATAAGCCTCGTAAAGCCTTTTATATATGGAGGTGCTCTCTCTATATGCACAAGAATCCAGAAGTATCAAATCTAGGAGCTAATAAATACACTTCCTCAGAACAGCTGCGCATATAATTTTATTACTTTCCCTGTGCTCTCTTTCCTCTTGACCTTCTTCTTAGTATTTTCCATAACTCAGGAACGAAGAAAAATTTATCAATTCACATCTCCTCCAGTCTGGGTATTGTTCGTAGAAATTACCCTAATCTGCGTAGGTTCTCTTTGGCTAGATGTTTTAAATGCTAAGGTGTTCTTTAGCCAAGTTTCAATTTTACCTCATCTCGACATCAACTTTTTAGTCACACTCAACTTGAATCCTGGCCAAGACAGACGAGAAATTGAGGAAATCGAACGGCGGTATGAAGCAGTCAAGAGAAATTCTGGGATTCTCCGGCTGAATGGTGAGTTCGTGACCCTGAGAATACCTAAGAATGTAAACAGTTTGTTCAGCGCGTTTCATTATAGGCGAAATAGTCAAAGCCGACTTCCGTGATCTAGAACTTATCTCTGAAATAGGCAGCGGCAGTTGTGGACGTGTATCCAAAATGAGTTATAAAGGCCACGTCATGGCTGTCAAGGTTAGTTGTTCTGTTTGAGGGTTTGATGCTGATTACATTGGGTGCAGTTGCACGTTACATACTCTTTACTCTTTATTGAAGTGGGTACTTACCGCTTTGTTCAAAACATTATGCTGCTTTGCTGATTTGAAACTCATTGAAACTCCCCACATCACTTAACTTTGAAAATCTTGACTGGTCATTTGTGTCGATCTTCGTTGTTCATAGTAAATTACCTTTTGTGTCTTTTTGAACAATCTCTGCAAATTTTTCCATATTTATTTGACTGTTATTTGGAGACTTGTTGAAAATTGTTGATGTTGTCAAACAGATCTAAGTACTAGACGAAATTTCAGTAGTCTTTTTTGTTAGCAGAAATCCATTTAATAAAAAGACACTCGAGTTTTGAATCTGAAACGCAGCTTTTCCGAAAAAGGAGGCTCAAGTTGAAGTTCTTCAGTGTCTTTTCATCAACATAATATCTGTAGGAAATGGCTCGAACTTCGGATAGAGAAGATAATAAGCGAATAATTATGGATTTGGATGTGATATCTCGAGCAGATGCGTCGCATCATATAGTCCTATGCTATGGTTACTTTATTTCGGAGGTAAGGATGCTGAACGTCTCTTCTTTTCTTTTTCTTGAACTTTCTTTGCATTGTGCAAGAGCTTATTTTTATTCATGAAGACTGATGCCTTAATGGTTCATTACAGACAAGTGTTAAAGTATGCATGGAAGTGATGGCATCGTCGCTTCATACTCTCCTGCGTAGTGCGAATAGTTTGGGGATTCGAATTGCCGAGGGATATATAGGGAAGATGTCTGTCAGCATTATACAGGCTCTGGATTACCTGAAGGACCACCTAGTGAGTAGATTTACCGAACTATTGCAAGAAAGTTGGAAATACTTTTCGTTTTTCGGATGCTTTGGTGCTCTTATTGACATTTTGCTCATATGAAGCTTCTCCAGTTAGCATTGACCTTGTATTACTCGATGATTTCAAAAAATTTTAAAACTTCAATACCGATAGCTTTTCTCTTATCTCTGCGCTTCGTCCACTAAGGTTTAGCCTTTGTAATGCTTGGGGAATGTTTTTGTGCAGCAGACGTTTCGCCGTTCATAAGTTGCAGTCAGTATCCATTGTTTCCCATTTTACGACTGGCTTTATATTATGTTCCTATATTATTGTAATGGCGTGCAAATTGCTCTTTTTGTTGACTTGTTAGCGATTCAGAGTGTGATCCATCGTGATGTCAAGCCATCGAATATTCTTTTGGACTGGAATGGTGTTGTAAAATTGTGCGATTTTGGAATCAGCGGACAGCTAATCGAATCCCGCGCCCACACAATTCAAGCTGGATGTCCACCTTACATGGCTCCGGAGAGGTTTGACCCTCGGGTTAGTGATTGGTTTCTATTCATTTGTGGGACTCATAAGTTTCCAAAATTTATCTATTGTCTCAGTCATCAGCCCAATGTTTCCACAATTTTGCCGAGGAATTTGTGCTTTCAGTACAATGCGGATTACGATATACGAAGTGATGTATGGTCGGTAGGAATCTCTTTAGTGGAGTTGGCTACAGGAAAATATCCATACTCTCATGTTGGATGTGAATTTGCAATACTTGCTGCCATTGTGCGAGATCCTCCGCCTACACTTCCACAGGTACTCGAAAATCTTAGCACAGGAGTGCGTATTTTCATTTGAATGCAAATGATTTAGAACATGAACTTCACTCCTGAGTTCCATGATTTCATATCACAATGTCTACAGAAAGATTTTCAACAACGCCCAAAATACAAAGCGCTGTTGGTGAGTTGTTTATATACTTGTTTTATTGATTTTATGGTAACGAATCACAAATGTGGGTGCTAGTTTCCATCGTTCGTCATTCTTCAGACATCTTCACAACTTTTCATGTTTCTTTCCGTTCCCTTTTTTAGCCATGTAATGCTTTGTGAGAGTCCTATACTTATCAGTTAGGCGTTTCTGCTCAAAATTGCTTGCCAAACCTGTGGCACTTTTTCCCTTTTCTTTTCTCCTTTTGCTTTTCGACTTTTCATCATATCTGTTCTTTATCTGTTCTTTGTACAAATAGTTGAAATATTACCCAATAAGAGGGATCTTTTTTAGAACCACCCATTTATCCGAAGGGCTGAACTAGACGAAGACCACGACCTCAGCATTCTTGTGCAGGATGTGCTGGGCGAGTAATCTCTTTACTGAACATAATTCTGTGCCCTTACTGTGCCCTCCTTCTAATTCATCATTTTCGCCAAGAGCACAGATTACTAATAGTCAAGGCAATTTGTTCCCTTTCACCACACGACTCTTCGCGCTGTGTTTCATAATTTTTGTTTTTGCTCCAACCAATTCACACGACGGGATGTATTGTGATCTTTTCTCAGTGTTGTTCCTCATTTGTTTTTCAATTATCGTCTTCACCTTGCAAATTTTCTCCAAAAGTGCATTTTCTGAAGTAACTAACAAACTCGGAACATATGCGATTCGTCCTTCTAGTTATACTTTGTCATAAGCAGCATATTGTCTGATTTCCGAGTGTTGCCTCTAATTTTGATACATCAGCGATGTTTGAGCCGACTGTTGCATGTTTATTTACTATTCTTTATATTTAAAAGTATGATTCGATGATGTTGTCATGTTATACCCAAAGAAACAGTTGAGATGCTTTCAATGAGCATGAGATAAAATGATTACTACTTGTTCTGTTTTGTTGACCATCGTTTAGTGACAAGCTGGAGAAGAGGGTTTATAAAGTTGAGGGATAGCATTCTCCTGTCAACATTTTTACCATAGCCTTGGGTCCTCAGTTCAAAAAAAAAACTCGTCGATCTTCACGAATCTGGTCTTTTCTGAGTGATAGTTTGCTTTAAGATTTTCGATGAGACCAAATGCTTACTGGCGACTTGGGATTCCTTGCAAATCATAAAGAACAAGTACGAAACAAAATAGTTGTGTGATTGAAATGGATTTTTATTTCTTTGCTACTACTTCGTGTTATTTATCCGGATTAGAGTCCTTGCACTACAGGATGGATGATGGATGTCAGCTATTTGGACTTTTGGAGATGGAAGTTTACTTCATATTACAGAGATCATTAGAAGATTGAACATATTGTCGATGAGCATCGATGTCACTCAATCATGTTTGGCTTTTTGACAGGCAAATCAAGCAAGAATATTTGAAACACTCGAGAGTGGTAGTACGTATGCAGTTTTGTGCAGCTCACATGATTCCGTTGGAAAATCAAACTCTTAACACCACCTTAGATAGTCCATTTGAGCAGACCAATCAGCGTTCACAAGTACGTAGAAATCACGGTTTGGGAGAAAATCAAATTTCACTACCATAAGTACCCCAATTTCACGCGTACAAGGCGCGGGGGAAATTTTTCCAAAATCGACGAGACCAACCACGCTGAAGGACTTCGTAACCAAAGGACCCTATACCTTGGTGTATATTGCTTAAAAGAATAGTACGGCGTAAAAATCGCTTTCTGAGATACAGTGAAGCGGCTAAGCGGCTTATGAAAAATCGAAAAAGCTGCGCCTTGTACGCATGTAATTAGGGTAAATAATATGAGATGTTGGCTTATTCAAGCCTCCCAATCAGTTTACACGTCAGATGTGGAGGTATCCAAACTTGTCTGGACAGCGCCTCAAGGCCTGAAGCAGCGTAATTTGGAAATGCAGAATATAAAAAACGGTTGTGAGTGGACCTCTGCAAAGGCGAGGAACCAAAATCTTGATCCTTATTGAAATAAAAAAATATTAGTTATTTTGAGTTTCGAAAAATAAGATCGAGCTGTTGTCTCCCTCTAGAGAGTATTTATATACAGGGTGTCCCAAAAGTATGTATCGAACGTTTGATCGTTAATAACTCTCTTCCCAAGAAGTCTTTTGCCTTGCTTTAGGTACCGTTTTGTAGAGCTGGCTTCAACTTAGATTTGCACTATAGAACGAATCATTCATCTCTCTTCATTACTGTAGGATTACGGTAGAAACTTGAAACATATGGTGTTAATGTGAAAAAAGCTGCCGTTTCAAAATTTTTCAAAAAATCGTGAAAACTTGTGTAATAGGGTTTTTATGGACGCTGAGTTCAATAATTAACTATTCACAAGATTACGAAGCTTTCTAAAGAGTGCAATCCCACTTTTTAGGAACATTGAAAAAATGGCCGCTACTTCTTACCTGGCATAACTCTTCAATGAAGCATCATAATAAGTTGGGAACTTTACAGTTATAATCAACAACTCTAATTAGCCTAGTGTAAAAGTTTTAAGGCTGTTTTGTTTCCTTTCTGGGGCAAAATATGGCCTTTCATTGCTTAAAACCCTCCTTGAAGTTTCTACCGTAATCCTACAGTAATGAAGAGAAATGAGTGATTCGTTCTATACTGCAAATCTAAGTTGAAGCCAGCTCTACAAAACGGTACCTGAAGCAAGGCAAAAGACTTCTTGGGAAGAGAGTTATTAACGATCAAACGTTCGATACATACTTTTGGGACACCCTGTATAGATGGCAGTGGCGTACCCAGGATTTCGCTCGGGGGGGGGGGGGGACAAAAAATTTTTTCGAATGAAGGTGCGTGGCGTTAGCCACGCACACCGGAAAATTTTTTGGGGCGCCCTCCAAAATTTTTGAGGCCCCTTGACCCCAAAATTTCAGAAAAAGGGAGGCGCGGCGGTTTTTTTACAAGGCTAATTTAAATTTTTAAAAATTTTTAAAAATTATTTCAATTATTTACAAGTAAAAACAAGTCGCTTGCACATTTTTATAACACATTCAAGTAACTTTCAAAAATTTCGCGACCCATTCTCGGGGGGAAGGAGGGGGGAGGGCCCTTCCCTGCCTCGGTACGCCACTGATAGATGGGACATTGTAGATCGTTTTGCACATGCTGAAATCGTGTAAACATAGTTTATTATGTAGCTTGTCATGTCTGTTGAAGTGGAGTAATCACTCTATTTATGACTGGATTCTTTGGACTCTAAGCCAATTGCATGTAAAACAACATGTTTATAAGCAGAAAATAGCTCTGCCTGGCATCAAAGATTTCCAGTGGATTCATGGACAACTTGGAAAGAATGCAGCTACATTTCATCTTCACTTTCACTTTTATCCGATAAGGGCAAGGCGTTTCACACAACCTTCGAAATAAATAAATCGTAGGTTCTACGGGCACTGAACAAGAACAAACTAGTATGTTAGTTTGAGTTTAGTCGTTCTAAAGAAATAACGTAAGGGTTCAGGTGGTGGGAATTATAAGATTGGAGCTTATTTTACTATGAAATTCATTGAAGTCGAATTAATGCGCCCTCATTTCTTGGCAAAAACTGCTTTGAATGTTAACCTTTTAGTATTACATTTACTTGGCACCTCTTGCTATGCTAACTACATGAGTTTGCTACGCTTGATAAAAGTTGTAAAACAATGAGCGATTTCTATTTTGACACACAATAACGACGGATTTGCAATTCTTTCTCAGGCTAAAAACTAGCTGAAACAAATCGGGATGCTTTCGTGATTCTTCAGTGCATCAACTAGGCGGGTCACTCGTCACACTCTGATCGCGAGGGAGGCTAGCAAATACGGTCAACGTCCTCGTTCTATCCTCTCCGATCGCATTGAATCTTCAGCGTTCAACGATTTTTCTCTTTTGCACATATAACGGTTGTTCTGGTTAGATATTTGGTCTCAATGGTGTCAATTTCTCTAAAAATAAAATTTCTTGGTATAGTCTTTTTATTCTTTGAAAAATAGCTTTTTCAAGTGATAAATTACTGTAAAGAACAGCTTGGTTAGTTTTTTAGGCTCAGAATAAGATTCAGACCACCTCTTGTCAATTTCGTAATTCTTTCCGTCGACGAATTCCTCACGTTAAGCCGGACACTCCAGTGCTCTGGATCCAGTGTAATTCAGCCCGAAAACTAATCCTCCTGTTCAGATGTTTGCTCGAACACGACCGGACATAAAATTTTCTTGTAATTTTCCAGAGAAATTCAGGAAGCTGTTCTTTGTCAGACTAAGATTGGCAGGGGCGTATGCTTTACCATGACAACAATTGCTGCAATATAGTCAAGCCATTTTCGAGTGTTTGTGTTACGTTAGTAAATCTATGTTATAAATAAATTTTTCGAATTTTGTCAGTTCTGTAGATTTAGAATCTTGGACCTCTAGGATGATCATCTTCAGCAGGTGAGGGCAAAAATAAAAGAAACTTGGAAGAAACCATGACCTCGAAAACTCAAGGTGACATCTTGACCTCGCGGAGGCAGAAGGAATTATTTGTTTTCAACCAAAAAAACTTTCTGTATAATCATTATCACCTGGACAGCATTTTTATTTTGACCTATTCTAGCTCTCCAAAAGTTGAATTTACAGTCATGCCATATTTTAGTAAGCAAAGAACATCCTCAGCTGAATACCTTCTGCATTATTTCCAATGCTCCAATCCCCTTCCGCTGCTTCAGCTCCTGCCACGACTTCCTGAAAAATAGCCATGCAATGTCAATATGGGCTTTTTGCTTTCCGGATGACCTGTTCTGCTTGTCGGACCCGACCGTCTCCGGTTTTTATTTACAAACCAGCACCTTCATGGTCGTTAGCGCCTTTCGAAGGAGGGCTCTCTTGTCGCTGTTTCATATTCTCCTTGCTTTGAAATGCTTTGATGTAGCCGAAAATTTACTATGGAAAGGAAAATAGCGTAGGCAATAATGTGAGAGTGAAAACGAGTTCATTTTTTCATAAGCTTTGCAATAAAGGCCGGATATTCGTTGACCGATCCGATTTGCGCTGGATGAGGCTATCTCGTTGGTCAATATATTCATTTGCTCATCATCCTGGCAGCAAATGCAAGCGGACCACCCCTCCAGTCCAGCCCATTCTCGGACCTAGTCCCATCATTTGCTTGCAACGCTCCGTGAGCAATTTCCAGCCCCCTTCGAAGCCCACCGGAAGACCACGTTCTGGCTCGCAGATTTCCGGTGATTTGCGTGCTGTCCACTTCATGAGTGCAGTTTTTATTTAGCTGGCGAGTAGCCTTGGGAGTTTTCTCGAGAAATAATAGAAAAGCTGAAATTCTCTGCTGCGAACACTATTGGAAAATGGCTTTTGCAACGTTATGCCGTAGATTTACTTATTCCACGCTTTGCCAAGCTCTCGCTCCTACCCTCCAGGCCTTTTACTCTAATAAAGACAAAACAATCAAATCTGACAAGTGTTTCTTGAGGTTCCAGCTTGTGTTTCAAGTTTTATGCTTAGACAACGCGGCCCCGAACGCTCTGAGCAGCCCCCCCCCCCTTCTCACCACTTAAGATTAGCCAACATTGGACATCGACGCACGCCTTACACTCAATAACGTCTTACGCTCAAATATTATGCTTATCCTCGCTTGATTCAGCTCATAACTTTTTTTAGCAAATAGTTTGAATCCAAAATTTTCGAATTTTTCACGTTTTTTAGCGGCTAGGTCAACAGTTTATCTTTTCTGAACCTCTGCTTTCCGACTACCTCCTGCAATTTACATCATTTGCTATTTGAGCCACGTCATTACTCAAATTGCCTGCTTTTATGTTAAAGTTTCAAATTTCAGCCTTTACTTAGGACCATGTTTATCTTCCTATTGCTCTCGCACTGAGCACCACTTTCGGCCTCAAAACCTTTTGATAATCGTCTGGTTGTCTGCAATCGAGCTCCAACAATAAGAGTTTAATTTATACCTGAGTCTGGATTTTCAGTTAGCATTGGTATCACATAAAATAAGTGTTTCTTATCTCTGACTGCAAAGAATACATTTCATTTGCGCTTTCCTAATGGAAAGTTCAAAACATAGAGTTGAAAAGTCGATTTTTAGGTTTTTGTTTTGCATGGTATTTATAGTAAGATTTCTTTGCAAAAACCCTGTCAACCCTAAATTCTAAAGTTTTTTGTGGGCTAACAAAATTACGCATTTAAAATTAAATATTACTGTGAAGGTGCTCGAAAAAACAGACTCATATGTAGATTCAATTGACTGGAGCTATATTAAGAACTCTTGCATAGTATCTCACAAAGCTATATTGTTTATCCTGTTCGTTCTGTTTGTGAGAAGACCACACATTACTTGGTTTCGCAAGAATAGTTGAGAAGCCTCGTAAGCTTCTAATCCCACATAATCCAATTCCCGAAGGAGTGGCACATGCGCAACGCCAAATTGCGTATGCATGGTCCACTAGCTCAAAGCTCCAAATACGAAAGCCTAAGCAAGATTTACCAGCCCACTTAAGCCTCGTTATAAGAATGAACAGTGGCTGAATCCTTAAAGAACACCTGTGGATTGGTCCTGCTTCCACATTGTGGTTTTTACATCTCACGAACTATGTCCTCGCAAGCAAGCACCAAATTCGCTATCCTGTTCGAAGCGCGCATCGGTGTCCCACAAAAATTGCGATGTTCATTTTAGTGGACGGGTGGAAATGGGTCAACGTGAGGTCGATTTGCCTCAGCTATTCAGCGACGTCTCTCGGACCATCAGCGGCATTACGAATATTATGGGTGCTGGACCAAGTCAAGGTTGGTCCCATTTCTTCATTCATAAGCGATAACATAATTCGTCTTGTAATTCGAGAAAAAATTCAAAACTCCCACCAAGACGAATAGAGTAAATAGAAGTACACTAGCGTTACTTAGAATGAATAAATCAAAACTAAGGTTTCGCATTTATTCAGTGTTTCCCTTGGATACGAACCGCCTAAATGAAATTCATCCGTCAATATTTGCGACGCAACGATGAAAGTGAACAAACACTTGAAATGAGGTTTTTTTAGGCCGCGTAGTTCAACTTACAAATCATTCTTTGTAATTCATCCACTTCTCACTCCATATATGTCCATTTTGAAGCGCATACCATTTTTCAAAGCTTATTGGGCAAGTTATAAGTAGTCTCAAAACAGAAGCTCCAGTTTTTTATGCAAGTATTCGTCTGGTTTTCTTCTATCCCCAAACGAAGAGTAACATCCGATATCCATTTTCTCAAGTATCTCCTCGTACTAGGTAACCAACAAGCACCTCCACATCCGAAGGTTTTTTCTCGTTTCCGGCATTGCATGCGTAGTTCACCTTCATATAACGTGAACTTCAGTCTCAGGACATTTAGGTCCCTCCACGGTTCTAATTTTTATGAAAGGAGCCCTAGATTTTTTTGACATTATGTACATACTATGCACTGAGTATTAATTTAATTAGGGTAACTCTATTAACCACAACTCCTTATACACAGCCATATATTTAAACACCTTCGAGTCATAACTTTGACTTCGAGAATTGTCAGAAAATTTGTTTCCTTGTGGAAACGGCGGCAGAATAAGATAGCTTAGAAAATGCTTGATTTTCTTAGGCTCTATTCAAGGGAGGAGATTTTTGATCGGAAACTTACCTCGCGGTGGTCATTATTATACGCAAACAATCAATTTGTTGGCTGTTCACCGAAAATCATTTTCAATACTATAAAAAGCGTAAATGAGCATGCTTTTCGTCTAATTTCTATTTGCGTCACATTTTTTTTGCTAAGAGAGCAATTTTGCAAGTTCTTATGTTGTCCATTGAATAACAACAATGACTAAGATTGTCGGGAAGCCTTTGCTGACAGAACTAAAATTTTCCTATCCCCTCCTTTCCAGTAAGTGCTCCAATAATAACCCGGACCATAATAGTATGGACCGGATCCACGCAGGGGTCTATTATGGCCGAGCCAAAAGGCTATCCACTCATCTCCGCGTATTCACCTGAGTTGCGTTCAAACAGCACCGTCACGCGGGTGACACACACACTCCTGTCAGCTTTGATATTTCTGTCGTTTTTGGCTCAATCACTCTTCATTCTCGTAGCTTAGCCTTAATTACAATCTCAAACAGTGTCTTTACGGGGAAGAGCTCGAATTTTCTAATTTAGACGCTCCCGAATCGCCTCACGCATCGGCTTCCACAATGGTTGGAAGTTTATTCGGAAATACTTGCTTTAAAGCATGTGGTATGGAGGATATACAGTATGCTGCTAGGGTAAGGCCTACCAACCTAATTTTTTCAGAAATTATCGAAATAAATTTTTTTGCAGTCCGCTGGAGACATGCTGATTACCCTACGTATTTGTATACTAGCCAGTACCATAATCTTTCTCATATGTATGGTTGTACTCACTGGTGTGATACTGTTTACCGTTTGTAGAAAGGTGAGTAAATAGCCATGGGTTCAGCGGCAGTTGACCCAGTTGTCAGCGATTAGCGGGTAGTGAAATATGACCAATTAAAACATTACTGGCAATTCGCCAAATAATTTGGTGATTTAGGAGTGGTATTGGTTATCTTAACCGGATAGTTGTCTTGTTTACAGTCTTTATTTTCCATGACAAATTAAGCTCGAGTTTTAGGAATTTTTATTTCCCTAAGCCTTCCTTACGATTACCTAAGTGTTTCAAACATCCCATATGTTTGACTAAAGTTCGACATAAAAGCTCAAAAAGTAAAAAGTCTTTAAAAAGCTCACAATTTTTTGAGTTTGATTATTTTCACCTGTGAGATCACATTCTAGCCGTCTTAAATGATATTTTTGCAAACATATATACTTTCTTCTAGAACTGAATTGAGTAGCTACGAGTACCCCACTCATTTCTATTATTTACCCTGCAGATCTTGGCACAATGGCTGCGCCAGTTGTTTGTGGGAACATTTTGATTTGGAAGAACTTTTGTGAATAGCGATGTTAACCACATAAACATCGATGCTATGAATGAGTCTAGAGCGAGCAACTATCTGAGAAGAAAAGCAGGTAGAACAGCGCACGATTGCGAAAAAACATTTGATTTTCTGCCCAGTTAATCCCAAGAATCGACTCGTCCCGATCCTTTTGGTCTTGCAAACAATTGGGGTTCAACAATCTGTCGCTATAAGGTCGCTGTTTCCTCACGTTTTCCTCGGCGCTGACTCTCTTACCTCACGCTTTGTGGGGCTGTCGTTTTGATTGTTTATTCAACGAAATTCGCACGGACGCTTTTGTTTGGAGAAAAATTCTGTGAACTGAACATCTGATTTCGGAAGAAAATGGGTGAATCATAGCAGGGTAACACTAATTATGCTTTGATAAATAGAAAATTCTTGAATATTCTAATGGATTCCTGCCAGGAAGATGGGTATCAAGTTCAGAAAAGAAGTTCCAAAAAATTTCTGCACGGATATTACTTTTCTGAGTGTCCACCCCCCACCCCCAGCATAATAGGGTAATTGATTACGGTAACGTAGGACGTTTCAGAGTAGAGCTCGATCAAAACAACAAATACAATCTACTGAGCCTTTGGTAAAGTCAAATCACAGTAAGTTTATATTGAGTGCAGTGCATAGAATAGCCGTAGTACCCTTTGTTTTTTTGTGCATCTGCACACTTGTTGTGGTGTTTGTGATCACTCAGCACAAAATAACAGATATGAAGTAAAATTTTGCTATAAATCCCTTTTTGGCTTATTATAAAATTTGCCTAAATACCTAATTTTCAGAAATATTGTTATATGGGTTCATATCTCTTTGTAAACCAAAAATGAGAAAAAAACTAGTACAGCTTACTAAGTACACTTAAGTTATATCTGCGTGAATTTTATATTGCTTACAATAACTGGATCTTTTCCTACCAAAATGAATTTCGGGAAGTTCTTACAAAAAATTACAAAAAACTCAAGCTGACCATCACCAATTCACCTGTCCACGCCAACAAAAGCGGAAATTAACTTTTCCAATTTATTGAGGGCAACTATCCATGAGCATTCTTTTATGCCAACTACCACAAGCATTTAAGTATAAAATTATTTTCAGTCAACACCAAGGAGATTTCCACTGCCAGCGTTTGTTCGTGACGTTTTTCCTTCTCGACAGGAAAGTGGCAAAGAATCGCCAAATACCTGAAAGTGCACTTAGCTCCTTTTGAACCTGCACTAAAATTACTGCTGCAACCATGTCTGTGCTGTATGTAAATGCCATTTTCGGGAGTTTCTGTTTTCTTTTCACCCTGTTTTTCTTAACTGAACAAATGTGCTATCCTACCTAGTCAACTTCCGTGCTTTTCCTTCTTCGATACCAAATGTTACCGCTATTGGGTAAGTGTAGTGAGAAGCTGTTTATTGTATGGTGTTTTCACGTGTATACATTTGCTTTCTAATGGATATGCTCAGAATGAATATTCGAAATGTTCCAGAATTTGTTTTTGGTAACATGACACCAATTATTCAACCAGATCGCATAGTACTTAGCTATGCACAGCACGTAACTCTAGAGGATTTGCTACCTTGCTCAATAAATTGATTTGAAATTTCGTAACCAGAAAATTTAGAAAATTGGAAACATTATAGAGAGTCAGTCTGTCTGTTTTCCACTCAAATTTTTCTAAAATGGAATGAATTCTGTGGCAAAACTGCGATGATATGAGGAACATGCTGAAACTATCATACTCTATCCAACTTCATGGCTTAATTTCGGGACTGATGTCGATTAGAGGATATTAGCGGTAGAATTGACATAGCGTATGTGTTACAGAAAACTTTTATGAATCAAAAATGCATTAATCGAATATGAATGTTTGCGACATGTTGTCACAGTCATCTAGGAAATTCTTCACAAACAAGAACTAATTTCAAGAAATCAATGATAGCTGGTGCTGCTTCTAATTTTTATGTATCGAATTTTAATTGGGAGGGTGTAGTGCAAAAAAAGCCAACGATTCCTTCTTTAATTGACTGTTGAAGTACTAAATTAGGTGATCAAAGATGTGTTTCATTTTTTGAAGAGACTTCAAAGATGAGAAATGGCAAAGTTAAAAGTTTATTGAGCATGAGTTTTGACAGTAACGGCCCTTGAGTCTTATAAATGCGTAAATAAAACAATACACTAAAACAATTACATCAACTAAGCTACAAAGTAAATTTATACATATTACACACGCAACCAGACTCCGCAAAAGCAATATATTAGGTCGTCCCGAAAGTATTTTCGCTTTTTTCAAACAATCGCCACGGCCCGCAGAACAAACATCCTTAAAAGATTCTGGAATTATTCGATGCAGTTTTTTTATGCTCTTTCAAATGGTCATCTTTACATTGCAGCTTAACAAACAAGCTCTTAGAAAATAACCAAAAACTGCAACCCATAGTTTTTGCCATAGTCAATTTCCGGTATTTTTCTAAATTCCTGTAGTAATTTCCCGAAGGAGTTCAAGTGACCTTTAAATAGTGCAAACAAAGTAGGATACAAAACAATTTCCGCCCCTTCCAAATCTTACTTTACAAAAGTTTTAGAAATTTTTTAATGCTATCAAATTCTATATTTCGGCAACTTAAACCTCATAGAGCATCACTCGGGAAGCAACTCGGGTGTTATTCGATGCAGCATCTTCTCCTCTTTCAGAGGCATGTTTTTCGTTTCTGATTCGTAAACTTTTAGAGGACAAAATCGACAAAATTCATGTTTTCGATGGCGCCCCAAGATGTACCCGAAAAATTCAAAATCTGATATTTCGAATCCGAAAACGCTCATTTTTCTTATAAAGCTATTAATAAATCTTAATCTATCTTTAAAATTATTAAAAACTGAGAATTTCTTAGAGTTTGACGAGTCTGCGTCTGGTATGGGTCTGCTAAAAATCGATAATGTTGTTTAAAATTTTGTCAGAAAATTATGGAGAGATCTGGGAAGGAGAAAGAAATTGTTTTGTATCCTACTTGGTTTGCTCTATCAGAAGGTTACTTGGGCTTTTTCGGAGAATCAGTACCAGAATTTAGAAAAATAGCGAAAGTTGACCTTGGTAAAAAGCGTGGGTCGCAGTTTTTGGTAATTTTCTGAGAGCTCGTTTGTTAAACTGCAATATAAAGATAACCGTTTGAAAGAGCATAAAAACTGCATCAAATGCTTCCAAGATCTTTTAAAGATGTTTGTTCTGCGGACCGTGGCGATTGTTTGAAAAAAGCGAAAATACTTTCGGGACGACCTAATATTTCTTTTATCCATTAACAACAGTATTTTCACTGTTTAATACCATTTCTCGATGTGCTATGATGGCGGCAAGCTCGGGACCAATAGACCGCTTTGTAGAATAATTTGAGTAAACATCTTCTAGCATTTCGACGTCGTCTTCGTTGGTTGTTGTCCAGTCCCTGCAATTTCATTTCTAAGTTAAATTTCAAAAGTATTTGAGAATCACTTACCACTCGGTGGTTGCGACAGGTTGCTTTTTATACAAAATCTGTGAGAAAACACTTCTGACATCTTTTCTTAGTACGAATACTACAACAAATTTGAGCGGTACGAGGACGTAATAAATAATCATTCCGATGATATCCGTATTTTTGTGCATCATTCTGAAAGAATTTGCGAAAGTCAAAGAAGATGGTCAAAGATTGAATATAGTATTATATTTTCTCGAAAATATTCCTAATGACAGCAAGAAGAGTTATGTAATTGATCTAGAAGGGAGTAGTAAAATCTGCTACATACTAAGCGAAATACGTTAATTACGAGGTGTATAAACGGAGTAAATTCTCAAACAACCTACCGAATGTTAATAACTTTTGACTCGGTACATACATAATTCGGTACATATTTACATGGCAATGAATGTTCAAGAAAAAGTTTGGAAATTACCTGAGAATTGGAAATACACAGCTCTCACCACCAGATGCGCACTGCTTTGGCCTATTCCAGCCTTCTGAAATGTTTAAGTTGATATGAGTAAGGGTTATCATTCGTACCGTTTAGTATATCTATCTTATAGCCCTTTAGAATGTAACAGGAGATCTCTGTCTGCAATGCTTGAACCTCATTCTTATCAATAACTAATACATCATTTGAATGACAGAAAAAGATCTAGCGTCTCGTTTCTGTCATTTCATGTTGATTTAGCTTGAATTTTTGCAGTTAATGGGGCACTAAAATGTTGCTCAAATAACTGAGAAACTGAGATTAATCTATTGCTTATGGCTACTGGTTATTCTGTTGCACATATACTTCTCGGGCAAAAATACGCCTAGAGTAAAACTTGATAGCCCAATAATTAGCAATTAAGCTCACGACAAGCACTCATGGTTAAGGTTTTTTTAAGATACTGGGTACCCAACTCGAAGAAGCAGAAGTAATTCGAAGTCTTACCTTCAAGGTGACAAAACCCGTGTATATTGCGGGGTGAGCAGCAGTTGTGAGCAGTTTGAATTTCATTCCATACATGACACGGAGCAGTTCCTTGCTTGACCTATAGTAAACAAACAACTCATGCCCAAAGATAATAATATCAGCGAACTTGTGCTAATAAAATTTTCGTAGTAGGAAAAATGAAGTCTAGACAACCTCATTCTCAACTTACTAGACAAAGACAAAGGATCGCTCGAAAAATGAGAATGCAATAATATAAGACAAGTTGTATACTTTTATTAGAAAATTTTCGCAAAACATTTTGCTGCTCCTTAATGGGAATCCCAAGGGCGTAAAGGGCGTGAAAAATAAAAAATTCGCCCAAAGGGAGGGAGGGAACAGATTTTTTCAAAAAAAAAATATACTTTATCATTTCACCTGCTCGGTTGTGATGTTATGAATATGATCAGCAATACTTCGATGAATCCCACTAAAATGTTCCACGAATGGTATGATCATTACACCATCCGTGATCAGCAGCGGTACCATAAATAACCAGTAGGCAGAAAGTAAGCAGCTATTTGATATGAGCACTCCTACTAATCCACATACACATGTGAAAAACTGAAAAGTAGCATTTTACGAGCATCAAATTACAAATATTTTCCAGTCTTTGCACTGATTATCTCATTGAAATGACTTGGAAGTAAATTACCAACACTTCAATAACTTCAAAGAACAAGTAATAAAGCTAAAAATTGTAACAAAAACGACATAATAATCGAAAATATTAGGTTGTCCCGAAAGTTTTGTCGGTTTCAAACCACTGTTAAACCACGCACAATAAAGATTTGAGTGAGTTTCAACGTGCATTCGATGCAGCTTTTCCTCCTCTTTCTTATGGATACACTTTCATACCATAACCTTGTATGCTTTTTTTGATAATTGCCAAATTCTCTACTTGTCAGTTTTACCTGCTCACAGTTGAGCTAATTTTCTAAAATTTCATTACAAAGTTTCGAAAAAGACTAAGTATGGGTCAAATAGAGCAACTCTCGGGCTACAAGCTCATAGTTTTAGATTCTCCTAATCTGCTGATTTTAACTTCAAAAAATTTCTCCGGAGGCCTTGGTCTTTAGCAAAGTCATGAAACGCGCGATTGCAGCAAAAGCTTTTGAGTTTTTGCGAATTCAAACTAGTTTGTTATTGAACATCATTTATGCAACATAACCAAGTTTGATTTGCTTCAAAAATCAGCTTTTTGGAATTTTCGGTAATTTCACGTGATAAAACGTGTTTAAAAAGCCGCGGTTTTTCTCAAATAAATAATTCTTTTGGACATTATAAATGTGGCCCACGTAATCTAAAATAGGCACACTGTAGCCAAAGGTTTGCCCTACATAACAGTCACCAGCGCTCATCGAAAATATCAAGATAAAAATTTTGAAAATTCAGGAAATTTTTGGCGCTACTGCTGAGGTGCTCAAAAAGCCATGGCGATAACATCGTAAAGACGGGGTAGATCAGGGAACAAATATAGCTATAAGAAAGAGGATACAAAAATGAATAGAATGACACCTAGGCCGTCCATGTATTGGTGTTCTGTGAGGTTTGGTGAGCGATGAAAAAAACCGACAAAACTTTCGGGACAACCTAATAGTTATAAAATCAAATAATTGCGAAAAATCAACGAATTATGAAGAGTTATATCTTGCTCTAATAGAAATAAAGTTGTACCAGATTTGAGCTTGGAGAAATTGGTAATCAAAGGTTTTGTGGAAGTTAGCTAGAGGTTCCAGTATACGACCTTAATTCTTTCTCAGTATATTCAGATGCATTTGAAGGTCTTTGAGCTCACCAATAGGCAGCTACAGTAATACTACAGTAACATGCAATTCTGTTACGTCATTATATTGTGACATCAAATGGCTTGCAATTCCCATAGTGTTACATTAAAGTCCAAGTCGATTTCTATCACGACAACATAGAAACCAAAAAGTTGAAATGATAAAAAATTGAAAATCAAAAAAAAATTCTAAGTGTTAACAGAATCCGGTTTTTGAGGTGCAGTAATATAATGGGAGGAAAAGGAGGTAGAAGCGTTGACAAAATTCTAAGACTCACCTGAATCCCAATAAGTATAAAGTAAAATATAAATAGTGGATGAGTATATCCTGTAGGAATGAGATGCCACCAATCCTCTGAGAATGTTTTGATGATGTACCCGATAAGAATAATCTGAATAAATCAATACCGTTCAGCATCTCGATTTCATAAAGCAAAAGCTTACTTCCACCACTATTAATGAACAATTCACGGAATATATCCATTGCTTATAGTTGGCCATGTTGACAATGCATAGAAATCGATTACCGCAGGAAAGAATAACCAGAAAATTTTACGAAATTCCGTCAAGCAGGTACAAGACGTGCTGTCGATGTTTATTTAATAGCTTTGTATTGTCGTTCGGAAGCGCTGCTCATCGCCGGATGATTCACCTAATGAAAAAAGTGCACGGAAAGGAAAAAGCGATTGGGAAAAACAAAAGTCTGGTATAAAACAATTCGGTTGAATACAGAGATCGACGCCACGCGTGATGGCGACTGGCATCAATGGCGTTCTAACACAATGTGAGAATCGGAATTGCTGAATGGAAGCCAACACTTGGTGGGAGCAAGTGAAAAGCCTAGCACAAGAGCAAATGTAAATTTGCTTTACTGCGATAGACTCCAGACTCAAATGTCAATAAGTGACTTTATCAAGTTAGATAAGGAGCTAAAAATCTCAAAACAATCATTCAAAAAAGCTCCGATGTAGGGCTTAGTTTGTATAGCTACGGTCACATAAAAAATTACAAAATTGATTTTCTTAGCATTTTGTGGTTTTCGCTGGTCTTGATGTGACTTTAATCAGATATCATTATGTAATATTGCTATAAGTCGAATCGGATTTCAAGCGATCACACAGTCCAAAAATGCCGCAAAATTGCATGGAAAATCAAATTTAATTGCTTTTGCAGACTCCATCTACATATTTCTCGAATCTGTTTATGACTCTATAGTTTCATTGTTTTGTGCTCTTCTCACATATCAGAAATCGCTTGTGCTTTGAAACAAAATAGCGCTGGTCTTGATGTGGTTAAAAATTGCAAACAGCTTACTGAAATTTCAGCTTGAGCCTGATTTTATTCTTTGAAGGTCTCAGGGCTTGCTCCAATCTCAAATTGGGCAAGAATTGTTCGAGGGAAACCAATTACGGGACTTGAAAATTGTACTTGACCATGCTCGAGAACACCAGCAGAGACTAGCAATCTAATGAAAAGTGGAAGTCTAGGTGATAAAATATGCCAAATAGTCTCGCCCACCTCATTTCAAAACTGATAGCACTGTTCAAGCAAAAAATGCTTCGTCAACACAACAAATGGGTAAAACTTTAGCCTGAAACATTGTACAAAAAGACATCAGGGCATTCGCAGGTTTGCCAAGCCAAGATTTCTTGGTTTTGAAAGAAATTCTTCCAGATATAAGTTCATAGTCCTTCGTTTAAATCCCAAAGTTCAACTTTTCAAGCTTCCGCGTGGCAGCTTTGATTGGAAGCTCAGCAAGCTAGATTCTAATGTTTGGGTGGGCGGGGGGGGGGGGGGGCTAGCTACTGTGTTCAAATTCTAAAATAATCTTACTTCTGCTCATGTAATTTAAGGATGCAGCTGAAAAACAAAAAAAAATATTACTTGCTAGTTTTGAGAAGTCATTAAGGGACCAGGTCTTGTCTTCCATCTTAAGATTGAGAAAATCTTTTTTCAAATTAATTAGAACTCACCTGGCCGAGCATTGGATCTTAGAATAATAGCAGAAACAATGCGCTGTTCCTTTCGCTCATGAAACATGAGAATATGCAGTCCGATTGCTCCGCTTAGCCCATGCTGCACCCCACGAAGACAAATTGGCTTTCGCACGAGTCGAGCAACAATAAGCAATTGAAAATGTGCTAAGTATGATTGCCAGCCAGGGAATGCACTTTTCTTGTCTGACTGGACATGATTTTCTCTCCAAGAAGAGATTCCGGATTTGGTGAGAAAGGTATCAGGTAAAGGTATACTCAGGTTTATCAAAATGCAGTTCAAAAAATCATCAGCTGGCTATAGTTTACTATAGATCCCGAGCAGTTGACATATACTTCAAATAGTTACTGTAGATCCCGAGCAGTTGACATATCCTGTACTGCTACTTACTTATTTCAACCCAAGCATCATGCCACTAATCTGTGCGTCTATTGTGCAGTTGCACGCGTAGATTTCCTATAATATTCATCATTTAAGTACTTGTCTAAATTGTCTGCCGTCGAACCTTTGGACTATTATATATCTGAAGTAACTGCGCATAACCTACCCGTTCCTAAACGAAGCGCAGGAGCCATTTTGGACAGGCTCAACTAGGAATCAACTAGGTACACAAGGGCTCATAGGGTAGAAGAGGATATATTCTCAAGTTGGCGCAGCCACTTCTTAAGATTGACTAGCTGTTTATAAAATAAAACTACGAATTTATAAGGATCTTGCCCTGCAGCAGCTCGGTAAAAACTTAGAAGATTCGTCGTGTCAACGTGCTCGTTTAAAGTAATTTGATTTGCCATTTCCAGTTTCTAGGCTACGGATGATGTACAACGGACCCTCAGGGTCTCGTCTACATTCGAGATTTGACTGCAAAAAGTCCTTCTCTTCATAGACAAAGGCCTTACCTTTCTAATCTGTAAGGCTTTCAACATACTTGGAAATTTCCTAAAACAGATTCCTCCTCCTACTCCACGGGAACTCGCCGCAAAAAAGATGGTAAAATACTTGCAATGTATTGGAAAATAAGTGATGAATAAAATTGTACAGTAAGCCATAAAAACCATTGTTGAAACCATAACCCGATTATAAACCATTGTTAGAAGTATCGTAAATCTTCAAATACAACGTGAGAGCCAAAAAGTGTAATAATTCTTCTGCAACGAAAGGAACATTCCAAAAACTTTCTTTTGCCGCCAAAGCAGCACGTCAAAAATTTGCTGTGAATTCATTGTTCGGAAAGTCTGACATACGCTATGGAAGTGGAAGTATTTTTATTCTGAAATTCATGGTGCAATTAATTCTTGACTGCTTCAATTTTTATTCTAAAAATTTGATATAGAAATACGTGTTTGTTGCCGGGAGACGAATGAGTCACCTCTTGCTTTCCACTCGCTTGTAATGGAGAAAATAACCTTGATTTTCGTTTGCTGCAGATCTCCCTTGAAGCTTGCAGACTATTTGAACTTCTTTACTAAACAAAGGCCAAAGTATTTTGCACGTTTCAAGCATAATTTCGCTTTCCTTGCCCATGAATCGGGCAAACACAACGCTAGCAAGATAGTTTTTCAAATCTTTTATGTTTTGATTTATGGATTACTCATGCTCATCTTCGTTGACACAGTAACCTTGCCAGCATTGATAAGCTTAAGACAGTGATCCATCCACTCCTTTGGGTTTGTATACTTATCGATATGGTCCAGACGTTATCTTCTGGCCGTAAACATTCTCACGCCACCCATTTTGGTCTCGCTATCTGTCTGGTCTTGTACTTCAGGCCTTCCCCGCTAATTTTCATTTTCAAATTGCAGAGTATGATTTATTTTATTGTAGATTTCGCCCCACTGATATTTTAGAAAGCTTCACTCAAACAAAATGACAGAAGAAGAAACGAAAAATATCTGGGTGGATGGAAGGTACTATCTCAATGTCTATAGAGTATCAGGATGAGAACGAGGTTTTTAGTTTTGACATGGTCCATTTTGGTGACGTCTATAAACTTCGATCTGCTAAAGCACATGGTGCCAAACTGATTGTTGGTGTCCACAGTGATAAAGAAGTAAGAAATGACTTTGTCTCGCCTCTTATCATCATTGAACGCTCTGAGAAATTTCTTAGATTTTCCGTAACACCGGTAAATATCCCATCTTCAAAGAGAATGACCGATATCGGCTTATTAGTGCGCTGAAATGTGTAGACCAGGTGAGAGCTATATACCGGCAGGGATCTTATCTTTTTTGCTACTCCAAAAAATAAGCTTTGTGCAGATTCGTTTTCTTCTTCTGCTTGCACTTTAGTGATACATTTAGGTGATCAAAAATGCTCCTTATCGCACCACAGCTGACATCCTCGACAAGCACCTCTGCAAATATTGTGTAGTTGAAGGCAAGTATTTTGTGCTAAAAATATTATGAAAAAAAAAATGCTGTCAAAAGTAGTCCGCAGAATATTACATTTATATCTACAATTTTGAATCTTCCAAATACATAGAGCATGCAGATAACACTCATTGTATACAAATAGGTATACGATTATATCTGAACTGAGTTTGATCATGATCAAGCTTTCTCGATTCCCGATTACTCGTATTGAAAGTTTAACACGCCCGAAATTTCGAATCCATAGAAAAATAAAACAGCGTGGTCAGGTGCCAAAGTAATCTTACATTGTTTTTTATTCAATATATATTTTAGAGAGCGAAATGGATGAGGACAGAATCGCGGACGTACGCAGGAACGATCGCTGCCTTGTAACTAAACAAGCCTTCAACATCTCCTACGAGGTCCTGAGAATCACATTTTGTATCTTTAACTGATTTAGAAAGCCATTTACGTTGATTCGGTTTTATGGAAATTAAGCTTGCTTTAGGATATTGTTGAAAGAGTGCTGCGCTCCCAAAAAGCTGTAGAAAACGGAGAAGTATGTAATGCAAACGACGAATGACGTTGAAATATTTTATCAAACATAATTCAGTGCATAACGAAGCCCTGGGGGACTACACCATTCCTTGCCACATCAGAAACCTTCAAGATGTTCTCAGCTGGCTCACAACCCAAGGAAGGAGATAAGGTGCGGTCTCAGTATTTTTTATAAACTTTCAAAAGCATTTAAGATAGTCTATGTTTGTGGTACATTTGACATCTTCAACGTTGGTCATCTGTCGTTTCTTGAGAAAGCCAAAAACCTTGGTGATTATTTGATTGTGGGCATTTACTCTGATGAGGTCTGCGATTTGAACATTTTTTTCCTTGCGTATCTCATTCAATACGTTATTTAGGAGATCATACAAACGGAGGGTTATCATCCCATAATGTCCCTATACGAGCGAGCATTATGTACATTTGCATACAAGGTAAAGAAATTTTCAGATTTGATATGTACACTTACTTCTAAACTTTGAAAAAATTTGATACTTCCGCTTTGATTCTTTGTGCACCTTACAAAAGTTCCTTGAGCAACTTATTGTCGTATTTCATTTGTATGAGAGGAAACAATACGGTTCATTCCCTGAAGTTTCTGGCGTGACATCTACAGTGTGTGTCAACCACGTGCCCCCTTTGCCGTAACGACTACGCATCCGCAGCGCGTGTCCATGCGCAGCAATCTCCAATCGATGTGGCAGGTTTGGAGGCCTCAAGCCGTACGCCCGCGAAGCGGCACGAACGCTCTAGAGTTGCGCTTGAGCTGATCGGAAAAGGAACACGTTATTGACACAGGCTGTAGAAATCTGTAAATTGGTGCAAGTACTGAAAGGCCCGGAAAAGCGAACTAACGATAAATTCCCTGGAAAATTCAAGAAAAGCTGTAAATAAATGCCTTTCCGAGTTTGTTTCAGCCGGTGGACGAAATTATACTCGGAGCCCCAAAAGTTCTGATTAAGGATATGCTGGATAGATTCAAAATCAGTGTGAGTTCGGCTGAAGTGATATACTCGAAAATAACTATACACACCTTAGATTGTGGCTCGAGGTCTGAGCACATCTTCTTCTGATCGAGAGCGTTTTGCTGAGGCTAAAAAGAAAGGGATTTTGAGGTCAATTTATCTTCGACTTCTCACAAAATTTTCAGGACTTGGTGTATTCTTTCAGAGTTATCAACTCGCATTCAAATGTGACAACAAATAGAGTAGTGGATAGGATACTCAGAAATAGGTTAGTGTATGTAACATACACACAAGATATTTCCATGAATCCAGAGCTCTACGAATTTTTTTGTTGTTAGATTTAGTATTTACGCTGTCTGTCACAGATCTTCCAAGGAACGCGAACAGGCTGAAGTCGAATACATCAATCTCTTTCGCAATGGAGTGGATAGCTCGTTCTCACAATATCCAGTACAACAACAAGGTTAAGATCTATCCGAAGACAAGTACCGTAAATCATGTCTGAGCAAGATAGCTTTGTATAAAATCATTTCGTAATACTGTACAAAAGCGATTGTTGCCGTTGATAATCGTTTGCATGTTTCTTGTATTATTTGACATTCTTTGGAGTTCTCTATTCAATGTAATTTCTAATCAAGCCTATGAAATGCTAGAGTGATCTACATTTGCACAGGGACTTTCCTATTGAGCTCTCGCAGGCGATATTGTTTGTACAAATCAAATTTTGCTCGAATTTTTGTGCAGTTTTCACCGCTTAAATCGTTACTTATTGTGACAGAATTTGTTTGAAAGCATCGTCATCGTCACCATGGTTCCATCCGGAATAAAAAAAATCATAACAGCCAGCTTGGCCTACATTGAGCACAATACCCATTGTTTCCGCTCATAAACTAGTAACAACAACAGACTGCTTCTTTTCCTCTATTCACTCCTTATGTGGTAGTGAACTGTAGGATGCAATCGAAGAAGAGCACGTCAATAAAAGGTTGTGGATAAAATAAACATTTTCGGTAATTGAAGACTTTGCGATAAAACTGAATGAAGCTTGAAATTTCAGGTATTCAGGTGCAGACTTTTCTGACTTCTTACTGAACACCAAGTTCATTGGACCTTAGTTGGCCAAATCGCATAATGCTATACTAAAAATCTACATTGCAAGGTTGGAAGCTAAGGTTAAGCGCGACTTAGTTATTATCGATAACCAGAGTTTGTTTACATTGACAAACTTAGGTACATCAAAGATTCGGAGGATCCAAAACTGATACCACTTTCTTAATTCGCTTAATGTAGTAGATGTAGGTTGTTCGCTCATAGTAGGTCGTACATATCATTTTCTATGATTAAGTTGTATTTCTGAAAGCCGGGTAATGATCTCAATAACACTATGTTAGGGTTTTGATATGTATGATCTACTACAATCTAAATCAATAATCAATCCATCACTTATACCGCAACTCTTGGCGCCAATCTCAAACATCCGTCAGGACCATTTCTTTTCTTGTTTTCAGTTCCGTTTAGTCAGTGACGTGCATTTTTTTCATCCATTTTGCTCATTTCCCTCCACTTCTTCTTTGCATACGTGCGAATTATAATACTTAGGAATGTCGGTATAAGAGTTTTCCACCTGTGAAAGAAACATCTTCAAGTCTTTGCGAGAAAAATTATCCAATTCTCAGCAAAATCTCCTTCAGAATTGTTGAGATGCACTCGCTGGATTCGCACGTTTATTTAACAGATTTTTTTCGGAAAACTACAGATTTTTTTCAGTTTGAAGCGATCATTTACTAACAACAAGTGATTTTGAATTATGTCCTAGACAGAAAAGTTAAATAGGTTTCGCATATCATCCTTGCGCGAACTTTTATAATCCAGAGTCCTCGGCTCCGAATTTCAGTTTCAAATTAACTGTACCTATACAAAAAGATTAGTTAACTGTTTACAAATGAAGTATGGACTCTGTCAGGATAAGTTCAGACTGAATGAAATCTATATACGAAATTGCCCCATTCCTTGTACTCCTTCTTTTGAGAAACAGAAAAATTCGAAAATTTTATCGAAAATTTTTCTGCGTGGTTTTCAACAATAAATAGTAGCCAGGGCTAGGCTGTAAGCAAGCTGGGTATCCTTTTTGGGATGAAAAGCAGAGGGGATTCGTTTTTGAGGTCGAAATGACAAATAAATTGCGTGGTTTTTTTCAGCCAACGTTTCGTTTTTTGAAGATTTTTTTAGGTTTAGGGTTTAGCTAAGGGTACTTCGTAAAAATTCGCGAAAGTCAAGGGCAATTTCGTTTTTTGCATTTTCCAGAAGCCACCCCGTGCCGAGCTAGTAGCTTCTATATACTAGCTTCTACATACATCCTACTCTAGTTATCTTCCAATGGTCGAATCGGTTGTTATCAAGTCAAGATTTTATGCTTGTCACTGTGTAAATCAAGCATAGTTCCGTAAAAATTTATTCAGCATATATGTGCAAAACCTGTATGATACAAATCGTTAAACGGTAGCTATCTTGGCAGTTTCTAGTAAGCGAGAATAACGTAACAATCGTGGATGATTCCGCGAATGTATCCGAGGATCGCATTCAACATTTAACATCTAACATTTATTGCATAGGAGTTCCTATGCATCGAAACACGACATAAAATCCGTTTTTTTTTTGTAAAAAAAAACACAATTGATGTTCATGAACGGAAGAAATTCAGTGTTTACAAAAGATAAACACGAAAGGTAAAGCCAATGTCAAGCATCAATCAAAGAAATTTCTCCACTTGTAATTGATCTTGAGCAGGGGACGACTGTAAGGAAAACATTTACAGTGGCAGAATATATCTATGACAACAAAATTCAATGCAGCTTTCTTCAGACAAAGAATCCTAATAACTGCAATTATTTAGCAAATTTCAAAAAATGGGTAGGACATTAGTAAAACAATGAAAGATTCTTTTCCAAAAAAACTCAAATGAAGAGGTGAGCACGAAATCTTGGTGATGAAAACCAGAAAAAATAAAACATTCGTAAGTAAGTATTAGCAAGACATATGGTGGCATATTGGTAACCGCGTGATCAGCCTTTGAATATGACGCTACGGTGAAATTAGAGAAGCTGACAATTTTCGTGTAAATTAAAATTGGTCTTTGATGTGATTTTTGACTATTCAATCGGTATGGTAAAATCAATAGCAGCATTAGAGCTGAATATGACTCAAGGCTTCACATTATATTTGAGCTCCTAACTCTTGGGAAAAAAACGCATTGCGATAAATTTTTACGTCGCTGCGTTTTTATCGTGAAGAACCGTCGGATTGCTATACCTTCTTTTGAAGCAGATTTTTGAAGAAACTCAAAACCTCACTGGACTGCTACGAGTCTGGCGTTTAGAATTTAGATCTAATTCCTAAACTTTCTTTTGTTTGAACTATCGCGACGTATTTGCGACAAAACGTCGCACGGTGCTAATTTCCTTGACGCTAAGTTTTACGGATCCAAAACAATTTTGAATTCCTGGAAGGTTTCCGACTTAGAGGGTGTTCCGAATCAACAAAAAGCTTTTATACACAGCATAGTGACTAATTAGAATGTTTTCATCGAATTCAAATTTACGAAGATTTTGGATAATTCACAAAGTTTATTGAAGGAAACGAAAGCAAAGTGTGCGGTGTTTCTTCATCACTTTCGACCTATCAAATATGATACTGGCTGATTTCCTTCAAGAGTGAGCTAGCTCGCAGACGCTAAATGCAGATTCACGGCCTCATAATCTTCGAAGATATTCATCTGTGGCCAAAAGACTTCGTTCTGTAGAATACAAAAACTCTTGTAACAAAATAGTTTGAATTCGGTTGTTGTATGAAATCGTTTTCTAGGTACGTGGTCTTGAAAATAGGTGTGCGTGTTCCATTCACGACGTGGTGCCTCATTTCCAAGACCGCGATACAGAAGACAGATTGATTAAAGAATCGAAACTTCGTCTGTGTTTTGAGTGGTACCTGCTGTTTAAATTTTTCATCTTGGAATGTTCGATTCTGAGAAGAGAACCGTCTGGTGATCGGTGAAAGTATGCAAAAAAGTCGATTTTCCGCAAATTTGGACCCAGTTCCAGTGTTATATTAAACCTGCTAATTTTCATGTATTCTGAGCCTCCGTGAAAAATGCTATTGAAAATTCATGAACTGAATATTTTAGCATCACCTAAACATCCCTCATTTTTGTTTCTTTTTTAATTACGGCTGCCTTACCTGATTGGCTGCTATCGTTTTCGTTTTTGAGGTCGAAAAGACAAATAAATTGCGACGTTTTTTCCAGTCGACGTTTCGTTTTTGAAGGTTTTTTAGGTTTAGGGTTGAGGTTCAAAGGGGACTTCGTAAAAATTCGCGGAAGTTAAAGGGACTTCGTTCTCTGCATTTTCAACTAGCCACCTCGTGCCGAGCCCTGTTCCTGAGTTTTTTTTTGGTGTGAGCTAATTAATAGATATGCTGTTTAATTTTTTAATAAGTAATGTAAAAAGTGTTGAAGGAGTCTAAAAGTAAAATATTCAGTGTAATTTTCAACTCGATTCTTTACCCATAATTTCTTTTATATAAAACGGGCATTTCAACCATATGAGCGATGGCTTGAAGCTTTGACATTCATTTATGTGTTATTACAAGAATTTGCCTCTCAATGCAAAAGAAAGGAAGAGAAAAATGCATCCAATAGAATTTAATTGCATTCATCAGTCTATGCTTTGTGTTCATTTCAGCCAAGCAAAAAAAACTAGAATCATGAATTATATTTGTGCTGAACCTGCTAGCATTTTTTCATATTCAAAAAGCAAGTCAAACCTCAAATTGCGCGTTATTTGCTAAGGATATCAAAAAGTATGAGATGCCATACTTGAATGGATAGATATAGCATTGCGTCTTCGCCGCATGAATGCTCCAGTGCCTCTTCCAAATGCTCTTTTTTGCGATTTCTTGTGATTCAAACAGCTGTACTCGTAAGTATACTTTACACATGCGTGCAAGTACACGTCATGCATCTTAAATTACTCACACCAAGTTATTAGCAGACAAATGAATTAAAACACTTCGCGAGCTTGTTGAAAGACCATTAACTTTCGAGAATTATTAGCTCGCTTATGGGGCACAGTTATGTAAAGCTACGAAACCGCACTGATTGGCATAGGAAGTGAAATGAATTTTTTGAGAATGAGGCGTAACATCATTTTTTCCGAACCAGGTGTGCAGCCGATAAACTTTCAGGAATTTTTTTTTAAATTTTTTCTCGACTAGCACTGTGTGAAGAATTCATTAACTGGCAGGATGTAGTTGGCTTGAACATGTCAAATCGATGGGGTCTGGAAAGAATAGAAAATTTTAAATGTGGATCAAGACATCTGGAATTAAAACCCTTCCAGTTTAGCTGATGAGGCTTACCCCCAAATTCGCATAGTTACCAATGATAGGTTCTATCAAAAATTTTCGACACAAATTCCATGTTGTTAACACAAGTCCGACGCTATTATAGCAAGTTGTGTGAAGATAGGCTCATAGTTAGGCTTTGAGGAAACAAAAAAATTGTGAATTAAAATCATAGTCTATAGTGTTAGCGTCTCCTTGCCAGTGGACTGAGGTTACGTTTGTTGAACGACAATATGGATTTCTCTGCGAATAAAATCATAAATCAACTAATTTTGCTTGCAGTGAATTTCATTTGTTTCATGAATGTTCATCACTTTGTCTCACAACTAATTGATTTTGAGTTAAAAGTCCATATCTCGATAGCAGATGTCGATGTGCAGGTTCTAGAAAGAAGATCAAACCCATGCACAATCAATTCGCGATATACCCCATCGAGTAGCTTGCCAACGTCCTGAAATTTATTTCTATTCGTTTTGCTGTTTTTTTTCTTCCTTTTGATTTTTAGGTGGAATTAAATCCAACATAAGAGGCTAAACCTAGCTGTGCATAGAATTTCTCTCGCATTATTGTGCTTGAACTTTGTCGATATTCACGCTGAGGTGGGAGATCTAGTAAGCCTCTATATAGGATCGTATTTTGCTGCTAAGGATTCTTCCGGTGAACCTCAACATCCAGGCACCTCTTATGTGAGATTCAGCTGCTCAAAATATATTTAAGAACGGTCTTATCCTCTATTCTATTCTGCTATCCTGGCGGTTCCCTTCCTACTATTAGGTTCATGCATGAATAGCGGCCGTTTTGCGAGTTCTCACTTTGACGTGCTGTAACATTCTAAGCTCTATATTTTATATCCTTATATCTTATCTTGACCAGACCATGAGCTCTTGAAAAAACTTCGATATTTTTCAATCACTGGAGATGATGCTACCGTTTCCTTTGTGGTTTAATAGCAAAATTTCTACGCTTTCTAGCTTTCTAGGGCGTAGAGTTCCCAGAAACTAAAGATTTATTTGGCAGGAATTTTTTGACTAACTTATCAGGCGCCTGACCTGACCAGACCATGAGGTCTTAGAAAAATTTTGATTTTTTTCCGGTTATGAAGGCGATGCTAGCATTTCCTGTGTGGTTTGAAAGCAAAAATTCTACGCTTTCTAGGCGCTAGGCGTTCCCAGAAATTGAGCATTTATTTGGCAGATTTTTTTTTTGAAAAACTTGTCAGGCGCCTGACCCTGACCGGACCATGAAGTCATGGGAAAACTTTGATATTTTCCAATCATAGTAGATAATGCCAGCATTATCTACTATTATTATTGCATTATTGCATTATTATTATTATTAGCACTATTATTGCCAGTGATTTTTGGCTATTCAATAAACGGAATGGTAAAATCAATAGCAGCATTAGAGCTGAAGACTCAAGGCTTCACCTACATTTGAGCTCCTAACTCTTGGGTAAAAAAACGGATTGAGATAAATTCTTACGTCGCTGCGTTTTTATCTTGAAGAAACCGTCGGATTGCTATAACTTCTTTTAAAGCAGATTTTTGAAGAAACTACATCACTGGACTGCTACGACTCTGGCGTTTAGAATTTGGGACTAATTTCTAAACATACTTTTGTTTGATATCGCGTATGGCGCCTGATTGGGTGTTCCTGCACCCAGATCTCTGCACAGTTGGATTCGCACCTAGAGGCATGTGTTCGCGGCTTACAAGGGAATGGTCAGAAGTCGAAGTGGCCAAACCAAACAAGCGGTATACCATTCGATGCAGTGTAAAACGGATTTCGAATCTGCCCTTCTTATCTGCTTCCCGCTTCTGTGGACGAAGCTACAAGCGATTTTATTGTGAAAAAATCACACATAAAAACAGCGAAATTGAGCACACTGTTGCGCTTTTAGCTCAGCTTCTTTCCTCAAAAATTTGAAGTAAACTAGCTGCATGTTTTGGCCCAGCATTAAGGCGATTCAAACGATTAGCAGAAAATGATGGCAGGTTCCGTCGAAAAGGCCCACACTGAGATGCATTCAGTTTCAATGCAAACCGAAATCATTGTTAGTAAAAAGATAATTCGGACTTTTGAAGAAAAGAAAAATGGAAGAAATTTTCTGTAGCTCTGCGTTTCGGAAGGAGACTTGTCTGTGAAGTTTTTCAGTGAGTGAGAAATCCGGTGCACTCCGCAAAGACACTCTCAGTACCACTTTTTCGTACCCCTATTTCTCGAATGCGGCAATTTGTCATCGCAGTTCTCTTTTTGCATTTTATACTACTACGGTTTGACATGTGTTGTATCTTCCATGATTGAGAAGAGAGCAGCTCCAGATATGGCGTCGTTTACCGCTGCTGAAGCCATAGCAGAGTTGAAACACGCTCTCTATCGCAAAGAAATAGAGTTTCTTGATCTGAAATGCACTTACCTTTCTACAAGGTTAAAGTCATCAAGTGAATCTCTCAAAAATGCAAAGGTATCTTTCTATAATTTCAGCTACTAATGTTTTTTTTCTATAAAATTCATTCAGCTCTCAACAGAAATCGCTTTGTTGAATGACAAGAATGAGAAGATGGAGGGAATACTGGAATCGACTAAAAGGCGGCTACAGACCTGCGAGCTGTGGGTTCCTCATAATTGCAAACAAATTTTTCTTGTAAGTAGATATTTTAGACAATTACTCGAAGCGAAAAGTTTGCAAAGTAAACTTAGAGAAGATCTACTTCGGGAGAGAGAACAGCTAAGGATGTCAAAGAAAAAAGAAAGTGAATTGGAAAATTATGTGAAGGTCTGTTTTGTCTGCTGTCACATCCAGCGCAAGCTTCAAATTTTCAGGGACTCGAACGAGAGCTGCGTGATCTCCGTGCTGTGAGGGAAACAACTCCCAAAAATTGTAAGATTTTGCAGTTTTGACCTACCATTACTCGACTTTACTGCAGCAGCGAACAATTTTATTACGATTGTGATTTCAAGGTTTGCGCCCTCGCAAAAACGCTACAACTTACCAGTGTATGGGAAAATCACGAGAAAATGCGGATGCGGGGTAAGTAGTGTCTGTATAAAATCTAAATCCATACGGCTATGTATGAAACCCTCTTCAGAGAAGCATTGCCAAAAATAAAAACAAGAAGACCTTTGATGGACAGGACGAATGTCTCTCAAAAAGATGCGGATTCTGCCGATTCGAAGGACGAAAAGCAATGAACTCAGTTCTGTGATTGTACCCCGGACACAAGTCGATGTCTTATACTCCGTCGATATATTGTTATGATCGTAAGTCTGTTGAATTGATCTTTAACCAGTGGCCATCTTCTCGGTGCTTCACAATCTTATAAATCTCAGAGCATGTACTATAGTTCTCTGTAAATAAAATTTGATTTTTCTCCAAGTTTTCCCTTTTCCATCAATAAGATTAGGAAACTTTTTCGAAGCGGGAGAACATGTGTGGCCGACATCATTATTGGCTGAATATGACAAGATTCTGTCATTTTGTTACTTCATGAAAATGCTAAAAACTAATGGAACGAGCTAATAGCTCTCCGTAACATCTTCAGAATCTTGTAAACGAAACCTAGGCTGAGGATTAATTGGCAGTATTGGCAGCAGTGCATCATTTTTTGGCCACGTGAATATTAAACTTGATTGACACATAAATGCTCCATGATCATTACTCCCAAAACTACCGTTTTTTTTTTCGTTCTTTTAATTCATAGAATCCTTTTGTTGCCTCTGTTGCCATCGCGATCATACCATTCTATATTTGCTACAAAACTTGAACCCTTATCTGCATGGCAAAACACATTATTCCATTGATATTTTCTTTACTACACGGAAAAATTTGGTGCTATTATACAGCAACAAAAGATGACGTCAAAGAGAAACTGTGCCGTTGATTAGAATATAACAAACAGGCACTAATAGGTGTGCGCGAAATAAAAAGTCCTGAAGATGCTTAACCAGTGCTCGCCTTGTGTCAAGTTGTTACAGCAATTTTGATTATTACACATTTTATGATACTAGCGTATCTAGTAGAACTCCGTAGCCAGCAAACGGAACTTTTGCGAAGTTGTTACAAAATAGCGCAGGCGTAATTTCTGCTTCCGGTGTAGTCACTTGAATACTTCCAAATAACATTGTAAAGCAATTTAGAAGCTACGTTGCTATCATCGAATTTACTAGTTTCTCAAGTGATGGCTGAAACATGACCAATTCAATTGCACTTGTTTATTTATGCTTTGGAATTTGCCGATGAAGAAGTCTCTAAAGATCCAAAGGGGTCTTAAAAGCATTTTGTTCAAAGCCAAATTAATGACAAAAAATTAAACCAACCATTTGGTGCAGGGATATCAAGACCCATGAATCCGAAGAGGCACGTAGTTTGACCGTTTTGGCTCACCTAACTAGTTTCCTATGATAATATATCGAGCAAATAATATCGAGCAAGAAATTTTCTTTTCTGACCTGAAGGATGTAATCAGATCCCTGAAGGACAGCCTTGACCACCAAGCGTGAACGTGATATTGGGGTGTTTTGGGATGCGGATGCATTGAATCTCGTATTCACCGTTGATGATTGGAAAAGCTCCAATTTTCTTTTGGATCTGTGGTGTCCTATAGGGTTTTGAGAAAACCTGGATACGCATATGATTGTACCTTCTTGCTTAGTATCGTTTTTGGGACAGAAAGCAGAGGGGATTCGTTTTTGAAGTTGAAAAGACAAATAATTTGCGACGTTTTTTTCAGTCGACGTTTCGTTTTTTGAAGATTTTTTAGGTTTAGGGTTTTAGTTTCAAAGAGAACTTCGTAAAAATTGGCGAAAGTCAAGGGGGACTTCGTTTTTTTGCTTTTTCCAAAAACCACCTCGTGCCGAGCCCTGATAGTAGCTGCTATATTCGACTTGGGTTATCTTCCAATGATCGAAACGATTATTATCTAGTCAAGAATTTATACCGGTCACTGTGTAAATCAAGCAGTTCCGCAAAAATTTATTCAGCATATATGTGCAAAACCTGTATGATACAAATCGTTAAACGATAAAATTATGAATGCGATTGTAGGGAGTAATTTTTAAGCCGAAAAAAGTGGACGTCACCATGACGCTGTGGAGAGGAATGTGTTCGGCTCAGACTCGCTTTACCTTGGCAGTTTCTAATAAGCAAGGATAACGTAACAAGCGTAGATGATTCCGGGAATGTATCCGAGGATCGTAAGTATGATGCAGATCGCCAAATGATAATCACAGCCCTTCTCGAAGAACACACCAACGGGCTGAAATTAAACGAGTTGTTTTTTACTGCATCCTATATGGTAACTATAACCAAAAATTTATAAAAACAAAGCTGGCGAAATTTATTTTTTCATTGGATAAATAAATGAAACAAGCAGAAAATCTGACAAAAAAAGATGACCCCTCCTAGCAATTATATTTCAGCACAACTCCGCTCACCGAACCACGATGTTTACTTTAGTTTTCTGAACGTCTAAAAAAACCCTTGAGCGTTCCGTTCGCTATCAATAAACATTTCCCAATGTACATAAGTGTGAAGCAAATTGTTTCGGATGGATTCTTACTAAGATGTGACTACAAGTATTCAATGCAAGAACGTATCGATTTTCTCAGAAAATTCCAAAAATTTTCTTTCCCTCTGCTTGCACCTTCTCTTCGACAACACTAGACGGTACTTGAATGCAAGATGTGCACCAAATAAAAAAAAAGTGGAACCATGTGATGATTTTTGCAAAAGAAATTATTTGTGGAACTACCTTATAATCACTTCACTTCAAAGCAAAAATGCATTAGCTTACAAGAGGTCATTAGGGTTCTTATCGAGGGTCTATTAATACTGCTAAAAACTACTTTGAGTGATAGTTCAAGTGTCAAATGATACAGCTGAATGAACGAATTGCAGAATTGCTGCTTTCGGCTATCACCCCTATATTTCAGACACGCTCAAGTATTTTGACTAATTATACAGATTTTCAGAGCGAAAAATAGTTACATTTTTCGCCACGATGATTTTTGGATCTTATCAAAGTTCAAGGTCCAAATAGCGAACAATTTGGTGCGTTACATGCGAGCTATCATTCACCTCTGCCAAATCATCGGGATAACGATATCCCTTCAAAACATGTCCCAAATTATTCACCTAAATGGGCAAACTACATGCACTACTACCAAGTCGAGTGAAACCACTTTTTTTCGTCATTAAAGAAGATGGACTCGTTCCTATATTCTCTGACACCTTTCATCAATCATCGATCTCCAGCAGTAATCATCAGAGTGAAGGATGTGTCTTAGCTTACTCTGGTACTTGCATTTGGGACAACTATATGATGGGAAAAAGAAGAGCACATTTAGAAAAGTTGAATCTAGGAAACTGAAATTAGTAACTTTAGCAAGTATTCAAAATTAGATGATAAACAAAAGATAGGAAGTACTATAAGTATAGTTTGTATATAACATACAGCTTTTACTAGCGCTTCGATGAGAAAATGCATTTTTGCAGTACTGATCGCTTTCGTTTGAAATCCTATAAACATATAGTTTCAGAACCTTCATGAACCGCCCAAAATTGATGAATTTGGAGTTTAAATATCCTAGTAAGAATCTTGTGCAAGACCTATGTTTCATTCCCACCTCTCCTTTCTGTAAATTCTTGTAAATTCTCTCTCACCCTCCAACAAACTCAATTTTTATGAACTGAATCTAGCAGAAACTGCATTACTATACGACCGTTGCCGTCTCAATTGCCTAAACTAGATGCCGACCTAGTGTATTTAGATCGATACACCAAACGATCCCTAGCAATTATGCACTGCAATTTGAGAGGCCCTCAAACATGTTTGCAAAATTACGTCGGGTTATTCAAAGAAAAGACGGAGCCAAGGTTTTTCTAAAGAATGCAGAAAAACTTTACGGCAACATCGTATGTGCACGGTAAGCAAACAGTTCAAGAATGTTTCGCACACTTGAAGTCGGGGAAGCAATAGCCGCTAGGAGGTTCACAGAAATTCGCCAAAAACTGTTTCTAAGAAAAATTTGAAGTCAAGGAAATGCTTACCGGGAGCAGCACAGCGCAGATGAACTTTGGGAGATCGCCGAGGGTAAGAGCCATAATGTACTAACACTGAAAATAAGTAAATTTGCAAATATGCAGTTCTGACTGCAGTTAGAACGAAGCCAGCCGGCGAACTGGTAAGAGAGAATCGGTATCGCTGGTAAATGGCACACAAAACGAGTGGCACGCCAACACAATATGACAAATGGTGAGAATCGAAGATCAAAGTCGGTTGGCGTAAAACTGGCTCAGAGCCAAGAAAAGCCACTCTTGTGGTGAATACAGCAGTAGGGCACCAGATGGATTGGGCCCACAGAGATTGCGTAAGAGCACCAAGGCTCGCACGACCTGAGAGTTCACCAGCTGGCTTGGGTACGCGACCGTGGTATGTGTGAATCGTTGGCAAGTTTCTGAAAAGTAAACTTATATTCATCCTTTCATGTGTGTGATGATACACCAATATGACTCAGAAATTTATTCAACATGAATAAGTGTGCAAAACCTGTATAATACAAATCGTTTGAACGATAATAATATGACGATTGCGCTTGAAAATGAGTAGAATATCTTGAACATTTTTCAGCCGAAAATCGGCGTCACCATGACGCAAATAAGGAATGTAATCGGCTCATAACTCGTTGGAAATTTTTTGGCAGTGTCTTCTAATAAGCCAGGATGACGTAACAAGCATAGATGATCCCGGGTATGTATCCGAGTAACGTGAGAACGATGGCGATTGCTAAGTGGTAGTCGCAACCTTTTTCCAAGAACACACCGAGAGGCTGAACGTAGCAAAAATTCAGATAAATTTTGGTAAAACCTTTGCAAAGGGCAGTGAACCATTTCAGAATTTTCAAATGAATTTTTCCTTCGATAGCCTTCCAAAAAATCAACAAAATATCTAAATATTAGGTCGTTCCGAAAGTAATGTCGCTTTTTTCAAAAGTATGCCACATCTCGTGGAACAAAGATGTGTAAGAGATTCTGGTAGCAGTTGATGCAGCATTTCATTCTCTTTTTAACGGTTTTGAAGTTGTTGCAATACAATCAATGAGCTTACAGAAAAGAGTCAAAATCTGCGACCTATGCTTTTTGAGATGACCAAGTTTCACAATTTTTCTAAAATTTTATAACAAACCTCAGAAGGAGTCCAAGTAATGGATGGATGGAGCAAACTTTACAGGAAACAGCACAACTTTTTTCTACTTTCCAGAGCTCGTCATAATTTTTGTACGGATTTTTTGATGAAACCACCGAATTTTAGCAGGCTTGTCTCAGACACAAATGCATCAAACGCCAACAAGTCTCCGGATTTTGAATTTTACAAAGATGGATTATGGTTTGGCAACAATTTTACAAACCAAAAGAGCATTCACCGCTTCGGTTTAGCAGCTTTCGAAAATTTCGGGTATACCTTGGGGTGCCTTGGAAAAGTTAAATTATGATGATTTCATCCCGGAAAACTCGATGATTCGGTAACAAAAAACGACCGCTAGAAAGAGTAGAAAAAGCTGCATCGAACGACACCCAAGTCGCTTGCCGATTGTTGTTCTGTGAGATTTGACTTAGCTAAATATGGAATTTGATGGCATTGAGAAATTGATTGTACAAACTCTGAGAAGCAAGCTAAGGAAAAGAAAAAATTACTCTATGTTTTATAGTGTTTGCTCTATCTACCTGCCACTTGTACTTTTTCGGAGATTAGGTACAAAAATTTAGAAAAATAGCCAAACTTGACCAAGACAAAAAGCATGAGTCGCAGATTTTGGTAATTTTTCGAGAGCTCAATCTACATTATGCAGTGGCATCAGAACCATTAGAAAGAGGATGAAATCCTGCATCGAATGATCCTAAGATCTCTTGAAAATGTTGATTCCACGAATAGTGGCGTTCATTCGAAAAAAGCGACATTACTTTCGGAACGACCTAATATTTTCTTTCTTGTATGCAACCATTAGAAACTCAAGTTATCCTTACTGACTCAAAATGTTCTTTGGTGCTTCGTAGTTGACACCCCGACCACCAACCACCAGGTTTTGTTTATTGATGTCGCAATGTTGATACAATCTATGTTCCTCGAATTTTTAGGAACCCTTGAGTGTCCCGTCTTCGATCATTGCACAATTCCTTTGGCAAACACTATGTACAATTTACCTACTAAAAACCGCCCTATAGTATAGATTTCCTGAAGCAAAAACAGCAGTTGAATGTTAGAGATTCTCCCAGAAGAGTCAATTTATTCATGAATTCTTCATTCTTGACTGAGATAGTCACTAGTCACACATCAAAAAGAAATTATTGAAGAAATTTTAACGCTCAAAACTTTTAACGTGACTCCGAAGTCCTTGGCAAGGTAAGCTTCACAAACATGAGTAACAAAAAGTCCACATTTCCGTTGGCTTAGTCACTTTTATGATACCTTTTTCCGGTCTATAAACGAACATGTGAAACGCTGAAGAAAAATTCATGATACTTTGTGTGTTTTTCTATGAATCACCCCACTTTAGCTAAGAAGATAAGCGCTCTCGGTTTTATTTCATTCCGGTAAGAGCTAGCCCAAAGTATGAAGTGTTCAAGAGGTGAACGTCATTCCAGTAGCATATCACTCGGTATGAAAACTGATTAATATCTAATAAAAGATAAGTAATTCGAACTGGGCAATCTCGATATAAAAGGATTTAGAAGTAGTTACTACTCATGAACTTTATTACAGATCTAAGAAGAACTCGTCAGTGCTTACAAACTGGCAAGTTGTTTACGAAAATGTGTTTTTGCAATCAATAAGAAGACTTTGATGCGCATGTTATTTATGGCTCATATTACATGCAGATAAAGGTTGTTTGTCGAAAGTACTCGCGCAAAATTTGAATTTAAATTTTTCTAGCTGGAAAAAAATCGCTCCACGTGAGGGACCACAAAAAACTCGTGAGTTTCGGGTTCGAATCAAGTAGATCCAATTCTTAGAGAGTGAATCCATACTGAAGAGCAGATGTCCTGATTTATTTTTTTCAGACAGAACTCTGAGGCATCCGACAGAAAGTAAGTCGATATAGATGGTAGATTTTTACTGTACTAGTATCCATGTAGTCTCAAAGAAGGTCGTAAAAAAAGGAAGTATGAGATATTGATAACTTAAAATCGTGAAGAGAATCAGCTGTTCTAAGAACGACAAAATGTCTTGAGAAAGGGCTGGCATATTTATGCACCAGTCACAAAACCTGTTTCAAAAGAATTGATCCAATATCCAATAAAAGTTGCGACAAGGAGTTTTTGAATAATAAATGTATACTTTTCCCGCACCATAAAAGTCTGTCTTATACTTCTTGCCATAGTCATAGTTTGCCGCCACAGAAGAAGGCAAAATTCTGTTGAAGATATACTTGTTCATTCATTACTTTTTAGCGTTGGAACAAAAAAAAACTATAGTGTGGCAGCCTAGAAAAATTGAAGTGGCACTGGTAACTCCCCCAAAAAATATATTCTAAAAGAGTTTTGAATTTCACCTACACTTACAAAACTTTTTTCAGAAGCCCTAAATTCTAACAGATTATTTTTCCCCAAAAATGTATCCATTTTTGATTTTTATGAAAAAATATCGATTGGCGGTCTCCCTTTGTATCGTCTCAAAGGTCTAGTGTGCAGCTTTCGACATCAAAGAAGGTAAGGATGCTAGCATATGGAAGTCAAAGGTTCATGGCAAATCATCGTTTTTGCAAATCAAAACCCGCGGATCCAAAATGGTGAGGTAAAAAATTTATACAGTATACACACCTACAATCTGTAAGGATGACTTGACAAAAGCAAAACTGGAACTTTCAACCTAAAAATTTTCCTGTTAGGGCCCACTCAAAGATGATGACAAGCATCTATTTTGGTCCAACATTCAGCGTCACTCCGCTCAACTTCCGCAACCCTTTTCTACCCCCCCCCTTCAGCTGTTGCAACGTAAAACTTGACTATTCATAGAGTCACTTGAGGCCAATCTCATTACTCTCGCAGCGGGGCTGTCACAACTGCAAAGACTAGAAATCGTCAGTGGTGAGTTTCGAATCGATACGTGAAACGATCCGCATCCGCAATTTTACGTTCGGATTCGTACATCAATTCTTCCTCAAAACTTGTTTGTGCTGTACAGCTATCGTAGACAGAAAAAGTGTTCTTAAGCATGTGTACGAGCACAAGTACCGAGATATCTGTGAGAATTTTTTTCCAAACGTGAATTTGCACGTCAAACAGAACTTGACATCGATTGGGGCAGATTTAAGTTCTCGGAAGGCAATCGGAGTTTATGGAGGGTTTTTGAAAATTCTTTGCAAATTACTGCAGAACCGGTTCCTATGAAAAACAATAGTAAAGTGAACATTGACTCACCGGGAAGAGGAAGGCGCAGAGGAACTTTGGCACGTCGGTAAGCGTAAGAGCCATTTTATTGTACTGACACTGAAAAATTAAAAAATCAGTAAGCTGGAGGTATGGTAGCGAAGAGGCGATGGTAAGGCGGTACGATTACGATGCAAAGACGTGGAATTTTACTGTAATGATAGGAAAACTTGTTAGAACTGCACGTATAGAAGATCAAACCACGCAGAAGGTGGAATGACTTATGAGTGAATGAGAATATTCCACTACAGAAAGAGAAAGGAACAAACAAGACACCGATGTGGCGTCACCGTGACGGAACCAACCGTGCGAGCGAGGGATCCGAAAGTGCGCACATGCTCACGCACGGACACAAGTTCACATCGCTTAAACGGTTACGACCGCTATGAAGGTGAAAATAATGATTACTTTAACATCAGTCATTCTAAGTGAATCACTTTTATACACTTCTAAGCAGAAGACATTACGCATTCTACTGATATGAAGATGACGAAAGTGATGAGTCACTGGCAAAAAAAATTGACGTTCGATTTTTGCCAAAACGCTTTGATGCCCTTTTCTCTGATACAAGGATTATGGCTAGTCAATCCGAAAAAAGGGTATCTGAACAGTCACAAACTAGTTCTTAAACACTACAAAATGCAGTCATGGACAAAGACCTTTTCGTTTCCATAATCAGGAAGAGGAAGTGGACATTGGTAAGATCATCTGAATGTGTTCTATTCAAATACGTACATAATCTACTTATGCTTGTAGGATAAAAAGTACAGGATAGAATGATGTTTTGAAAAAAGTTCGTGATTACATTTGATTAATAAAAATCAGCGATAATAGAGATAAACTTTGCCCCAGACTGAACTTCCGGTTACGCCTCGGTTTTCCATTAGTCTGAAAGGGTACAACCCTATACCTAATTGTTATTTTACTAGCTATTGTGCCCATCACATAAAGATGAATAGGATTCGTTCTTTACAACCACTATTAACGAGAAAAAAGTTTTCATAGAATGTCCTTTCGAGACTCTGATGCCTAGTAAGCAGTATAGTCACCTGGTTGAAACCCAATCTAAGTTTACTACATTACCATTGAGTTCATTGAAAAAGTCTAAATCTTTAATTCACCATAAAATCAACAATTTTCTTTCTTAAGACTTTTTCATCGAACACTCAATGATAATATAATGAGCTGATATTGGTTTGCAACCTAAATACATCAAGCCAAAACCATACTACATTACTGGTAAAAGAATCTCTTAAAATGTATTTACAGTTTTGACTTTACATGTCTGATTTATATAGGCTTCATTTTGCTTTTTAACCTGGTGATATCTCAAAATTCACTGCCTTTTTGGTTTTTTTACAAACATTTTTTTTTTCGTACACTTTGCGCATATTGTAGCTCACATCAGAATTTATTAATTGTTAAAGAATGATCGCACCTTATTCAAAAAGAAAGTTATCGAATTAGTTCCAATACCTACTTGTCAACCTGATACATTGAACATTGAAGGAAAAAAATGAGATGCTCAAATGTATCGACAGGAAAGCATCGATACCAAGGGAGAAATTGTAGCCGAGGCTCATAAATAGCCCATTAATCCATTTATAAAAAAAGTACGACATGGGGTAAGGAAGAAAATGGCAAACGGTGCTTGTCTGTAACTTGATATGAAAGATGTTTTAAGGGAATAGAGACGGCTACTGTCAAAGGGAGCGGGTGATTATCTAAGAATTTTATAAGAGTCAATGCAGTAAGCACACTGCTCTCGATTATACAGCAGAATGATAGTCAACAGAATGCGGGGGGAGGGGGTTTGGGCTAGACCGGTTCCACACGCCTACTCCAAGGACAATACATCATCAAAGCTCATTGACCTTGACAGGGCGGGGGAGGGGGGATGCCGAGCGTAAAATCGCTGAATGTAATACATAGAACGATTGAAGCTGAGGATTGAAGCCGTCTGAGCTTCTCGGAAAGGCGTTCACCGAACTGTGCAGTGCTAACGGGAAGGGCAAAAGCGAACCGCCACTCGTCCTATCGCTGTCAAAATCTGTACTTTAGAAAGAGGGGGGGGGGGGGGGACAAATCGAACAGTGTCTAGTGTCCTTGTTTTGCGTGCTCTATCGTGCCATCTGTCAACATAGTTATCGCTAGGATCAATAACACAATAGTACCGAAGCAAACATAGCAGCCGATGGTGTCTATGGAATGTTTGCCAACACCACAAGTCCATATATAATGAATGAGCGCAGTAGCACCCCCTTCCCACATTTTTTATTTCAATCTGACCACGAATAGAACAAGATTTGCAAGGGAAATGTGAACCAAAACCAGCAGAGACGCGGCGAAGCTGGCGTAAAACCCGCCGCACATCAGCTGCGTGTAGAACAAACTGGACGGAATCCAAGCGGGTGTGTCGTCGAGTCGACGGCGAAGCCAACGTGTATGATCGCTGAGACTTTCCGGACCATACAACCCAACGGTGAATCAGCACTGTCAGCTCTATGGATTCTGAGGTGTCGTAGAAATGGAGAAGAATTTGCTTTGTGAATCAGTAAAGCCGCTTATTTTACGATTTCATGAGAAAAGTCAAGAATTCAAAATTATTGATTCCTTCACAAACGCCTTCAAGGAGAACTTAGCGCAAAATTGAACAGGAAGAGGATGTGAGATGCGTGATTATATCATCGTGCTACAGTAAAATATTGTATTCGTAATTTTACTGATTCGATTTACAAAACCGTGGCAAGCAGGCTCCGCACAGCTGGCACTGGATCAAGCTGGATATCGTTTTTGGCGAAAAGCAAAGGGAGATCGTATCTGTGGCCGAAAATACACAAAACTTACGACGTTTTTTTAGTCGGCGTTTCAATTTTTGAGGACTTTTGTTCAGGGTCTGGGGTCAAATGGGAATTCGTGCAGAGCCCTGGTGACAAATGTCAATAAAAAATATGATTTTCCAAAGAGTTTTGAAGGAGATATCAGTGAAGAGCAAGATTGTGAAAATCGAAGCAACCAAGGAAGATCGAACTGACAGTAGCTTGTTGATGCCTAGTTTTACAAGAATTTCTATCTTTAGCCTTTGATCATCTAATGCGCCGAAAATCCAGATAAACACGCGCCGCTCGTTCACAGTAAAGTTGTTTACAGTTTCGTCTAAGACGCAAACAACAACTAGCTTGAATAAACTGAAGCAGCGACATTGATTCGAAAAGAACGCAAGAAAGCATTTGCAGTTAAGAGCTGTAAATCTAGCATTTTGCAGAAATATCAAATGCCTCCTTATATATGTGCAAATGGAAAAACCACGCCAAACGACAAAAATCTTATCATTCAATGCAGAGCACGGCAAAACTTCCCACGACATTTTTTCTAAACACTTTCTTTGAGTTTTGCAATGATAAGCACTCTACTATAACTTTGAAAATAACTCAGCATCAGTCTATATCGCTCATTTTTACTACTTTTTACCTGATGAGTCACGGATAACATGTAAGAAAATATCCATTAGCAATAGTTTGTCTCCGCTTGGAACAGTAATGAGTAATTTTTCTTTGACAAACAGCAGCATCTTCCTATGACACATCAGCATCTGAAGTATTAAATATCATAGTGTCTACATCAACAACATCTACAATTTCTCAATCAAAAAAGTTCTCAAAAATTCAAAAGCTGCAAGATAAACAGGTTTCTGACTCATAAGCCACACAAATGGACAGCCAACTCCGCTTGACCATTTTATTTGCTTAACGATAAGCAAGGTGCCAAGGATAGGACTGCTCAAACATTAGAGAACTTTTGTATTTTTGAATGTTTGAAACTGAAAAGCAGTTGGATATGGAAGCGATTGACGGCTGTAATGGGAGATTTGGAAGCAAATGGAGTCTCCATGGAGGCGGAGAAAAGGTGGTGAGCTAGTACATTTTACGATGGCAAAGATGGGTCTGAGAACAACACGTGGCGGTACTGAGAAATATGAGCGAACGTAAACAATAAATATTTCACGTAAACTCGGACCAACAGTTCCATTGTCCAAAACAAATGTTTCTACGGCGAAATGTATCGCCAGACAGCAATGACGGATGAGCAGTGTGTAAAATTCTGGACTGAGGCCAGCGTCCGATGGCGAGGGTTTTGTTTTGGCGAGGACGAGGAGGAAGAGGAGGGTCCGACGCTGCCTAGTAGGGGGGGGGGGGAGTGCATGAGCCGCAGCCGGGCTTAAACGAAAATATGAGATCAGTCGCCCGCGCCGAGCTATTGTGGATCCAACAAGACATTGAAGGGTATAAATATTCTTATCTAAATTATTTCACAACGTTGTGTAAATTTACGAGTGCGACTTTGATCTTCCCGGATGAGTCAGTGCCTGATGGTTTCGACGTCAATTCGGTGCAAACAACTTCTAAAGAAACAACAACAGCCGCCGCCGGAGCGCACCGATCATTGGTCGTTGAGATAACATTCCGCGTCGCGTCCCTTCTAATGAACAACAGATCGCGCAGCAATCGTGGCCAAGTTCCGTTGCAATGGTTTCGGGGATTCTAATGACGACAGAAAGAGAAACCAAATAAACTGTGATTGTTTGGTTCCAGAAGGACTCAATTTTTTCTTGTGCAAAAAATTTCCGAAAGTTATGAAAAAACTGAGCAGAAGATGAAGATATGGATACTTCCACTTCTGGTTTGTCTCTTTAACTCAAGAATCAAATACAAATCTATTACTAGTTATGTCTTTTGGCTTTCTTGTGAATTACCGAGGAAGTCCTACGAAGAAAACTACACATCCGGTTTAGTTCTAAGCCCCGGCCATAAAAAAGATTTCATGAAACAGGTCATTTTATTTTTTATTTTTCGTTCAAAATCAGGTCTTCTACGCATCTAGCACGTTCATTTCATTTCCTCTGGATATTATTCTGCATTTTCTCGCGGTGTGCAAATTTTGTGCACAACAGAGAGTCATGAAAAATCATGCACACTGAGAATTCGCAAAATAAAAAAACTGCACGGTAATTTTCTTGGAAAGAAACAGCCCTTGACGCCCATCTTCAACACATTTGATGGCTATATTTCTCTCCTAAGAAGCTATGCACAAAAATTTGCAAATCAAAAGCCAATTACTTCATTACTAATCTGAGCAAGCTGAATGACAATGAAATTCATCTTCAATGTCAGTAAATCAAAAGCAACAATAGTTTATTAGATTCTGTAAGCAGAGCATTACAAATATATGGTATCTATAGAGAACAAGTCAGAGGAAATAAAACACACCAATGGAACAGCCACTAAAGTTGCAGAAGCCGCTCAAACCCGACCAGACTGTGGATAATTAAGCATGCATAGTCATCTAATAATAAAACAGATCTGCTTGACATAGTGTACAACAAAGTTTGCGTGGCCGTTTCACTATAAATTGGGATTTTCAAACAAAAAATAAGAGCTTATTAGCAGCAGAAAAACGCGAGAATGCCAAGCTGCATTTTTTCTATGACATACATCTTAAGCAGATAGCAATAAAACTGTAGACAACAAACTGCTCAAAACATTCAACATCAAATGATATGATGAACAAAAACAACCACAAACATTGAACCGGTGATGGATGATGAAGCGCAGAGCAGACATGAGTTAGTCTAACATTACAAAAACTCATCAATTCAAGCGGATGAAAGAGAGAGAAAAAACACAAACAGATCATTGAATCAGTGCCTATCTAGCTAAAGTTCTTTCTTTGGTTCCGTTGGTGTAGGTATTTCCTTCATCACGTTGTTATTCACATTATTATTATTCACATTTGCATTTGTATTTGCATTTGATATGGATTTTTTCGCTGGTGGTGGATAAAGTCTTGGAACAACGATCAGGATGAGAACTGCTGCTATGTGGACGATGAAGAAGACTCGCCTATAATTATGAGCTTGAGGAGCTTACGGTAAAAAAGACTACGGTAAAAGTAGCAAAACGAGATGTAGAAATAGAGCAGAACGATGATAAACAAGATATATGGGAAAGCAGATCTTTGGCGTTTTGCAATCTTTCGAAATCGGATAATCCAAAGGCACCTCTGATACTGCGGGAAATATCGAAGGTATTTTAATGTTTAGCATGAAATGTGAGAGGCTTTGAAAGTACAACAAAAGTGTAAAAATCACAAAAAACACATGGAAGACCGGGTCCTTGATGTGCTAGCCACGTTAAGCTGACGAGTAAAAAGCATTTTAGGAATTGGAAAATTATAAAATACCAGTGCTGACACCAGCAGATCGATTTCTTACAACATAAACGATTGATTTTTCTTACAGAAGTTTTTCTCGTGTTAACAGCGGAACGAATTTTTATGAAGTAATTCTCCGCAAATCTATGTGATACATCTTTCCAGACGTTTCTTCACATAGACAAAATTTCGGAAAATCAATATTCTTTACCATTTTTCATGGAAAACATTTTTTCTCATCCACTTACTTGAAAAGCATAAAAGCTGGATTCAAATTCATCGTAACAAAAGGATACGTAGCATAAGCCAGAGCGATTTTCGTTGCCATGAAAGTCATCACATCGTATCCCATCTTTTTCGTGGACGAGTCCAAAAAACGATGTCTCATGCAGCGACGGAACTGAAAGAAGACACTTCATAATATAGAATGGGGGAAAATTAGGCAAATGAGTACTCGTGCCCTTGTCTGACTTACTGTAGCTCCAGCTAGTGTAAACAAAGCACCAGTGAAAAATGTCATATAATAACCGACAGAGATTCCATGCCATGCTGCTGATAGTGTGTACGTGGCAAGGGTTCGAATTCTGCAAAATTATTCACAATAATAGCACCAGAGTAAAGATAGGCATTCGGTAGTAGATAAAAACTTACTTTTTTGGTGTCCTGTCATAAGCGACGCGTCGAAGCCAACCGCCAGTTTGGATATTCCAGCCGTCCAGAGTTTCTTTGAAACTTTGCGCCATCTATAATGGAACTAGATAATGCGGTTGCTCACATCTTATCCGAGGCATCAGTGGTTTTCATCAGAATGAAGGAAAATGGAGCGAAATGCATCTATGTTTACATTCTTATAGCATCTACTGAATATTCTCAGATTTTTTTACATCCTTCACTTACGCATCAGCAAGGATGAACTTCGTTTGAGCTTATTGTTAGTTCTGACCTATCCAGACTCTGGTATTTGCTGGTTATTCTCTAGATAATCACTTTTCCGGTCCATACACGAGTCTATTTGTTAAAGTACGCGTACGACACAACCCCTATCGATCTACGCTTCTTCATTACTCTCCAGGGATCCTAGTACCAACATCCTATTGTCATCTGACAACGAAGAGAAAGCAAAGCTAGACATGAGGGAAAAAATCTATTTATACGCTCCAGGAAAACCTTACTCACTTCTACTTGATACGGTCTTACATTCGTGCATAGCTCCCATTTTGCATTTCCATTCTCATCATAACCACTGAATCCAAAGCCAGACATGTTGCATACAGAATCGGCTTAAAAACACGCATTAGCTTCAGCTTAGAAAGAAGTATTGAGATTACCAAAAGTCCATGCAAAGTAGTAGTTAACACGAATAAGGAATATAACAAAGAACCACCACGCAAACCACTGCAGGTAAGGCATTGCAAGATATCTGGAATGCAAGAAAACGGCTCACAGTTAGAAAAAATTGGAAAAGTTAAAAGTCAATCGAGAAAACAAGTAGTATCGATACCTTCATTTCCACAACAAAAATTTTCCACTTACTCTTTTTCGGCAATAATTTCAGGTGGAAACTTCGATCCAAATTGGGCAATGATTACCAAATAAACAAGTGATTCTCCAAGCTTGCGCAGCGACGTGCCAACAGCTGACGGCACCTGCAAAAAATTCTATAAAATTTTCTATATTGCAGGTAATTTCGGTCATTTTTCAGCGGAGGAAAAGCAAACCCCTTCATCAGTTTTTTGGGAAACTTCGAGAATCATGAAACATTACTTCCTAATCGCATCATCGTCTTTCATTGGTCGCGTCAAAAAAAGACTCGAAAAGTGAAGATTTCTGAAAACTGCTTCCGAGATTAGATTTTCAGTATCAACCGACAAAAACGATAATCTGCGCCTATAGGGTACTTCTTACTCGGCACTCTATGCCCATTATCTGCAGTTTCACTTTTCTGAAATACTAGATTTTGAGCACAACTGAATTTGACGATTTGAATACGCAAGGAAAATTATGGGAATAATGTAATCGTCAAAAGACTGCACATGTAAAAAAAACTAGGCTATAATAGCGCTCGTATTTTTCCAAAAGTACAATTGATATGGCTTCCACAACCTCATGTTTTTCATAATAAATTTTGAAAAAATCTACTGTAAACGATCTGTTCCAAGCAAATATCAGCACATCCACAACGTAAGCGAGCAAAAATCAAAATAGAGAATTATGTGCGAAATTTTTACAGCGTAAAAGATTCAGGAATCATCCCTCTTTATATAAAGCAGAAAATCTGTGAGTTTGTGTGTTTGTGTACATTCCCAGCAGTGCAGGGTGTGCAGCGTGTGCAGAGTGTGCGGGGTGTGCAGGATGGGGAGTTTAAACTGATAGACTGGCACCAAACCGGATTGAAACCCGGGATGCCTTCTCGTATTCTATAAGCCTTTTCACGGCTTGAATTTTCAGCCCCAAATCGACTACCCCACCGTAAATCACCGTTTTTGGCCTCCCTCTGTTTTCAACCCAACAGCTGTTATGTTCGGACACTCATCAATTAACACTGACGCAAAGTGCCACGAAGTTTGAAGCTCACAGCCCTCAAACATCAAAAAACATTGGTACTCAACATTCGTCTTCGCTTTCTCGAAAGAGTCACAAAGTAAATAGAGAGACGCTTTTTACAACAAACTTTCAAGGTACCTTGCCCTCCTTGGTTCGAACCACGTGCACACCATCGATGAAAGCCACATAATCCGAATAAAAGTTTACGGGACCAGTGAGAGCTGTCTGAAAATTTATTTCCCCTTTCTTTCTATACAAAAGCTGTTTCAAAAATCCTCTTAGATTATTGTACCTGGAAGTTAAAGACGTAGGATATGTACTCTGACAGGGACGGTAGTTCGCTAGAATATCACTGCTATTTTTCGCTTGTTCGGGTGAGAAAATGATAAAACAGCTTACGTGATTGCCTCTTTTTCTTGCAGTTCACTAAGCTCTTCCTTCTTTTTGACTCTACCATCATGTAGTGAGAATGCCACTGTTGTTATCTATAAAATGTCAATAACATTTAACTCCTCGATCTATGAACAAAACTGCAGTCCTTGTGTGTTTTCAATTGTAAGAACCTTTTAAGGGATTAGTTTTTGCGTTGTTTGCTCAGATGATTCACGTGGACCACCCTGGAGTTAAACTCTTTGTTGGTGAATCAGCGCCCTTACATGGAAAACTCGAGTCATTCCGGTGACTTTTATAACCCACATTATAAATTTGCCCAATGAATCATGATTTTTCGAAAATTTTGCAAAAAAAATCAAGTACACGAAGGGGGGGGAGGAGGACTAAATCAGTGAGTATCAGTTTTCTAGCTTATTAAGAAGTTTCACCTTTTGCACGGCCACCATCATAGGTCCTGTGATGTCCAAATAGTAAGAGGTGAGAATCATCCATCGATAAAAGTGAATGAAAAGCAGATATGACATGGAAAAGGCAAACACCAGCCTGAAAGTAACAACAACTACTCTGAAAACAAGTGAGAATTTTCAAATGTTGGATTTTTTGCTATGAATTTGCCTAGCTCATAGTAAGGAAAGGCATTTTTTTAGTTTTTGTAGCCTAAACTCCGACCAACTTTCATTTGTATGGAATCTCCAAAACCTCTCAAAGGCAGTGGCTCGGGAATACTTCCATCCCTCCTTGGCCTTCTGGAGCGCTGAGTCAGTCCAGGATAGAAAAGTCAAAAAAATGCTTTTTATGGTGTTTTCTGTGTTGGAGATTACTGTAGGGGCTGGACGAGTAATTCCCGCTCAACTGATCGGCGGATGGCTGACTGAGTCAAGCAGCCAATTGCCGCAAAAATGTGTGGAGTTACAGTCTCCTGCAGCCAGTCCCGATTTTTGGCGGGAATTTCTCCTCCAGCCCTCTCAGCAATCTCCAAGGCTGTTAAACTCCATAAAAAGCACTTCATTGACTTTATAAGCACAGTCCTGAACTCAGCGGATCCAGCTAAGTCGTGGAAAGCTCGCAGTCAATTCGAACGACTGTCTTTACAAAATTGGCTGCAAATGACACATTTCATTTGCTGAAATATCATACCCCTCCGAACATTAAACTTTCGTTTCGATAACAGAAAAAAAATGTTCTCCTGATGTGAAGTAGGTCCTTCAGCAGAAAAGCACACTTTTATTTGCGTACTGTATCAAAAGTTGTACAAATGTACAGAACATCACATCAAATGTTGTCAAAGTCATGTTTACTACTGTGTGTGGAGTAAGTACTACTGAGACTGTTGACCTTATCGACTTACTCGAAAAATCCGTGTTCTTTAGTTTTTCGACCTGCTGTAAATAAGCGAGAATCTCTATATTTCCATAACAGACTCTGAACTCACATGCATAAATAATATCATTAAAAGGTGTTGTAGAGATGGTGAGCTGTTCTCGTTCATACAGGTCTGACTCTCAGTGCTTGAGAAGGACCAAAAAGACTTGCTAGCAAGTTGCCATGTAAGGACATTATGGCTATTTCCATAGTATGCTGTCTAATGCTGTTGAAAAAGACTTTCTACATTTACTATTGATAATTCGCGCTCACCCAAAAAGGTCATGAGAAATTACTTCTCTGATGTCCCCATTTTATCATCTTTTGTCTTGCATCAGTTGACACTCACAAAATAATGGCCAGAGCAGTACCCGTCAATCTTAATTTCTTGGTAGAGGTATGGCGCGTTGCAGCAAAAAATTGGTGTGATTCAATCACCCCATCATTTAGTAGACTTTGATTGGTTTCAGATAGAAATGCAGTAGAAGAAAAAAAGAACTTCAAATAGATGTAAACACTGAAAGGAAAGAGCGTATCTACTCTGTTTTCGCATAATCTCTGCCTTTGTTTTGCTTTAATTCATAAAATTCAACAATGTGGTTATCTTGATCTATAGGATAATTTCGCACTGCTAAGGTAAGGAAAGTGGTGCAAAAATCAGAAAAGTAAGACCAAAAGTCAGTCCAAAGTCCACTCACCTGTGCACGTGTCTATGTGGCGCAAAATACATAATTGCATAGTTGAGAAGGCAGTTAGCTAGGAGATGCTTTGAAGCCCTGGAAACTTCAAAAAATGTTACTCATTTCCTAAAAGTCGGGTATATGAGTATTTTGCGTTCGACGTAAACATTTCATATGCTTACTTCAACTCTCTCGATATTTTGAAAGCTAAAAACTTACCGTCCGAAACAGAAGAAGCAGAATGAGATTCCAACAAGTGGTGGAAATAGTAATCGTACTTGACGCGATACTTTTCCCGGTGACATGAGCTGTTTGTACACGAAAGCCAAAATCAGCGACGAGAACATACATATCAAGAAATTCACCTAGGAATAAATTTCGAATCGGATGTCCTTACTGTATGCAGCTATTTTATTACCTTATCGACCTGTACGCCGAACGGCTTACCAAGAGGTTCCAGAAATGTAGCGCCATCATAGAACGTATGTACGCCAGGCATGGCGGCGCCTCACCCCCAAAAAATAGCACATTTTACGAAGAAGACTCGACATGAATGTTGAAAATTAGTTCCTTACTAGAAGGATGGAATGGACGGTGAGAAAAACCCATAATCGTGATACGTTTTTAAAGAAAGTGAGATCTGTGCGAGGTAAGATGGACTGTGTACAGATAACAGAAATTTCTCGGAGAATTATTTTGATTGTCTTGATTGGAAAAAACTGCAAGCTGGCTTTTTCCGAGTTATTAAGAAAATTAAAATCAAGATATCTATTATCTTATAAAAAACTTTATATAGAGATAAATATCAATTATCAGGTGGTTGTAGACATACTAAGAAAGTTTTGGTCCTTTTAGACTCACTATCAAGAGTTTAGCAAAATTCTCCACATGGGTGACTTCATTCGCTGGATAGAACATGGAGAGCTTCAAGATTAAGTCCGAGGCACACTAATTCTATTGGATTGAAAAGCAATTGACATCATCTCTTATTTCCTTCGAAAACATTAGTATGATGCAAAAGGATAATATGCAGTCCAGAGGTTGGCACAGAGAAGTATGAAACTGCGCAGAGAACTGAGGTTGAAAGAACATATGTAACCGGTTGCCTCCGAAATTATTTCATTATAGAAAACTAGAGCCTAAGCTCTGTAGCACAGAGGTGTTGAAAAGTGATTATAACAGCTACCTGATGAAAGGTCGATTGATAAGAATAGAAAAACTCGTAGAAGAGCAAAGAGCGTCGTCGCTCAACGAGTTGGGCTCTGGTTGCAGAATTTATTTTGTCGATAGGATTAGGACGGAGAGTGAAGTTAGCGACCATCTCATTTTCTCTCATATAAACAATAAATTAGAATTAAAATCGATGTGTGAAGGGTAAAAGAGGCTATATAGGAAAGTTGACGCAAATTTTATAAAAAAATTTTTTATCAACACTAATGCTGGCTTAGCTGAGAGAGGAAGTATTAACGGCGGTTTAAATAGTAGGAATGTCAATCTCAACTGCGAATTTGTTGAAAGCATAGCCGGGACGATAGAAAACATTAATTATAACTTGAAGGTGAGAATTAAGATGTGCCTCGCAAAAGTGTTGTTGATGCCAGTGAATGAGCTCTTAAATTCAAAGAAAAAATTTGCGATAAATTTTTATGTCCGATCGTAACTCACGCTGTTGGAATATTGGAACATTTTTAGGCAGATTTTAGAAGGTAAAGCACATAAGTGTCCTAAAAAGTCTAGCGGTTCAGAGTGTACATCAAAATTCCAAAAATACTCTTGTTCACGCTGCAGAGCAATATTTATCTCTAGAAATCTTCCAGGATATTGCAATAATTCTTCCACAAAGCATTCAAGGATTGTTAAATTGTTTAGATTGTTCACTGGAATTAGGAATCTAAAAAAATCTTAGACATGATTCGTGTTCTTAACTGATAATCAAAACCGAAAGTACGAAAATGACGTACTTAGCTTGACACAAGCTTTGAAGAATAAAACATCTGACTTTCATTAGTGTAATACTGCAGACCTTGATGACGCATGAATAGACTTGAAAATATGCTTGAGGTTCAGGGGACGCAGAACAAGCAAATACATTTGCATTTTCAAAATCTCATCATGATGTGCAAAATCGAAGTTTGTGTCCACATTTGTTGAGATGTACACTGCTAATTGCGGAAACGAGACGAAGCTAGAGCCTGTCCTTGGGGAAAGGGTAAAATGAGGTTCGCTATAAGGCTGTGCCGGAGAAAAATGGCACGTTAATCGATAGGACGATGAAAAAGAGGTCCGAACGTAAGAGCTGCACTTGCCGAGGATTCACTTTAATAAGTGCATAACCTTGCACAATCTAGTAATTCCTTCACTACATGCGATTATTTCTGGAAACACGAAAACATCAGAGATTGATAAGGAACGTTTCAACAGAACTACACTTTGTAGTGAATGGAATGTTTTTGACTTCTCACAGCTGATTTGTGACTTGCAAAATAGCCATTGTGTACAAGGTTGAAATGTATACGTTCGTAGTAATTTAGCACGGATCGCTAGCCGATCGCAATCGATGCAAGAAAAAACCGCGCGAAATCGTAGCCGGCTACGTTTTGCATTTACGAACAGTGATTCATGCACACAACACTATGACTCGCACCTACACACCTGCAGCATTGACTAGAAATAGCCAAGAGAGTGCAAGAACTCGTACAAGTTCAGTTAAAGTACGAGTTAGTCAAACTACAAGTGGATACTGAACGCAAAGTTGCAGGAAATGGCAAAGGGCGGTAGTGGCGATCACGCCACCAGCATCACTGGCTCGGGAACGCACACACGACACACTTCGCACACCACTCACGCACTTTCACGAACTTTCTGAGAGAAATGAAAATTCCAAACAAATCAAAGCATTTCCTCAGGCAGAAACATGAAATTTTGGAGTTTTTTGACGCCTTCTACTAGCTCTTAGCCATTTTTCCTCCAAATATGGACTTCGACCCTTTCCACCCTATTCCAGGAGAAAAAGATTAGAATGTCAACAGTACTTCGTGCTAATAACAAGTTTTTCACGAAGTCGACAATTGTGCCATGTGAAAACTGCCAATGATAAAAGTTTATCTGATAGCGATAACGTCATTTCAGGTTAAGCTGCTTCCTACTTTGTGATAAGTCGTTATATGGAACACCTTAACGAACCATTTTTCGTACCTCTAATATGGATTATCCAAGCTGCTTGACCTTTGAATTGTTAATGAATCGATTATAAGAATAAATGGCAGGAAATACGAGACAATCTGAACAGAGCTAAAGCAATACATTGAATATACCTATTATTCGATACGAGTTTGCATTTTTATTATTTAAGTTATTTTGGAACGGAAAGCTAGATTCCATAGATCGAGCAGAAGACGATTTAGTCAGACAATCTGCACCACAACTGCATGATCAAGTAATTTGCAAAATATAGTTCAGTGGGGATTATACAGGTTATCTAATACACGAGTCTTCTTAGCAGTTACATGTGAGTAAATTCTCTGCCACGGAATAAAAGGTTTTGAGATTCATTCAGTATATTTCGTAAAGTCCACGTATACTTCGGATGTCTCAGTTGTTTGATTTATTAGGTTGTCCGGAAATTAATGCCCGTTTTGAATTTCAACCGCAATAAGTCATACACTCTTCACTTCTAAATAGATAGCAAAATACCATTCGATAGAGCAAAGCAAGCTCTACAAAATGGCTCTCTTGCTTTTGCAACAGCTCTCACCCACCTCGAGTTTTGAGCCAAAAACTAAAAAGACTCAGCAGCCCGAAAAATCGAAAAAAATCGTAACTCATTTCACAAAAATTCTACAAAAATTCTAATTTGCTCGCGTAAACACTATCCACATATGACATCAATATACGCCGTTGCCGTATTTTTTTCTCTGTTAGAAACCAAGAAAACGGAAATTTTCGTGCATTTGCCAAAGTGATGCTGTGCCGTCCCCACATAGGTAGTTGTATACCACAAGCCTGAAAAAGTACAGACTTAAATATTCAGCTTTCTACAAGCTTTAGTTCTCGAGAAATTTGAATTTTAGCTTGGACCACTTAAGTAAGGAAAGCTATATTCGGTATTTCTTGAGAACTAAAGCTTGTAGAGAGCTGGAAATTTGAGTCTGTACTTCTACAGACTTGTGGTATACAACTACCTATGCGGGGACGGCACAGCATCACTTTGGCAAATGCACGAAAATTTCCGTTTCCTTGGTTTCTAACAGAGAAAAAAATACGGCAACGGCATATATTGATGTCTTATGTGGATAGTGTTTGTATGAGCAAGTTAGAATTTTTGTAGGTTTTTTATGAACTGAGTTACGATTTTTTTCGATTATTCGGACTGCTGAGTCTTTTTAGTTTTCGGCTCGAAACTCGAGATGGATGAGAGCTATTGCAAAAGCAAGATGGCCATCTTGTAGAGCTTGCCTTGCTCTATCGAACGGTACTTTGCAACCCATTTAGAGATGAGAAGTATATGACTTAGCGCGGTTGGAATTTAAAACGGGCATTAATTTCCGGACAACCTAATACTTCCAGCTTGAACAATAGTAATGAAACAAAATTCGAATTCCACGAGCGAAGTCCTCAAAATATCGTCTGTTTTTCGAACCATCTAATTTGTATTCATACATTCGTTTCTAGCGATTCAATAACTATATATGCTTTTGAAGTTGATTTTTTTTTCTGTGGTAAGCCAAAGCGTTGACCGATCACTTTCCCTACTTCCAAGTGCCAATCTCCTTATACCAGACCAAATTTTTTGTATATCATCTACCAAATGTTTAAGGATGGATGCTACGAGCAATGGCCGTTTACAGCAGTTCTCACGCAAAGCTGATGAGGTCTTGAGATTTAAGTGTTGTGCTAATGTAGAGGCAGTGTTGGTCCAAGAAACTCTTTTCGTAGGAAGGGGGAGGGGGATGAATATTGTTTTTGATTGGGACATGGATTACATTAACCATGCTCCTAGAATTTCGTGAGTTGCCCCCGATTTTTAGCGGGCTTGCCCGGTACAGCAGATTCTAACTAATTCGAGTTTTTACAGTATTCGGTTTTATTCTATTGAATGGCTTCTTTTGTGCTGGAGCCCTTCACGAATCCGCATTGTTTGGGACCAACTCGCCTCACCTTGAAGCCGCTTTTCTATTAATAGATTTCAACTTACTCAATGCTTCGCTATCCAAGCCTCGAAACACAAGACCAACTTGATTCTATGCTTGGGTCCGAATCGAATAAAAATTCGATTATTCGAATGAAACATTCGATATATTCGCATCCGAAATCCGATATTTGGAGTTCCGAAAGAGTTTCGAAATCCGAATGAAACTCGAAACTCAAATAATCATAGAACGAGGTTTCAAATAGAATTTGAAACTCGAATTATCAAAAAAAAACAGGGTTTCAAATAATATTTGAAAACTCGAATAATCAGGAAAAGAAGACTCGAATAAAATTCGAAAACTCGAATAATCAAGAAAAGAAGACTCGAATAAAATTCGAAAACACAAATAATCAAAAAATGGGGTTTCGAATAGATTTTATTCGGATGTTTCATT